TTATACTGCTTTTTTTTAATTCACTAATGCTCTAAAAATGAATATTTCAGCCGCAGTAAAGAATCTACGTTGGCGGATTTTGGTTCTTGACATCCTTTACGATCGGTTACGATGCCTAGAGTACGGAGACCTGTACGATTTCGCAACTTAGTGAGTTTGATAGGAGCCGTATAGTGGGACTTTGGGAAGCTGGACTTTCTTTTCAGGCAATTGCAGAGTGCAAAGAAGTGTAGACACTGTGGTTAGGTGTTGTCAGGCATGGCTTCGAGAAGGCCGTACGCAAAGAGCAAGGGGCACTGGACGCCGCCGTAGAACAACAGACCGTGAAGATCGCCGCCTAAGATTATTGGCCTTAAGGGACCGTTTCTCCACTACCAGGTCCATTGCAAATGAATGGTTTGCAGAACACGGAAGACCTATTGGCATGCGAAGTGTTTACCGACGAATGAGAAGTTTTGGCTTGTTTTCATACCGGCCACACTGGGTCCTCCCTTTAACTCGAGAACACCGACGTAATCGCCTTGAGTGGTGCAGACAACGGTCACTCTGGGATCAGGAATGGAACAGTATTGTCTTTAGTGACGAGTCTCGATTTTGTTTAGGCATGCACGATGGTCGTGCCAGGGTTAGAAGGCGACGTGGTGAAAGGAGGAATCCACAGTTTTTTGTTGAAAGACATGTTCATCACACTGTTGGAGTTATGGTTTGGGGTGTTATAGCTTATGGTTCCAGGTCACCTTTAATCTTCATCAGAGGTAACATGAACGCGCAGCGTTATATCCACGAAGTTCTAGAACCCCATCTTTTACCCTATCTTGACACCCTGGCAGATCCAACTTTCCAACAAGATAATGCCCGACCACATGTTGCAAGAGTCACAATAGACTTCTTTCAACATAATGATGTCACATTGTTACCATGGCCACCAAGATCTCCTGACTTATCCCCAATTGAGCACGTGTGGGATCTGATGGGTAGGAGATTGCTCAATTTGCAACGTCCTCCTCAGACTCTAGAAGCACTTCGAGAGGAGCTGGTGGTTGCCTGGAATGAGATACCACAGGAGGACATTGACGCATTGACCACCTGATCAGCAGCATGCCTATACTCTAGGCGCTGAAGAAAGAAACTAAACCCAAACAAATACACGCATATTGCTCGTGAGTGAGTGTTTAGGCGCAGGAGACATTACAGGACCGCATCAAGATATTTTGGGTAGTCATCAAAAATTCCATACAAGATAATTATTATCTTTTACAGTAAATTTCAGTTAGAGATTCACAAATGAGTTAACTACACTTTTTAGTTATTAGTAAGTAAGCTGCGCGCACTCATTCAGAGGAGGAACTTGAATCTTCTGAATCGTTTAAATGAATTATTAGAGGTTCAATTTGGGTATCGATGACATTGTCCAAATCCCACATTTTGACCTCAACCTTCTCCCGAACGTGGCGGATACAGTTTTTCCATTCCTCTGCCGTAACTCTATTGACTGCGATGTTAAAGAGATTTTTAACATCAGAAAATTTATAAGTATTATTATTCGACGCCACGTATTGCTTTATGTTGGCCCAAATCAGCTCAATAGGGTTCAGCTCACAATGGTAGGGTGGCAGTCTCAAGACAGTTTTATTTTGTTTTTTGGCCATTTCGTCGATCATTTTAAAATCGTATTTGTATTTATGTCTATTGACTACACTTATCAATTCACCCTTGACAATTGTTTCATCAAAATCGATCTGTTATGAGGCCAGCCATTGTTGTATGTTTGCTTTTTTAGTTGCCATTGTGGGAATTTTTTCTATTTTTCTAGAATGGTACGGGGCATTATCCAGTACAATAACAGCGTTATTCTCCAGCTTTAGTAACATTTTGGAGAACCAATTTTCAAAGGAATTGCCGTCCATCTCCTCATGATAGTCCCCTGTCTTTTTTTATTCAAAGGCCCACAGTGCTTCGGGAACAAAGCCGTCTTCACTACCTACGTGACAAATGATCAGCCGTTTGCCTTTTCCTGGAAATAAATTATTCCTTACACTATGGATTGATTAAATTTGAAGGAATGAGGCAATTGAGTTCATTTAGCTGAATTTAAGAGTCACGGAATGCTGATCAAAAACTGAAAAACGTAGAAAATTGAAGTTTGCAACTTCTCAAAACCCATTCAAAGCAAATTGACTGCACCCAAAAATGATAATAAATTTCAAAATAACGCTTAAAAGAGGGTCTAAGTTTTTTTCCTAATGACTACACTGCGAATGCACCATTTTTGGAGAATATCACACATTATCTGCTATCACAGCATATTATTTGCCCGAATTTATCAAAATTAAATTGCCGGATAGATGAAGGAGCTTACCTGCAGGATTTTTCAATCCAGCCGAAAGACCGTCTAGAAAAGCCTGCCTTGATGATGTTACTGATTTGTCGATCCAAACTTTCGCTTGAGTATGTCCAGCATTCACCCACGTTTCGTCCAAATAGTAAATTTTTCTTTTTTCATCGCGAAACTTCCGAATCTTCCTAAGGTATTCCCTTCTCCACACAACAATTTCTTCTTTCTCTATTAACATACTGTTTCTTCCCCGTTTCAAGAATCGAAAATTAAGTTCCTTCAAAATTATGCACTTTCCTCCTGATGGCAGTTCTGTCAAAGTCATCTACTCCGTCCGTTATCCTTTTTCTTGCAGGATACGGTTTTGGCTCAGAAAGTGAGTGAGTGCTCCTATATTCCTTAATGATCCTATAAACACTGGACCGACATGCTCCAGAAATATGTGCTACCTTACATATAACTTCGTCCACGACCAAATCGGGTTTTTCTTGAATTTGGTTTTTGTATATATTTAATATTATTTGTTTTTCATTTGCACTTAAATGTAGCTTCTTAGCCCTTTTTTTGGGTGGGGTTGCGCTGATGTCAACCACTTCGTCGGCTGTATCTGTGTCAGACATCGTATCTTAGGCAATATATAAACAAAACGTTCCACTCGCGAAAAACGAGTATACGCTACTGAATGCGTAATGCGTATGCAATGCAATCCTGTGCGTGAATTAACTGTTAGATGCCTGTCGTGTCATCTACAATCACGTTTACAAGTCCAAACCTGTGCAGATTCGTAGAGCGCCGACGACTGCTAGTGACCTTGAATTTGTCTGTAGATCGATGTTACTCCAGTCAATTTAGGTTCAAAGTGGATGTTTTCTAAACCAATTTGTTGTTCCTACATCAAAAATATATCGATGATGTTTTGTACTGGGAGCTCATGAAAGATCAAGGTAACTTATTTTAACAGTCATCCTTTTTCTAGTCTCAAGATGACACGAAAAAGGGTCTGTGGATTCACTAGAAATACACTGCTGAGGATGTTTAGACCTAAAGTGACTGGAGTATATCCGTGGATGGTTTCGAGGCATCTGTTCACGTGCTGATCACTGTTTACGTTTAATGTCTTTCTTCAGCGCCCAGAGTTTAGGCGCGTTGGAGAATGCGTAGCACATCAGGGTGCATGCACACATTATTAAAGGTCAAAGGGCTTTAAAGCAGTGCAATCATTTTGAAATTTTTATCATTTACTTATTATGCTTCATTAAGTACTTATACAAAATTTTATTAAAATAAAACCATTTAAACTGGGTGTTCGGATTTATGTCACTTAGTATATGTGTGTTTCTGTCATATCACCAGTATGGGTTTTTAAAAATGTTATCTAGAACAGATTGGTATTCAGGGGCAATCCTAGTTGTCATTTATTTTGGGTTCTAAATAAAATTGCACATAAGGGAGCAGCACAGTTCATTCTTAAGGCTGTTTTTATTAACCATTTGAAGCTGCTGTTATAAGTGTCTTATTCTGCGCAAGATGTGTCAGAAGTTTCAAGAAAAAATTCCTACGGTCGCCATTTGGAGGTCTACATACGGCACAATATAGATTTGACCTGTTTTCAATTTTACATTCCATGACAGTGCACTCAAATATACCGATCACTTATAACTTTGATTTTTCCTCGCTTGAGACACTATATTTTATCTAACATACACTGCTGCACCACCATAATAACCTTCATCTCTGTTGAAGCTCGCCACCAATTTGAAGAACTGTCTGTCAATTTGCTTTAGTTGTTCGTCTTATTTCCTTTCTTAAGTAATGCACAGTACACTACAGTTAGGATTGCTTGCAGAACTGCATTCATTTTATCCACACAATTTTCCAGTATTGAACATTTTGATAAATCACGCTGTAACATTTATCGGCGATCTTTCTGTTGGATATGGGGTGAAGGTCACTCACTCGAAGTTTGTTGTTGGTGTTTCAAAGTCATCTGGCCCATTTGTTACTCTTTCGTTCCTTGTTCTATAATATTGTATAAGAATCATTGGCCAATTATAAAATTGAATATTTATACAGGTGGCCAACAACATCTCTCAATTTATCTTAAAAATCGTGGTTGACCACCTCAACAAGGAAGCATACATTCTCCTTTCTTTTATAGTATCTACTTAGTTTTTTACTTCAATATTGTCTTCAGTGAACTTATGCGCGTTTGGTAGGGCATCTTTAGCTTTCATAGCCTGTTCAATGATCCTGTTATGACTAGGTTGTCTTATACTCGTACCTACATCCTGATTATGCTCCACTTAGTAGCAAGGTTTCTCTTCTCTTCAAATAGATTCGAATGCTGTACAGGTTGTTTACACTGTTGTCTCTGCTACACTTGCTGTTCTTGTAGCACAGCAACTTTACGTCACAGCATGAATTGACACATTAGGTTCTGAATAGGTGCTAGATTTATTTTCTGTAGTTTGAGATGTAGAGGTTTACGTTTTATGTTACTTAAGTGACTATACCTAGCCAAGTTTTGATTCCATATGAGTCTTCTGAATGGCCTAAACTATAAACGATTCTTTTCTTTTTGAAATCGGAAATTCTCCGAAATGTCGGAACAAAGGTTTAAGTATAAAGTCAATCTACTTTGTGCCAATTTTTTTACTTTTTCTAGTGAACCTGCTAGCTACCTCAGGGGACATCACGATGACCTGGACCTCGCCTATTTACCCGAAGCTTCATAGCAACGATTCAACTATTAATCCTATTGGTAGAGAGATAACCAGAGACGAAGATGGATGGATAGGCTCATTAGTGAATGTTGGGGCCATGTTCGGCCCTTTGCCCTTCAGTTTCGTCTCGGAGAGGTTCGGAAGGAAGATTGGACTGCTGAGCATCGCCATACCTCACATCATCGCCTTCATGACCATGGCATTTGCTGAGAGCGTATACCTCTTCTATCTCGGAAGGTTACTCGGAGGTAAATTTGGATAGGTATTTGATTGTATTATTTCTACTTTTTTTATAATGCTAAAATGTTGATTTTTATTTATAACCTAAAACTGTTGTAAGCGTTGAAAATTTTACGAGATACGAGTAGTATCAAAAAACTGTTAAGGTTCAAATGCTGAATATTGCATTTTTTCTCTGACCATCGGCATTGCATGCAAAAATGGGAAAGTATAAAACTTGAAGTCAACATTAGGTGAAACAATGCGAAAATGTGAAATAATTAGTATCTGTACGTAAATGTTGACATTTGCTTACGTGTAACTGAAACTTAGGCTGTGGTTCTCATGTTGATAATTTTCCACGTTTTCTGACTCTTAAATGAAACCACATATGTAGGCTTGAGTTTTTACTACCGTTTCGTTTTCCAAAGTACAGATAAAAAATGGGAGGTCAAAATATTCTATATTTATCTGTCAGCTCTTTTCTTCCTGTCGCTACTATACAGTTTGTTGCTACAACTGCCTGAACGGTACTCTACCATTCCGACATCGCGCGAAGCCATGATTGCAATTTTCAAATGGCACTGTGCAAACCCAGCAAATCCAGAGCCACCAGGGCTAGACACTCACGGTCCCAAATCATCCAATCTCTCCAAAACGACCAACGAGTTTACGGTTATCAATTGTTACAGATTTATCAGACAGCCCTCGCTTGTCGCTCCAAAAATGTCAAAGAACCTCGACAACGCGAAAACCAACCCAGAAAGTATAGGAATCAGCCTACATAAAGTTAAACAACAATTTTCTTTCCAATTTCTCTATAGATTGTGACCCAATTTCATTGTGTATGCTTGAAGCAAAGATATACCTGTATGTGTTTTTTATTATGGTTTATTATTGAATACCCAAAGCACTGATGTCTGGCTTCGCCCCCGTAAGGTCAAACAGTTGTACCTTATCTTATTTTCTCCCAAGACAAACATCATGGGGCCCTTGAGACGTCGACGTACCATTTCTCGCATTTCGGCTCCACGAACAATACAGACGCAGCACTATTAGTCGAAGATTGCGTAACAGTCGACAGGAGTGTTGCGAGAACAGTTCTGGATGTGTTCTCGCGTTCTCGAGGTCGCTTGATGTATTCGGTGTGGTGAGCGAAGGTGACGTGTCTGGTACATCTAAACAGAAAACTTCATACTCGCTTGTCCCAGGCGGTCATGGATTTGCTGGATTTGCTCGGTACCATACACGATACAGTAGTGACAAAAGCAAATAAACCGGCATCTGAAAGAACAGAGTATAAAACGTATTATCAGTGACACTTTTTATCTCAACTTTAAAAAAGGCCAGCGATGTGGCTGAATCGTTATTAACAGCTTAAAAATATATTATTTCATGTAACGATCAGAAGATATGGATAACTATTTGATTACGTGGATGGAGCAAAGACTAAACCTGAGTTTTTCTTCAAGGAATTAGCCTTCCGTGATGATGAATGATCCATGAATAGAACCACAACTCGTACTACCTCAACGTCATGGAAAAAAAGCATTCAGAATAATCTCATTTGCCTACATTTTCTCCTGATCGTTTTTAGGATGAGGAGACTTGGACTTGGAAAATGAGTTTCAATTCAATATATTTCAAAGAAAAAATGTTCAATCCAATGTGTTTTATTCACCTATTAGATAGTTTCATAATAAAAGATTAATAGGACCGTAATGTTGGGAATTTTTAAGAGAGGGGGTGAAGAAACTATGAAAAACCAAAAGTGGTTGGTTTTGAATGTAATTACAAATAATAAATATGCTGGCTTTGATAACCTTACTTTAAATCTTTTAAATAGAATTCTAAGTTGTATTGGCGATAATTTGGTCTTTTTATATAACAAATCTGTTGAGAATGGCTATTTTCCTAACGTATTGAAAATTTGCTTAAAAATTTCATAAGCGTTCGTTAGAGCAGAGGTACGCGATTAAATTCTGTGTGAAACTCGGTAAATCTGCGACAGAGACGTTTGATATGATCAAGCAGGCTTACCCAGGTGTTGCTTTAGCAAGAAGTGGTGTGTGTCGGTGGCACCAGGCCTTTTTGGAGGGCCGGGAAGAGGTCGCTGATGAAGACCGTGCTGGAAGACCTTCGACAAACACCGATAAAGTTTTGAACTCAGACCGTCGACTAAGTATTCGTTTAATTGCCCAGATGTTAAATTTACCAAAATCTGTGGTTCATGACATTGTGACACAGCATTTGAACATGCGCAAGGTGAATGTGAAAGGTTGAAACATTTTTTCGAAATATACATAGATAGGAACTTAAATTTCGCAAACGTAAAAATCCACTATTTATCAGAGTTTACTTGTCAGATCCACTAACAGAATCGTGAATTTTTAACTGGAAAATCGCCAAAAATCGGAAAAACCGCATTTGCACCGAACTTAAAAACTCAACGTACAATATGTATTTTTGTTCATTATTTCAAATTCCGCGATCAATATTTTAATTTGTCTTCGAAAAATTTCGAAAATGATGAAAACCGTATTTTGTTGATTTTCTTCAGTTTTTAACGTTTTTGGTCAGGAAAGGAATACTTTTTTAGTTTCAATATAATTATTTCTTGTCCGAAAAATCGCCAAAACCGAATACAATATCTTCGTTAACTCGAAAACTTAATCCACGCATATATGTATATAGTAGGTTTCTGGGTTAACCAGTCATCCCTTAACTGATCTAAAATGTCAAACATTGAAGAAAATCGGCGAAAATATGTTTATTTCTTTTTTCATAATCTTCCGGACCACAATTTATACAATGGAACCTAGAAGAATGCACAAAAATACGTGCGCACATTGGGTTCTTGAGCCAGCCAATTCATAATATACTACTCTATGAATCTCAAAAATTAAGAAAAAACCGGTAAACATGCGGTTTTCCGCATTTTTTCGTTATTGTGTTATCCAAGTATTTATTTCTAGACCTTAAACATAAAAAATTTAAGAAAGTCAGCTAAAATGCGGTTTTCCCCATTTCCGCAATTTTCTTCGCAACAAATTATAATTTGGCAATGAAGATTGAAATAATGGGCTAAAATGCATACGTGCATTGAGTTTTTTAGTTAACGTACTTATGACATCCTATTCTAAAAATGTATGAAAATGAAAAAATCGTTAAAAATGTGACTTTTCCAAGTTGTAGTACCCAACTCTAAAAATATCTGAAGTTGGAGAAAATAAAAGAAAATGCGTTTTTTTCTTAATTTCGCAATTTCAAACAAATCAAAATTTCGAATAATAGAAGAATGGCCAAAGATTCATACTTCATTGAGTTTTAAAGTTGGCTAACTTGTGATATCCTACGTTTAATGTATTAAAAATAGGATAAAATCGGTGAAAACGCGATTTTTCCGATTTTTCGCGAATTTCCGGTACGCAAGCAAGTACTGGAGTTTTTAGACTTACAAAATTCTAATTAACTAACCAAGAATTCGAAAAAAGAATCAAAATATGTTTTTCCGGAATTTGTAGGTTCTACAAATCTATAAAACAAAATCACGGTTATGTAGGTGTAGTGTAGAATCGGTAATTTCTTTCAAAATTTTTTGACCAAAGTTGCGCGCGGGAAAATTGTTTTCGAAAAAAAAATCACGGATATAACAGCATAGCATCGGTAATTTCTCTCAACATTTTTTGGCCAAAATTGCGCGCGTGAAGAATTATTTCTTTTTGGGGCAATTCTCATAGTTTCGTCTATAGCCTTTATTGGAGCATTTTTAAAAGTGAACGGAAGAACAGCTAGTGCTGAAAATCGGTTCGCGTAGTGTGCAATTTTCCCTAAGATGGTTAAGATTCACGCATGACAGAGTTAATCGATATGTTTCCTTGTTTCGTATTACACAGGGTGCGGCAGAGAGGACGGACGTTTTTGGGATGGGTAGTACTCTCCGCCTCCGTCTACGAGAGAGGTGGGGAGGGTGCCGTTTGACTCGTGAGATCCTAGCATTATTTTACCAGTTGTCGTTATGGAGCCTTGGACGGTGGAGCACCGCGTTTTCGCCTATGAGTGACGAAGCCCACTTTCACCTAAACAGCATGGTTAACCAGCAGAATTGTCGTTATTGGGCTAATGAAAATCCGCAACAGTTACACAAAAGACCGCTGCACAGCCCAAAAGTAACGGATTGGTGCGCTGTATCGCAAACTTGCATCATTGGCCCTTACTTCTTCGAAGACGGTAATGGTCGTGATGTTACCGTGAACTCAGAGCGCTACGTCGACATGATCACCAACTTCTTTCTCCCTGAATTACGACGGCGACGTGTTCCAATCCGACGTGTGTGGTTCCAGCAGGATGGGGCGACCGCCCACACAGCCCGAGCATCCATGGACGTTATTCGCCCTCTCTTCCCTGGTCGCCTTATTTCCAGGTTTGGCGATGATCATTGGCCTCCTCGCTCAACAGATTTATCCATATACGATTTTTTCTTATGGGGGCATCTCAAGGATAGAGTATACGCGAACAAGCCCCAAACTCTGGACGAATTGAAGGGCGAAATTCGCGTGGAAGTCGCCCAAGTTGAGAGAGCGATGTTGGAGAGCGTCTACGCGAACTTCCAACAACGCCTCCAGCACTGCATCAACGATTTCGGCCACCACATGCCTGATGTGATTTTCCACACTTGACTGTCTCAAATGCTATTTCCTTGTGAACCTGATTCCATCAATAAATGTGTTTTCGAGTAAAAATTAACTATTTTATGATTTTTTTTAAAACCGTCCATCCTCTCTGCCGCACCCTGTATTTATGGCGTAGCCACCAAAAAAAAAAGCATATGTATTTATGTAGGGTAAGTTAGTACATTTCAAGAATGAACTGTTAATGGACGATATGAGGTTACAGAGCTATACATTGATAGAACAACATAAAAAATGGTGTCAAGAAGATTGAGTCAACATTTACTTCGCATTCATAGATATCTATTTTTAAATTTTCCATAAATAGAACTTCTGAGGTCTAAAATGAACATCAACTCAAGAATGGTGAAAATACAACAACACACCGACACACTGAGTGATGGAAATCAGTCACATAGTTTCGTAATTAGTATGTACCATATTAAATCCGAAAAATTGATTTATTGAATATTGACATTTTCCACTAATTACAATATTCCTCGCGTATACAAAGTACAATTATGAATACTACAACAAGCCGAAGTATGGTTGTGTTTCTTACCGGTGCCATAATCGTGAGTGAATCTTGCTATCAATATGTAAACAGCTATATTCCTTGGATTAAATGAAATGAAATTAAATTCCACTGCTATCTAGTTATCGCCTCTCTCATTTTATGAAGCATTTGACTACTAGAAATAATATCCATGACACAATGAAAATTAGAGCGACCTCGTAGATTTCTATAGTACAGGAATTTTCCTTACATCTGCTGTTATCTAACATGGGTCATTTAATGGTGCGTACTGTACTGGCTACTACCTTTCGAAGGCTTATTCGTCAAGACCAAGCCTTTACGAGTCGGATTCTCATTTACAAAATGCATAGTTGTAATGCCTCGCTTTTGTAAGGCATTTCAACAAAAGATACATCAAAATGTCAATAATTTTTCGAAAAATAGTTTTTTATCGCACAAGAGCCTACGCAAGCAGTATTATTAAAATGTTTAATGTTCCTTGTAACATGATATTAGAAACACTTGCTCACAATAAAGAACTATCATGTGATTTGTACGGTGCAGTTTTATAAAGAAATCGAACGAATCTACACACTTTGTAATGATTGCTCTGTATTATGTCAGGCCAGGCATGTACTGTTTGCTAGAAATTATGCCCGAAAAACACAAACATTGAAAATATTTAATACAGACGACTTAGATTGTTAGTTATTATCGTTTAAAGCTTACGCGTCTAATATTAACGATTTTTCCACTAATAAACATTGTTGTGTCAAAGTAAACGAATCATATTTCCTCTGTGATTTCCAGGCATAGCTGTAGGTGGTGGTTACACCCTTCTACCGATGTACATTGCCGAAGTATCCGAGGCAGCCAACAGAGGTGCCTACTCTTCAACTCTGGGAATATTTTGGGCTTTCGGGAACTTCATTCCTAACGCTATAGGACCGTTTATGTCTGTGATGTGGTTCAATTTGCTGCTCACTTGCTTCCCGGTAGCTTTCTTCATTACGTTCTACTTTTTGGGGAAGGAGACACCATATTTCCTTGTTGGAGCTAACAAGATCGATGAAGCCGAAGAAGTATGTATTGTTCATTAGGAATGGGCATTTATATGTTTAAAAAATTGAGTTTAATTACTTTTTCTGATATTACTGAAGTTGATATTTGCGTTTTCGATCTCACTTGATGGGTCGTTATGAAAATCTCAGATAGTCAGATCCAGAAGCCCGTTAATATAACATCTAAAACTTACCCTGTGGTTTACATGTCGATAATCCGCCATGCTTCTTTGGTCAATAAAACAACCTGTATTGACAGATATTCATTACTACAGTATTGACGGAAGAAGACATGTCTACAAATATTCAGAAACTGATTAACTCTGCTCTATTTAGAGTATAGGGTCTATCGAAATAAAACAGCACAAAGTGCCATCTAATACCAAAATCGACCAGTACGAAAATGGAAACAGCAAGCTGTCCGTTGGAACTGTTGCCGATTAGCACGAAACATGGTTGACCGTCTGTGGTCGGACGAATGAAAGCAGTATTACTAGTTTGTTCAATGGCGAGTAGACCCTGCTTACTGAAAAACCAGAATTGGCGGCATCTAACGGCGACAGTAGTGACCTGGCTGACAATGCTAACAGGTATTCTGTTCCAATCATACAGCTTGCTGTTTTCATTTTCGCAGTGGTCGATTCTGGTAAGTTTGTGCGGCCTTATTATTTTGTGTGTTCTATATGCATACGAGAGATTGACATGTTTTTATGGAACAACCTGTAAACATCTGAGAGAGTAACCACTCATTCTGGGACAAGCTATACTTCGGTCACATGATATGTGGAAAATCTACCAGAAGTGGTTTTCCCCAGTTCTTAGAGACCTTAACCAGCTCAAAATTATGTCGATATAATATCTTTATATTATTTATCTATCAATAATATGTTTCCGGATTTTGAATAGTCAGGCTTTATCTTTGCGACTGCTTCAAGATAAAATAAACATTTCCAGTGAAGTGTTTTATAGTAAGTTGAATCATTTCCAGGTACTGATGAAATTGAGGTGCCTCGACAACAAAGGTGTAGAGATCGAGCTCAATCAAATAAAGACCAATCTAAAGAAGGAAGAATCTGGCAGCTACTCCGACATCCTCAAGAATGCAGGACTTCGGAAGGCATTCGTCATATCCCTTATCCTCATGGCTCTACAACAACTCTGTGGAATGAACGCTGTCAATTACTACCTCCAAACCATTCTTCAAGAGTCTGGCAGTAAACTGCCTTCAGACATTTCCTCGCTCATTGTAGGCTTCGGGATGTTTCTCTTCAGCTTTTTGGTACCTCCAGTAATGGATAGATTAGGAAGAAAGGTACTGCTGGCTTTATCCTGTACAGGAATGGGTTTGTCCATGTTTATCCTGGGCTCCTACTTTTACATAAAAGATCACACAAGCTGGAGTGTAGAACCCATATACTGGTTGCCACTGCTCAGTCTAGTATTTTTGATATTCTCATACCAAATGGGGGTCTCCATAGTCCCTTGGGCAATCTCTTCGGAGCTTTTTCCGAAGAATGTGAAGCAAGTGACATCTACGGCGGTATCCACCACCGCTTGTGTGTCTACATTCCTTGTTACTAGATTTTTCAATAACATGACGGAATCTTTAGGAGCAGCTGGTACCTTTTGGTTCTTCTCATGTTGTTGCAGCATCTGCTTAGTATTCACGTGTTGTTGCGTACCAGAAACTAAAGGCAAATCTTATGAAGAAATTCAGAACATGGTACAAAAGTGGTCGAAGAGTAAGGAATCGAATGAAGTCTGAAAGATGCTTGTTAATCAATCTTAGTACTTATTACACATATTTACTATAGAAAGACTTGAAATCAAATTGTCCAGTGTTTCAAGAAAATTATATTATCTAAAGCTCAAAATGAAATTGTAAGGTCTTTAAGTAAGATGCTTTTAAAAAATTGGAATCATTCAAAAAATGAGTAAAGGAATAAAATAAGACAAGCTCAGCTAGGTATTGTGAAAACAATAGTCCGATCGCATCACATAGGCGAAAAGACGTAAGCGACAGATGAATCAAAAACTACAGTGCACTTTTTATTCAAACTATTTTCTGTAAACAAAATCTCGAAGCTTATGTATTGCAACGATTTTTGTATGTAATATTCTTTTAAAGGATTTTGCACATTCCTTATGGGTCTCGGTCATCTTTGCTGCTTTAGTATGTCGTTCTCCATGCCAATCTGATCCAAAGTCTCCACTTGGACTATGGACCCAAAATCAGCGATTTTTGAGTAACAGGGTGTTCAATCATCAAAAGTTGGAATTTGAACTTGCTATACTTGAGCGCCCTGTAACTCGAAAACCATTGATACTCCAACCTTTTGTCCACAGAGACTTTTGACCGAAAATGTATAGATGTTATCATCATACCACCCATTATTTATTTTCCATGAGAATTGCAATAATTTGATACCATCAAACAATGTGTCTGAAAATCAGCATTATAGGAACTAGTATGTTTCTAATCGATATCGATGTTGAATTTTTGAATAGGGTATTCAATTTTACATAGATCGCCCCTCTTGAGAATGTTTTGTCGGAATACATGGAGGAATTTTTTTTAATATTTCGAATAAAAAAATTCAACCCGTTCTACTTTAAAAATACAATATGTATGTCTTGTCCTTATTCATTCTCATCAGTGATGCAGAAATGTACAGTCTTGTCTTGGTAATGGGACATCTGAAAACATGAGTATATAGGATCATTTTATGTTATTATTGTAATAGCTTTATTTACGAGAAATATTGCAATTTTTTCACCCTGTATGGAACACAGTTTTTTGCTTTCAACAGATTCTTCGATTCTAGACTAGGTCTGTGAGATTGTTAGTGATATATTTTTTACAAACTAGATGTAAGTAATGATTTGATTTGTACGAAATAAGGTTCCTACAGACAGTTCCTCTTCCTTTAAATAGAAGCAGGGTATATTAAAGTGTTGCATCGGTCTGTGGAACAGCAGTATTTTACAATAGTATTTGTACCTCTACTGTATTAAAAGTAGATGCTACTAGTGAATGTTATATAACGATTAGCATTAATTATTAAACGAACATTTTTGTTGCAATATTTGAGTATAAGTATGGCAATTCCAGTCCAGCCATCTTGACCATATTGCAGCATATGGTACGGCTATATACCTCAGTTATATCAACTATATCTCGGCTATATATTGCCAATATTACATGCAATGTGTAAACATGCTACACCTTTCATAATTTCTCATCAGAAGGGTTACACAAAATCAGTCAATAATGACCGACGAAATTGTGTGCGTCTCGGCCAGCTGATATTACTTACATTACATTAAGTAGGATTCCGATAGTACGGCAATCTGACAGCAATATATGAAAATAGGTCGAAAATATCCAACATGTGAAGCAATGTAGCCGAGCCATACTCAAAGTATTGCCGAATGATGCTAGCTACTCTATTGCAGCTAGATAATGCCCGTTAAGAATTTCCGTTTAGGTGTACGTGATCATTTAAGCTTCCAAGGTGAAGATCGTGATATCAGAAGTAAGCAAGTACATAAGTACACAAATAGTATGAGCAATATAAAATCACATACAGTGCTTTTCAAATGAGGCTTCCCCTCAGCTTATTTTATGAAAATGGTCACGCTACCAGGCTGAAATTTGGGTGATGGAATTGATGCATGAAGAATACTATATTTTAGCGTAAAAGTGTCAGTTGAAAAATTCTGGATGACGTATGGGCGCCATATTGGAGCTTTTTCAAATGAAATAGGAGTCATGTGATAACTTATGAAGCTCCCTCTGCGTACTCCATAAGTGGTGGGGTGTCAAAGTTGAGCGTATTTTGTCCACAAGATAGTGATTTTATATTCTAACATTATAAAGTATGCATAAGAAGTTTCAAAATGGAGTATCGCATAACCATTCCATTAAAAAAAATTATCCAAAATGGCACTCAACCGCCGTTTTGAAACATTCAACCACGATTTTTACGCTAAGATATAGTATTATTTATGCATTAATTTCATCACCCAAAATTTCAGATTACCTACTAACATGACCCGTTTAAAAAAAATTGGGGGAAGGGGATTGAATAATAATCTGAGAAACGTGTGGAATACATAATATATATGGCGACATTGTTTAATATTCGGGAATAAGAAAAATTTTATGTTCGATTGATACGAACTATTTATAAATATTTTTGCGTCCATACAAAATAGTTCTTGAAAAGATCTTGTTGAGTTGTTTGAAATAAATTTATAATTTATATACCAACACAAACTCATTTGTATTCAACAAGTTCAAACAAAAAAGAATGGATGTATATTTGTGTTATCACTAAAGCTTGTTCTGGTGCATTAGGAAAAAATCTTGTTTTACTATTAACTGCATATTGGCTTTCTGGAAACAAAAATGTAAAACAGATTTAAAAATAAAGAATATTTTTCGAATAGTGTGTGTTTTTATACCATTTTTAATAAATCATACTTCATCTTACGATATTATTTTAAATAGGAAAGATTCTATTTTTATGAATGTGACGTGGATATCTTGCGGTTTCACCGTTGAGATTCATGTGGTGGTACCGCTTGCGTTTGGGCGGTTAAAAGTTATATATCAACTACAAAGACGATCACAATAACTCTCAATAATAAACAATTTATTTTTATATGGAAATGAAGTACATACTGTCCGTACCATACATGTTTGAAGGTGTACACAGATTGTAAGCTCATACCCTTGTTTGTTTTAGCACTTAAAAATCATAGAATTATAGCCAATAGTTGAGGATTCTCAGAGTTCAGATCACTGTAAACATGATTTGGTACGAACAGCTATTAGGGAAAGTTCGGTTATCCAGGAAGCCTTTTACCAAAAAAGGCCGACCTGCCATAATGCTCACATGTCTGCAGTACTGTTACTCCAAATGCGCTGTCCATACTTAATGCTAGTCACTTATTGTTTCAAGCATATCTCACCTCTCACTCACACTAATGGGTGGTCGATAACTTCACGCCATTTTACATATACTCGTATATGTCAAATAATTTTCTGCACTCTATCATCATTGGAATTGGAAGAGAGCAATTATCATGTTCATTAAAAATATGCAAGGTGTTCTATTTGAGAAAATACCACTTTATTTAATAGCAGCTTTCAGTATACGAATAAGATATTGTATGAAAATCTCGATATTAGGCTCTATTACCTCCGCATACGGCCCCGTATATCGAGAACTAGCCGTTACGATCGATCGCTATGTAGAATTTCAGAATTTGTCTCTTCGGCTGTTTCAGTAAAAAAATTATTTTAGATACGTCACCGACGCTTCTAGTTATTTTATGTCGCAAAGTTGGTTTGATTTTCACATGGTCTTCACTGTCACTTCAGACCTGACATTCGCTTGAATTTGAAGGATTAATCCGATTTGAAAATAAATTTTGTAGTTTTCAAAAACATACCAAAGCATGGCCGAAGGGGAGCCAAAAGAGAAAACAGAAGATACTAAAAAAGTGGTGCACACATATCCTCTAATAAGGGTAAGTTATATTTCGTAAAATATTGATCCTTTCACGGACATGGTACGGACATCTCCGGCATAATGCCGGAATATACCCAAATAACCAGATTTAAAAAACAAGTTTGCCGCTATATTTTCAGCATTCAGATATGCCTGAAGAAACGAAAATAGAATCCATGGAGTTAGTTGTAACAGCCTGCGAGAAACATTCTTCAAATAATGAGGTAAGGACGTTAGAATAGGGGAGTATTTGAAAATATACATATTTACCAGCAATATAACTGTATCTGCAGAAAGTACACCAAGCCACAGATTATGACCCACTGTAAGTTGAAACCAGAATTTATGTGAGGATTTTCAGAAAATGATAGGTATATCACCTAAAAAACAGAACTTCGAAGATCGTCTCGACCATGGGAACAAAATAATGATTCAATTTTGAGGAAGTTGCGCATTTGTTAAAACATAATAACCAGGATTTGGCTTGGCATGTCTTGGAAAAACTTATTTACCATAAACAAATATTTTGGTCGGATTGGAGGTATTTTTTATTCGTTCTTTGCCTATACAGGTTTAGTTTTTTATAGTATAATAGTTGAAGTGCTACCATTTTTTCCCACCTCGCGCTTTAGCGGCAACCTGAAATGTTTGTAACATGTTTAAAAAACCTGTATAGGGGACTTTAGACTATCTCATAAAGATTCCACCAGTTCAGAGCACAAATCGCTAAGACTATTGTGTACACTTTGAAAAAAAACTAACAAATTTAACACGATATAAAATAGCTCATGTTAAATAAAAGAATGATTTTTTTTTAAATATGATCTCAGGTTCTTAGCATCATCGCTTGTCAAAACCTATAATTTTTTTGAGCGCTATATTATATATAATAGTTGAAAGCATCTTCCCAGATTCTGGGAAAACTTAAAATTCTGACAGAACAGAAATGAAACTAAACAAGATACCTCGGCACTTCGACTGCAGATTGGCAGTTTGTGAATTACTCCATATAAGGGCATAGACATGGTGGAACAGTTCACCTCGCCACGCATCCCACTGCGATGCTTATTTTTCTACTTAACCATTTTTTTTTGTATTCTGTGAGGTATAGTGCAAGTGACTATAGATAACTGAGTTGACTCAATGGTGGTTGATCAGCAATTAACTCTTTTGGATAGCAATGTCATAGTGACGGTAGCTACACCATCCGTATACCCAATGGTACCTTTCAAATTCTCTTCGAGAGGATTGAAACGCTGGACCTTAATAGTATAAATAAAAATACAACAGTGTATTTTGTTGCTCAAATTCGGTGCATCAGGTAGTCGCGTCTATGAACTGCAACAATGGCTTTCAACACCAACTTGCGCAAGAAGAAAGCTCTCCTGAAACGTGAAGCGATATGCAATCATACAACAATCGAATCAAAAGGTTAATTCTCGAAATGAGGGAGTATAGTAAGTGAGAGAAAGTAAGCGTACCTTTCGGAGAACTATAATCCTGAACACTGATACGAATAAATCGCGTCCAGCGACATGGTTGGGAGAAAAAATGGGGTAACCTCACCGTCGTCTATCAGTCTCATTTCTAAATATGAAATTAGCTTTGTGACAGAACGTTTAATATTATGAAGAACCTGGGAACACATTATTTTTACGATAATGGATCATTCTCCTGGGAGCATTCTATTCTACTGCGCACAAGAATTAGGGTCCAGGAATGTTGTAGATACGAGTATTTGTATCGTCAAGGTTCAGGCGTTTACTGAAGCATCATATGCTAAAATACAATTCGTCAAAGCAGTTCATATTATCAGGGCCATTGACGAAGTAGGTGAGGACGGAATCTTTGAAATAGAATTTGTTTCCGATGCAAGCTACCGAGATTATTACGAACGTAGTATAAAAGGTGTATACTCGGCGGCCATGTTGTTTCCAGTCGCTGGGGGGAAAGAAGCATTCCCCGTATGGCAACTTGCGCATATGTATAATCGCGGATGAATAAAATTAAGCTAACACTCACTAATACTGTGAATACAAAAGCCTGACGTATTATTTACTTTCAACTTTGCTTGACTAGCTCGACAGCTGAGGGTCACCGTATAGCTCCCTACTATAGATACCGATTATTACGCTTTGTGACAGTTTTTCAGCAGTCTTCCTGACCCTTCACATATTTGTAAAATTCATTGATCATCGTTCTATTTAATTGTACTTGTTTTACAGTAAACAAAAAAAATGATTTATTTATCAGATTATTTTTCATAAGTAGGCAAAAGTGATGAGAGCAAAAAAATTGAAAGAAAAAATGTGTATGATATTTTGTCGGCAACAGGTACAGTCTTCTTACTGATCCTTTGCAAATGAGAGAGTTACTGGAAAAACTTCCCGGGTGTTGAACTACCCCAGCAATAAAAATTATTCAGTTTTTTTTAAGCATCCAATGCTCAATCACACATCTGTTCCATGACAGATCTCCTCGAGCTGTACTTTTGTGTATCCTCAACCTCATTCATTTTGCTAGCAGTACTTGCCCATCTCATTCAATATTTTAGCATCTCTGTTATAAAACCAGGCTGACGCTGACATCAGAAAATCATGAAACAAAATGCCATGTTGCCACATGAATAGTTGCTATCCTCCAAATCACAGTGTTGTAGCTGATACAGAATGGAAAGTGCGTTTCGAGTCACTACAAACATCGCTCAAAGCTTGGTCGCTAAGGTATCGCAACTCTACCCACCATGACGAAATGCTGTAATGCGCTTCGGTGGTGTAATGCATTACAAACGACTCAAGGGTTTTACTGAATATGTTTTTGGGGAATCTGACACTTCGGGCGGAAACCGCTGATAGAAAAGATCTATTCAGCTTTTCAGCCTGGGGATGGCTATAAATGCTTTTCCTGGTTGAAAAAAAACGTTGCAACTCAGCGACTCAAATTACAGAATTTGATTGTATAATGTATCCTGCAATATCATGTCTTCTGCTTTCAGGCAGCAGCAAGAATGATAAAAGAAGAAATGGACAAAAAATTTGGACCTCCATTCCACGTTGTAGTTGGTGAAGGCTTCGGTTTCGAGATATCTTACGAGTGTTCAAACTTACTCTATATGTTCTTTGGAGGAAATCTAGCCATATGTATTTGGAAATGTTAATGCGTCCGAAATGGTTTTATTTTTTATATTAAAAATAAAGTTGATAACAATATATTTTTATTGTATATATAAAACAATATAATTGTAAAGCTTTAGATATTATTAGTATACTAAGTGTTCTTCAGAAACAGAACTCAGTCAAGTAACAGAATACACCAAGTAATTATAAGGTTGATTCTCACTATACATTCCGTTTCCATTCCATATCAGTTTCGTAAACGTTCAGTACAATTTGATTGTATACACAGTATACCGTACGGATAATGTGCATACACATGCAATAGCCTGCTTTAAGCGAAGGCGAATATTTAATTTCAATAATTTGCGGAACGGTTACGGAATGGAAACGGAATGTATAGTGAGAACCAACCTTTAAGCAGCGTGTGTAAGTTTTTCTTGCTCTGTGACAACACGTTAATTTTATAAAAGCTATTTACTCATAACAACTTGGTAATGATAATATTCCCAGATCCTATAACAATTTGTCTAACCTGATAAAACAATGGTTCAAATACAGTTTTTTTCGCTAAAATACGCGGATTTTATACTACCGCACCACCAGAATCCTACAATCAAATATGATTGATTCCAGTTCGAATGTAGCTTTTTGGACAATTTTGCGGAAAGCTGTCGATAAAATACCATGATCGAACGTCTTTCTTCCTAAAAGGGCTTTAGCAAAATGTTAGTTTGAACTGCAAATGAACCATGGATTTATCAAGATCGATGAATTTATGGGATCTAAGTATATAAGATTATGTTAAATAAAAAAATAACATAATAGCAAAGAATATACACATATAAATGATAAAATTTACAAAACGAAAATTCGAAGCAATACAACAAATAAAAACTATAACATAGTGTACAACTGACAGACATAAAATGTAATAAAACTGTAGGTGGAATTCTTAATACAGGAAAGGAATCATTAATAAGATCAGTGCTCATATTTCTTTGCATCATTTCACACAACCAAAACTAGTTCGCGTTCTTATTGCATTTCAAATGTAGAAATTATAAATCTAAAATACTACTTAAAATATATATTGGCAAAACATAAAAAGTATCACAGACCTAGATTTTGTTCTTCATACGCTCCGACGCTACGACCCTGACAAACATAAAAAATTAAAACGATAATTTCAAAAGTAACCTTAGAACTTCATGTGGCCATCTGTTTTTAATTAATACTGTAATGGAAACAACTTACCTTCAAACATTGGATATAACTTCTAGGCCTACAGAACATGAGACAAAAACAAGTAAAAAAATCCAAATTCGACAACTTTTGCAGTAAGCTAAAAAATAATGAAATATACACCTTATGTAAAAATTCTATAAGAAACTTGAAAACTATATATTTTTTGTAACTCTGCTACTTTTTTAAGACGCTTCCTGTTTTTTTAAAAAATAGCCAATAATTTTGCATAATAATTATGTGTGTTCTACCAAGCAGGTTGAAGACAAGTACTGATAAAACATGTAAACATTATATAAACCAATATTCATTAATAACAGTAGTCAAAATTCTAATATAATGTTTTGAAAAACATTGAATGTAAATAGTGTAACAGAAAATAATTTACCAATTCTTATGTTTGTCAGTTGTCATAGCCGACCATTAAATGAAGCAAAGAAAAATGTTTCATAGAACTAGAAAACTATTGTTTTATCAATTATTAATACTTGAATGAGAATGGACCAAAAACTTATTTAACGGAATTGCACAATCCAAACTACCATCTGTTAAAACTTACTCGTACTAACGATTACTTGTGTTTTCAACATACTGAAGACATTATGTTCAAAGGACTACCTCGTTATACTACGTTCAGTCGTTTTGTTAAATAAACTTCGTCTTCTACTGGCCTGAAGAGTATTTCGTCACCACATCTTTTGTAATTTTGGCAAGTTGGAATGCTATATCTCTAATATTACCGAAGTGAACATCAACGTTTTTACTATCGTTGTTTATGTGTGAGTTTTGCAAGGCTTGACACTCTGGTTGTAACTTTGATACAAAATCTATCATTTGTTTCATCCTTTCAGCCTCAGTTTCCTAAAAATACCAAATAAAGTGACAATGATACGTTTAAGTGGTTAACAACCTAGATCAAAATGAAATGTGATCAAATGCAAATGTTTCGTAAAAATATGCCGTATAAGCCACAGAGACTGCGGAGATACTCAACGCCGGAAAAAAATTAGGAGAGACTGTATTTTGGCACACTAGTAGTAGTTAACAGTATTAAGATTATAAATCAGTACTATCCCACTTGAAATAGTTTAAACATATTATACTTTTATCTATATCCCGTAACAAAGGAGTTTCAGAAATGAATCTGAAGAAATTTATTATAGGAACCGTAGAAGTCTGGATATTTATAACTCATCAGATCCACTAAGATTTTGAAAAAGCATATGCGTCTTATAGATCAAAAATGTGTTTGCAAGATGGTTAGAGCGCACAAACTCACTATTAGCATTCCAAAAGTCTAACACCCCAACCTAAGAAATCCTCAATTTTCGGTATAACCAAAATACGAGTTTTTCTATGTGAGGTCATAAATTGTTTATACCCGATTCGAAGTCCATTTACGTCCCGGCACAACAAAGATGCAGCGCGGCAAACCGGCAGCCGCCTAAGCGTTGCAATAGCTATTGGTCATTCGGTCATAGAACTACGAACAAGTGCAGGATAGAACTCAGGCTCGGGGTATCGCCGGCACGCCGGCGCCGGCAGTTGCTGTTCATATTCGGTGCATACAGTGTTTATACGTTAGCATGTCGTCTACGGATACAGCAGAGGAAACTGAGAATATTTCACCCAATGCTTCCTTCAGCCATGCCTTCTCTTCAGTGATGCCTCCGCCCCGAAAACGTGACAAGAAGGAACGTCTGAATATTCAGGCAAAAGAAATTGTCCTTAACGTTTATAAGAGCGAAATTTTACAGCATCCTGAAATGGAAATTCATGATAATGAAAGACGAACAAAACAGGTACGTGTATCTAACCAATTCGTCATTTGTGTAAAAATCTTGTCAAGTAGACTGAATCTATGAGCCACGCTGAAAACTTAGGTATATCTGGTAGACTTGGAACCAACACCTGTTAAATACTCTGCTTGTATTATTATTAGTTTTCTTGAATATTATATGAAATAATTATTTCCAGGAAAAGGAAAACGATTTGTTATCTGTCACAATGGCAGTGAAGATGGCTTGTGCCCACTGCCCTATGGGCATTTGGGTCACAGAAAACGACCGACTACCGTGAAGAAATGGACGGGAGTTCATTTGAACGATGGTTTCAAGTAACGCTCCCAAGCTTGACGACAATGCCGTAATTGTACTTGATAATGCCGCATATCACACTAGAAAACTAGAAAAAATTCCCACAATGTCCACAATAAAGCCAGAAATTCAACAATGGCCCCTATCAAAAGACATTAGTTTCAATGAAAATATGGCCAAAGCAGAACTTATTTATCTAGTCAGGCAGCACAAATATAAATGTAATCTTAATGTTATTGACAAAATGGATAAAAACCAAAATAATACGGTTTTAAGGATACCCCCTTATTACTGCGAATTAAATATCATTGAAATGATTTTGGGAAATATAAAAAACGTGTGACAAACGTTCAAATTTTCCGAAGTGAAAATTCTGTTTTATGAAGTTGTCAACAGAGTGACGGCAAACCATTGGAAAGATTGCATCCGTCACGTTCAAGAGACAATCGAATCAAAGATGTGGGATCTGGACAATATGATTGATATTCAAATTGCACCTGTAACAATTAATATTAACCATTCGGACGATGACTCAAGTACTTCCAGCGAATAAAGAATTGTGACAAGTATGTGCACTTCTTTCTATAAAAATAATTATTCATTTTGTTAGATTATTCCAAGACCATTGAGAAAAATACGGACCTGTACAATCTCGCTTTTGGACTTGTATTTTGTCTGGGCGTTAATGGACTACGAATGGGGTATAGTATCTATGACCTTATGAAGATATGGGTTTTCCAATAATGAGCTTCTCACAGTCTCAAATGGTCATTTACAGCAGACTGTTTCAGTTCACTCCATAGCTAGACAACATCGTATAATTAAGTTGTCTGGACGACCGTATTTGACAGTCCCTAATAGTCAAAAACGCCTAGTTTGAACTGACTAAATATATGGTCAATTTGTCCATTTTACACAGAGGTATATGTAATTTTCTAGAGTTATCAAAAATAAACCTGATAATAGAGATTACATTGAAACAGTATGTAAAATGTGTGCGATGATAATAGGGTTTTATTAAATTTGTAATAATAGAGAGTTTTTTCAATTACAAATTCCGCACACTCTAATAACTTCTCAGATTTTTGATGTGAATGATTATAATCTTTTCTAGTACAGATACTCACTTTAGGTAGATGAGAAGCAAGTCGAATGATGGCCAATTTGACTCCCTCTGCGCTAGAAACACATTCCTCTTTTTCAGGATCTTGTATACACCTACATAAATGTTGAATGGTTCTAGTTATTTGTTCTGTGCATTGCAAGACAGTTTCTCGATCCTGCGATGAAACGTATGTGCTATGCATTGTGTTTCTTATTGAATCTCCATGTTTTAACTGTAAAACCAATAAATAATTATAGTTTCAAAACTGAAAAATAGAGAAGACTACCTGGTTTTTCATAACATGCCAATTAGGAACTTTACTGATGCCCTCTCGGGTTTCATACATGCTCGTCGGCCTCTGATTTCTTCTACTGTGCCTAAAGTCAACTTCGTCTGCAACACGTCCATTCTGAATTGAACCAGAGTCGGTCTAGAATGATGTATTAAACATTGAAGGGTATAGTAACTTCAGCGGATATACTCTGCTTTAACACAAACACATCTCATCAATCGCAAGATCTAAGTTGTTGTTAAGCCAAGAAATGGTCATTTGTATTATTGATATATTTAGTGGTTTGTCCATCTATCACTTCAAAATTATTTGCATTGTAGTTCAGCTATCATACTAGAGAATCGAATTGTTCAATCCGAAAGGCCTACCTCAGAAATATGTTCTAGGGACTCAAATCTGCTATCTCCATTGACCCTAGAAGAAGCTTTGGTTTGAGCAAGTTTGTTCTTGAGTATTGAATTCTCCGTTTGTAGAACCTTCACATACTGTCTCAACTTATAAACCTCATTTTTTAAGTCCGTGATGGTATTATCAGAATTTTTCAGCTGCTTTGTTAATTGTTCCAATATTTGATTCGTTTTACTCACACTATCCAAAGATATAATACTATCTTTGTTCGTATTATGTGAAGGGTCAGAATGTTGCGACTGTGGTGACAGTGTATTTGGGGATGTTGGTTTCTGAAACACAATATAGTTGATCATAAGATACTTTAAGGGTTAGTTGAGATACAAAATGGCTCAGCTATGTTAACTAATTCTTCTATTAGCCTAATGTATAGCAGACCTAGCAATGAATTTATTTATAACACTTTGCAGCTTTCTTAGAGCCGTAAAGGCTCGATATAGAATTTTTAAAACTGGTAAACCCGTCTATTTGCTCTGTAAGTTGATTCCTCGTGGAAACCAAATTACTCTAAATCTGCGGCACAATGATCTACTTTCCATTCCTATACATCGTACGTCGGTCTTTGAAAGGTCCTTTACTTATAATGCGGTCAAGGTATACAATTCTTTACCAGCTAATCTCTAAGAGCTTAAGTTTGCAGCGCTTCAAGAAGACAGTCAAGTTCCACTTTCTGGACTCAGCATATTGAGTGATAAATTCATTTTGCTGAACGATATCTTGTTCTTTTGTTTCTTTTCTTTGTATATGTTCATATTATATATTTACTCCTTTTTAATGCATTCCTTACAGCTACTGATTCATGTTGTTATGCTAATGTTTTGTGATGTCTGGTTGTAGTATGGTTGAGTGGTAGAGTAGCCATGGCTAAACTTCGCCATACTATGATCATCTTCTGAATAAAGTCATTATTATTATTATATAAAGTTCAATATCATACTTGTATAGAATTGGCAACTGGAAAAACGGTCAAATCTCGTTTACGCCTCGTCAAAAAAACACCAGCGCGCGACATCAAAATATTACAGAGTCGAGTGTTCATGTTTGTGTGGCGCGAGGTAAGTGAGAATTGAATAGACTTTAGCTAGTCGTGGTTAGGAAAGCAGTAGTGTATACCCTATTTTACGAGTATCCATCACGCTTTGACGTCTACTGAGGTGATCAGCTGGTCAGCAAGTGACATTTTTGTGTTAGTCTGCAACGTTGGCTATAATGAATCTAGCAAAAATGAACCTGTAGCGTACAAAGAACCAAAATAAAATATGGCTCTGTCTACCTGGCATTGGCGGATCTGTCGGAATTATGTGTCCTTTGCCGATATGGGGAATTTTTAAATATTACTAAATAACTAGCTGTCATTCTACCGTGATGTATACTCGTGAAATAGGGTATACATCTCATATCGTGTCATGCACTCTAGCATATTCAATGATAATCACGTTTCAATAATTAGCACCAACAAAAAATGCTAAAAAGCAACCCAAAGAATAATAATTTTTATCCTTTTTGTTTGAAAACCTATTCTAATTCTGCGCTAAAAATATATACTATCTAGTTTAAACCTCACTTTTATGCTGTCCACTTACATATGGATTAGATCCGATTTCCAGTGTTTTTTAGCAAATGGGCACGTAAACGCAACTATAAAAAACTGTTTTTTGATGTTTTGCTTTGACGTTGACAATTTGTATCCCACTGCCAAACTAACAATGAAAATGTGAAACACATTTTGCCTTCATTTTCAGAAGCATTGTCAGTCTATCCAATTGATGCTTTTAGAATGATGGCGCAACACGTCTGCATTTTTATTGTAAAGCTTCTGGGTAAATGTGCCGAATTCATATATAAGTGTAGACATTCAATATTATTATTATTATTATTATTATTATTATACAATAGTGTCTAGTTATAGATGAAGCCAACTACAAGCCGTTATGAACTTGACTTCTTGCGCTCTCTTGTGATCTTTATCATTCAGGAACATCTCAAATGCACGTTGTGACTCTGGGTCATACATTATCAGTTTTTCACCATCCTCCATTGTCTGGTATCGGTTTAATGTGAGTTTAATAAAAAAACAAAAACGATGAAAAAACATTACCTAACAATCTTGACACATTGTGATTTTCGTTATCCAATTCCTATACCGTATTTTACGAGTATCCATCACGGTAGAATGACAGCCGATTATCTAGTAATATCTCAAAATTTCCCATATCAGCACAGGGCACATAATTCTGACGGATCCGTCAACGTCAGGTAGTCAGAGCCGTATTTTGTTTTGGTTTTATATGCGCTACAGATTCATTTTGTACTTGCTAACAGCTCTTTTATTTAGAAAAAACAGAAGGCTACAAACAAGTTTTACGAGATTTACACCTGATTCATTATTGCCAACGTTGCAGACTAACACAAAAATGTCACTTGCTGATCAGCTGTTCACGTCAGTAGACATCAAAGCGTTATGGATACTCATGAATTAGGGTATATTTTGGAGCGTATAACACCGAATAAAAAGCTAGTGCATGAGAGTGCAGGGGATTTCAAAAATGAGTAGTTCAGATGTGTGACACTATAGAGCAGTGGAATGGTGTTGACAGGTTCTGGGCAGCACCGAGTTAGTTCGAGTTACAGAAATGAGGCACTGGAAGGGTTCGGCGTTCATGTGTGGCACACAGACCGTTGCGTACATTGATACGATTACATCGACTCGACTCGTACGGGAAAACCGCGTGTAAGTGATTTTGGCATTCATGCAATGGCTCGCCAGTTCTCGATCCCTTCGATATCCGGATATGAATGAACAACATTGATGATAAAACAAAGCAAGATATTTGACATTGCAATCTCAATGGTCGCTTTCATCATGACAGACCAATGCGTTGAGATACTGTCATGACGACATGACTAGTGCTTAACTGCCTTTATAAGTGAAAATTGCAAAAGCATTAGGCCTCAATCAGTAGTCCAATGTATTCAAATGACTTAACTTTGGAAACACTCCAAACATTATAACCAGTACTTGCCTCTTCATCAGGAACTGAAGCATAATCTTCATCTGACGCTACCGAATCATATAAGGGATCGTCATCAACAGTTGACATTTCCCCGAATTGGGAAAAATGAGCTACAAAAACAAAAATTTCTTAAGCACTACAACATACATGTATCAAAAACTAATTACCATTATCGGACATCATCTGCCTTCTTTGTGTATCAACCAAAATGTCATAGACTAAACTTTTGAACTCTGGAGTGGAAAATCTTGCTAACTTCTGCCTGCCTTGATTTCTGGTGGTAGAAAGCGTGTTATCTACTGGTAGAAATGGGACTCCGTTAAAGTCGGTGGTATCGCCACAGCTTAGCCAAACTATAACAGCAAAATATATATGCATCGATACTTCAACCACATAGACCGACAGTTTTACGAAAGGTTCATTTTGTGAGTATTCGGATACGTGAATTTGGGTTCCAAAATCCCCCCTCAACATATTAATATTCGAAATCGAATGAATTACATATATGGAGTGGATAAAGCTGTTGTCTTGAAATTCTGTGATACGGCAAAGGTTAGTATTACCCAAAAACCGACGTATCGACATTTGTTCAACTGGATTTTTGGAGCAGTATTCGAAATTCTTTCCATCTGATCATTTCATGGTGAGTACGAGTATAGAGATGACTAAAAAACAATGTTATCATTTTTTTTTGTCAAAAATGCATTTTTGTGCAATTTTTTTTTTGTCAAAAATTTATTTTTTTGTCCATTTTTTTTAAATCGTAAATCGTTAACGAATATCAATACAGCTTTAAAATTGTATGTCAAAATTCCACTTTTATAGTAGAATTGGTGAGAGGAGATGGCATATTCCTCATTAATCTAGGAGCAGCAACTAATGTGGTGTATGCCCTTATACGTATGTCCCGTCAGTTTGAACGCGAGGTACCTGTAGTATATAAAAAACCGGTCACGTGATCCAAATCGTGGTCGTTGGGCCAAATGAGACTTTTGACCAGATTGGTATGAAGAACAACATACTGAAATTTCCGCCAATTCGAGCATAATACATTTGCCAAAATAACGGATTCCGTGCTTTTGGGGTCTCCCATCAAGCCAAGCCCTGGACATGTATCCTTTGTGTCCCCAGGTTAGATGAATAGTGTTCATATTTAAATGACAAACTATGTAAATTATGAGCTAAACAGTTCATCAAAAGTGCAAAAATTGATACATAAATTTGTAGCAATGCAAAAGACCCCCACCTGGTTAATCATCCTGGGCAAAACCTCAAACTGTAACATGTCATACTTTATTGTTTGCATTTTTGCAAACCTGGTATCAAGTTTGTATTGTAAAATGAGCAACCAACATCAATTCGCTTCACTGTATACAAAACTATAAGCCTTACAAACCTTCCTAAATACTTGCATGCACACAATTAATAATGATGTAGAGTATGTATTCATCAAGTAATAAATCAACTCACAAGTGAATTCTAAGAAATTGAGTAAGATATAAAAGTATTTTTACCGAGTAATATCAAATACACTGTTGCAAATAACTAATAGTGCACGAAATTCACTAATAACTAATACTTCCTACTAAAAAGTGAAAACGACACTAGTAGCGACCATAAAGTAGAGAAGCATACTAAGCAATAAAAAATCTTAACGAGTACTTACAGATCTCCTTGAATGCTCTGAGACACATAATAGCATGTAAATATTAACAGCTTGTGTATTGCATACTAAATAATTTAAACGTTTCCATCATATGGACTGTTAAGCGCACTTTAAAGCGGCGAGCGGACAGCGTCAGTTTATTAGTCATGTAAATAACAATATGACATAATGTGCATCTATTAAAGATAGGCTATGAATTTTGATTTAATATTGCGTCATCTTTTATTTATTGAGAATATACAAAAATACTCACTTGCTTCCGTCTCCCGACGATCCACCTCATCGAATACATCCATTGCAAGTTCTTCAAAAAGGGTATTGTTTATCTAAAGTAATAAATATTCCTAATAATCCAGGTTCTCATCCACCACAAAATATAATAATAAAATAAAATAAAAATAAATAATACGTTAACTGATGCAAATTCTGTAGCTCATAATGAACAAGATTGAAAGTACGTCAAAATTATGATTCAAATTTCTTTTATTGTTAAGAATTAGCCGGATAAAAGGGGGTTTACTCGAATAAGTATGGCAAAGTGCGCTTGTGTTATCGCTGACGAAAAAAGTTAAGTCAAAAATCACTAAGGGCCGTATCGTCAGTCATTCCTACAATAATTGTAGGTGGCCTTCATGGCCTCTTTGATTTTCATAGTTTTTTCTCTCCTTCAGAAGGGCTGGGGTATTTCTAGATTCCTACTATTCCGTGTCAGCGTCAACGCTCTCCTATTATGAAGTTATGTTTTCTATTTGAATTGTAGGAAATTTCATCCTGATAAAACATGATATAAATCAAAAGCATAAACAATTTAATGCAAATATATATTTGTGACATAACCTCAAAATAGAGCGCTGACACGGAACACTAGAAAGCTATGAAAGCCAAGGAGGCCATAAAGGCGTCCTAGAATTGTAGGAACTACTGACGATACGGCCCTAAGCGGCAATGACAAACTCGTATTTATATAGCATCTCTAAACGATTAACGTCTTTGGTCACCGAGTCAGGCTAAGATTTTTTTGTACAAATCGTCGTCGGTAAAGTGACATGAGTTTCACAGACTAATTTCATGGTTTTTGGTCTGCGTTGTTTTTATTGTCTTGATGCGTTGCAGGCGATCCACTATGGATGCAAAAAAACATCCTGTTAGGTTAGTGTATTGTAAAGACAAGATAATAGCACCTCTCTAGATGCTGTCTTAATGCAAACTCGAGATTAGACACCTTTCTAGAACTCCTAGCGACTGAGCTAAAGAATTTTCTTCATCTTCCACATGAAAGGAAAACAACGTGTATGCTGAACTTAAGAATTTAACGTTTTATGGCCACTATATCACAAAAATAGGTCACCTATCTCTTTTGATGTGTCTGCAAGTTTGTAAATCTGTCCATAGTTTTTATCACAGTAAATTTGTGTATTCACTTTTTCAATTTTTTCCTACACATGCGTTGTCCTAAATTGCAAACAATATATTTACTTGCTTAATTGAAGATAAATCTTTCTGGTGCATACCAATTACGAACCAAATGAATTGGAATTTCAGAACATAGCAAATGCATTACCTTTTGAAGCTTTGAGAGGCACACAGAATTGGACTTGAAACCAGTTTGTGGGATGTAAAAATGCATTCCACTATTGTGATCTGGTTTATGCAGCGATAAGTAATAACTAAAAGTATCTGTTACTTCATACTGGTTTTCTATTAATCTGCTGAGCAAATCCCTGTTATTGAATTTTCTGAAAATAAAGAACCTCGTTCAATATGGTAGAAAAATGCAAAAAATAATGAGTATATTATGAAATATTTGGGCTTACTACCAAAAAAACAAAGATCCAAATTATTATTAGATGTATCATTTAAGGTTATAAATTTATTCAGCATTGATGCTACAACAGCAATTTTCATATAATTTAAAGTTGTTATGGCAACTATGATTTTCAAATATATTTATGTACTCATTTAACATAGTTTTTTACTACAAAAGAACATTGAAAGATGATCACCTTGCATAATCAAGTGCTGTTTTGCCCTGATTATCAGGGTAGGAAGGGTCAGCCCCATGTACTAACAACAATTCTACCTGAAGCTTTTGGTCTGACTTTATCGCAATATGCAAGGGTGTTGACCCTTTCTCCTACAAATAAAAATATGTATAATGCAGAAATTTATAGGGGTCCTTGGCAATTATTGACCTTTATCATCATTGAGGAGACTAAACATTTCAGCCATGAAGCACATTTAGATGTGACCCAAGTAACCTTTAAAAGTTTCACCTATAAGGTGATCTATGCATAGATGACTTTTTCTTGCATAATGACAAGTCATATAATGTCAAATGATCCACAAGGTCAACAATGTTTTTCTATCCATTTAGTTTTCTGCCATAAACAAATATAAGCTAAACAGCAAACAAAATGTATAGTCACAATCTACTACCATAATCCATTTTGAAAACAGGGTCCCTAGGCAGCAAAGTCAAATTCTGATACAATTCCACTAAAACCGTTATAAACTGATGATACTTTTGAGATGACAATTGTATTTATCATATATATTTTTTCTTAATGGAAATATGTACAAATTATTTGGACCATGGTAGTTTGCCTACTTTAATGCATTCCAGAATTTCTGATCTGGTACCCCTTCTAATTATGTATGGTAATATTGCCTTGTAAATGGATTATTTCTGTTAGGTAATAAATGTTATTATTATTATAACACAATATTCAGTTTGAATTATTGCACAACATTTCTGCAACACAAAAAGGTCACCCTAAATAACGTGATTTCAATAAACAAAACAAAAAAAACAAATGAGAAAAATGATTAAGGCTAGATAAAATGTAGTCTCCTCTAGTTAATTAGTAGTAATTGTTAATACATCATGGAAGTAGTTTGGATCTGCTCCCAATGCTAACAGCCTAAAAGAGGTCTCCAGGTTAGCTGTGCGTACACTTGCATGGAGCTGTTTTCCCAGCTCATTTTCCACACTTAACAAACCATCTTCATAGCTTTCACGAAATGCAAATGCACACTGCACATGTTTCATCTTGATATATTCCTGTTTGATACTGAAAGAAAGTTACATGTTTATAAATTATGCTGCTTATAAAAGATCAAAGATAAAGCTAAAACTTACACCTAACCTCCTAAAAGCCTTATTTTAGAATCTTAATATACCTGAGTTTCAAAGGTACAAATTATCATAAAAACTTCTGTAATAAAAAGGTATTCCGCCATACTCCAAAATGAAATTACTTGTATATCAAAGTGAATTAAGCCAATCAATCCAATTGCTGTCAAAAACAACAGTGGGTTCTTCGTCGGCTTTTTCTAAGAGACCATTTTCTTGCGAATAATTTGTTATACTACTCATACTCTTGTTTTGTTTTCACTATTTTTCTGAATAATTGAAAGAAACGATCATACCTTACAACAAATACTACGTATCTATATTCGGTATACCTATGCACTAAGTCCTATTATTCTAATTAACTGTGACACACAATTGAAGGTGTTGGTAGGGTTACTTCAACAAATACCTCATCTAGGTTATTAAAAATACTGTCAGTTTTAAAAATTTATTTGTTACGTAGTTAATTTACAATGGAAAGCTATACTAGAAACGAGAAAATTGACATGCTGTTAATTTACGGGAAGCAAGAAACTGAAGTAGCTCTAATTTATTCTCAGAGATTCCCCAATCGTCGCCATCCCATCCGGCATTATTTTTTAAAACTGAATCAGAAAATGCGAAATGAACCAGAAGGAAATGCCAATAACTTTATCCACAGTAAAGAAAAAGAAATAGACGTGTTGACCTACATATGTTGAAGTAAATTGTACAACGTCAATTCGGCAAATTGTTTTAGAAAGTGACAAACATAAGTTATTCATCCTTTGAAGAATTCTTTGCTAATGTAGATATTGAGCATTCAAGAACCAATTACACCAACTTCTTTACGTTGACGACCACAACCGAAGATTAACTTATTGAAACTGGTTTTTGACTAAATACAGAAATGTACGTTTTCCGTTCAAAATTATTTGTTCAGACGAAAGTCGGTTTACCAGCTTGGGTATGTTCAATCAGAATAATAAAAGATACTGGGTCACAAACAAACTTACATCTAATGCAATAAGGAAATTTTCAAGAGTGATTTGGTTTTGCTGGATGGGTATTAGTGGAGCAAAACTTTTTAGGCCAATAATTTTCGATGGACAACTTACTGCAGAAAGATATCTACAGTTACTAAATAATGAAATAAATGGTTTCATTGAAGATTTGCTACTGGCTAACCAAGTTGATAACTATTTTCAAAAAGTTGGGTCTCCACCTCACAATTCTCATGTGGCAAGAGAACATCTGAATGAGACCTTCCCAGAAAAGTGTATTGGCACTAATGCACCTGTTCAATAGCCTCTGAGGTACATCCTCAAGTTGTCATATTTTTTTGGAACGTCTAATTTGTTTTTCATATTTTAGATCACCCGATCTTCCTCCACTAGATTTTTTCTTTGTGGGACAATTAAAAATCAGTTCTATAAAACTATGTCAGCTACTTACGAAGAACTGGAGCATAAAGTAATGGCGTCATTCCAAATCATCACTGCGGAACAGTTCATCAACATGGTGCAAGTAACAATTGATAAAGTTGAACTTTGCCATGATCAAGGAGGAGGCCGTTTTCAACACTTAGAACCTTAATCGCACATTCTTGAAGTTTATTTTTTGTTATAATAATGATAGGATATGTATTTAGTTCATTTGTATAGTTTACTCCAACATAGGTCATCACATCTATTTCTTTTTCTTGATTGATAAAGTTATTTGCATTTTATTATGGTTTGTTGCACATTGTGTATTTCAAAAGTAACACCTTCAATTGTTTGGCACAAATAACTTGAATAATAGAACTTAGTGCATAGGTATACCAAATGCAGATCATATTCTATGTTGTTAGGCATGATCATTTCTTACATTTATTGTTCAGATAAATAGTGAAAATAAAACAAGTCTGTAGTGTCAAATAATTCGTTAGAAAATGATCGCTTAGAAAAAACTGACGAGCCACCAATCTTTAAAACGACTGTAAGGTTGTTAGCCCCAAAATCATATTTCTCGTGTTACTTGATCAAAAATGAAGCAATTTACATAGCATTCAACATCAAAAAATAAAAATTGAAATAAAAATTACTTTATTATGGAAACTAGCATAATGCTAGCCAAGCCTGGGACCATATAAGAACTACAGACCCCTAAATTACAGGGCCCCAGAGCAGAGAAAATGTGTTTAGAGAAATATTAGCTACAATCCTGGACCTAGCATAAAAATTGGATTAGTACTTCAAATTTGGAGTGCCTTAGCTTGCGTTTATGGCTTCTTCGAAATAAGGCAAGTTTTCTATAACAATGTTCTTACTTGATGGAATCTTTTGCTGTGGGTTTCTTCTTCATTAGCTTAGATCCATTTTCAAACAATGCATGTTCCCATATATTATTTGCACCATTGTTATTCAACGCATAAACCATCTGCAAATGATAAAATCTATTGTCTAGAATCAAATAACCATCTTTCATTATAAAAACCTACATTCAGCTGATTGGGGTGCCATGACCCCTTCAGCAAAGACTTCACTTGAGAAATGTGTCTTCCGAGGCTACGGTGGATGCTACAGCACGGCGTGCATAATAAAATGCCTTTATTCACTGAGGCCCAAGTGGCATCTACAAATAGGATAGTTAATTGACTGAATTTTATAGTTAATTAGCATGGAAATAGGATACTCACCTAAGGCTCCACAATCACCGCACACCTCCAAATTTTGTTTGGGTTTTGCACGTGACATTTTTCCACCCTTCTAGCACAAACGATGGTGAATCACAAAATTATAAAAACAGATTAAGTCATAAAATAAACAAGAGAACTAAATACCTACTACACTTTACGCCATTTTTCGGCTATGCTAAACTACACTAAACTACAAAACGTCAAAACATAGTACACGGTACAGCCAGAGTTGCCAGATTCGTCTGGAGAAATAATCGTACAGACGCGTCGGAATTATCGTACATAGTGCCGTAGGTCTCAGCCTTCATGTTCACAGAGGGAGGTGCGCTCCAATGCCTGTGTAAAAAGCAAGGGCGGAGATGTGCGAACGTAATTGTTGGATTCCGCAAAATTACACTGTTCGGCATTCTGCAATTTTTTGTCGCTCCCCGAAATTTTTCGGGTTTGTTGCGTCTACTGTATTGTACTGAAATCTAATATGCAATCAGCTTCTCCCAGCACCTACAAATTTTTAGACAAGAGAGAATATAAAATATCAAAATTCCAAATTATCAGCGATCAAGTGGTGAATTTTTAAAAATTGAAAAAAATTAAAATCCACTTTTTTAGGAAAGCTACTGGTTATTGTATAAAAAACAATCAAACAATTTATTTAGTTGTCTTTTTTCGTTTGTATTAGCCGGGAGCGATTTCACGTTTAATGGCCCAGCAGTGGACCGCTAGCATGTTTGGGGTCCATTTTCCACTATAGCGTTTCTCCATCTAAGCAAATGATGAACTCTTCCGCCATGCTCGTCTGAAACTGCACCCAAATTGTCACGGAAGAATTCTAAATGGGAGTGACGAAAATGCAGTTAAGTGACATATTGCAACTTAAGGCCTTTTAAGATTGGATAAGTTCTTCAAGTAGATCTTTGTAGTTGTCTGACTGTTTATTGCCTAGGAAGTTGCTACATACATTTGTGAAGGTATCCCATGACCCTTTTTCCTTTCTCGAAAGTGTTTTAAAATGTTGGTCCTTAAAACGTTCTCGTATTCGGGGTCCAACGAAAACTCCTTCTTTAAGCTTTACTTTACTTATACGCTGGAATTTCCGTCTCAACTAAAGGAATGCATTTCCTTCTATATCTAAGGCTTTCACGAAAATTTGTATAAGCCCTAGTTTTATGTGCAGAGGAGGTAAATAAACTTTCTGCTGATCTAATAAAGGTTCATCAAGGACATTTTTCTGTCCAGGCACAACGTTCTCACGTAACGGCCAATGTTTAATATTGATTTCTGTATCTGCTGTCCCATTCACATAAAAAACAATAATATTTTGTGAAGCAACTCTGCAGTCCTGTGAGCAATGCAATAACTTTGAGATCGGCACTGATATTCCACTTATGATCTTCGTATTTTATGCTTTGGAGTAATATGCGCATGTTCTACTATGTTTCTTTCATATTTACAGCATGACCAACGGGAACCAATGGCCTTTCGTTTTTTGAACAAAACTGCCTTTAGACTTGTGTTCGAAGAGTCAATAAATAGTCGCCACTTCGGTAGGTACATAGGAAATACCAAGTTCATTCAGTAAGCCCGGAATATCATGACAGTAAACGTTTTCCATCGAGAAAAATACGGCCAGCATAGACTGCCTATTCCGAAACGTGGAAATTTTCACACCTGTTTGTAAACGGTTCCATTGCCGCAAACGAGATCCAAGTAGTTGTGCTTTTCTTTTGGGAAGATCTAAGGCCCGTATAGTTTTCTGCTTCTCCGTGTCAGAACTCTATTTTGAGGTTATGTCACAAACATCTATTTGCAACAAATTGTGCTTGCTTTTGAATTATATCATGTTTTATCAGCCTGAAATTTCCTACAATTTAAAAAGAAAACATATCTTCACAATAGGAGAGCGCTGACGCTGACACGGGACAAGTGTAATCTAGAAATTTTTGAAGGAAAGAAAGGAGGATGACAATCAAGGAGGCCATAAACGCGCGCTACAATTGTAGGGACGACTGACGATACGGGCCTAAGGCGTCAGCGCTCTCCTATTGGGCAGATATGTTTTCTTTTTAAATTGTAGGAAATTTCAGGCTGATAAAACATGATATAACTCAAAAGCAATCACAATTTGATGCAAATAGATGTTTGCGATATAACCTCAAAATAGAGCGCTGACACGGAGAAGTAGAAAACTATAACAAGCAAGGAGGCCATAAAGGCGCCCTACAATCGTAGGGAGGACTGACGATACGGGCCTAAGTCACGAACTAGATCACTGAGCTCTTCCTGAGATATAAAATGTGGCTGTTTGCTGCTACTATATTCAAAAACGACTTCCTCTTCAAAACGTGGACCGGCTTCTGGCTTGTCTGTGTCAGAATTATCCGGTTGATCATATTTCTTTGGAGGCTTAGGAAAAGGTATGCTAGAAGAGTTATGAGGTACAGGTCTACTGGCTGAGGGTATATTAGGATATACTATTTTATGTTTGCTTTTACTAGAAAATCCCAGAATTTTTGTTCAGCAAGAGTAAAAATCATTAACATGATTCTTAGGTTCCCGCCAAATCATTGGCACTCCAAATTTCATAGAAGTATGAGTACCCCGCAGCCATGTAAGGTTCTTGAGCAAGTGCGGCGACATGTTTTTGGGAGCCCAAGTTTTGTTTTAATCGGCAACTTTGAACCCGAAATATAATTCGTAGGCTTTTCTCACAAGTGGGCTCAAGGTCCTTCGCTGAGCTTTCACTGTTACCTCACCACAAATATAACAGAAACTGTTCGGATGGTTCACACAGGATCGCAACGGCATTGCTTCGCTCATATATCCACTGCTGAATAATGTAATGCTGATCCTCCGACAAGCGGCTGGCTGCTTATGTACCCATTTCCAACATCTGGTATTTTGTAGAAACAGCGGGAATGGAGCAGTTTCGTGATGTTCAGAATCGCATAAGTGTCAGCAAAATATAGAGAAATATAATCAACCAGTGAAAAAATTATTGAAATCGGTCAATAAATGACAGAGAAATTAATATTTAAATTTGGCGCATTAGTCTATAAACAATTCATGACACACCTGTGCGCTCGGCAACGTGGCTTCTAATTGATAACTATCCAGTACTGCGTAAGTTCGTGGGATTGTGGAAGCCGGATTTATAAAAGGGATAAGTGAAAATTTGCCCAAAATTAACATTTATGCTGTGATGAAATTTATTTGTTCAAATCCATCATATACAAGCGCGGAAATAAAATGTGTGAAACTTTGGAAGTAAGGATTTTTACCTACTGCTATACTATCACAGCTAGCTGTGAAATGTGCGATACCCTACTGAGGTTTTAAACAAGTTGGTGTTGATGCCTAATGTGAGTACAGATTTGAGAATAAGATACAATATTTTCCAGGGCAGGTAGAGAATCGTATCGGGAAGATGCTGTTGGTTATGTTCGGTTGAAACGTGAAGGTACAAAATGCATTGTAAACTAAAGAGTTGCACCTGAACATAAAGTGAAAACGACGCCTTACCTCTGCACATTAGTCGGTTACGTAAGTGAGGAAAAAAATTGTTAGGTCAGTTACACTTGTATCCGGATGTGTGGGCATGTGTTTCTACTTTTGTAATTGCATATGTGCATTCATTTCGGGCCTGATGAAGCCAACCAGCAGAAATACGTATCGCTCGGGTTACCTGTCCTATTTTCTGCTCGAATCCACTTTACTCCTTTTTGCGGATTTTGTTTGAGTAGCTCACAGCTATTCTCGCTGAGTTGAAATAACTGATCTGTAATATTAGTTGATAAATATTCCCCCCCAAATCCGCGTGTACAGCGAAATATAATGATTATCTGGGAATCATAAATAAATAATAGAGTGATATACATATATCAAGGTGGTCTTCACAGACATATGTTGTACTTTTTCATAAGTTTGCACTATTTCTTCCTGATATTTTCGTGTGAGAGAACGTAGAACAAATTTTTAGTAGCAGTTTTAATTGTTGTGCTCGTACATTTTGGAACGATACAGAATTTATAACAACTTTTTTTGTTATTTCGCTCATAGCCGATCGTATATGTAGTCAACAAATTAAACAAATTGGTGCGGAAGGCAGTTTAGCCTACCACGTGTTCCCGCTGAATGCGTACCTATGTGTGACCACAGCCGTCGTAACTGGATAGCGAAGTGTGACGTCACCCGTCGCGCTCAGGCGTAATAAAAATATTCTCAACTTTGATAGACTGTAACTTTTTTCTTTTTAGAGCTAAATTAATAATTTTTTCACCATCTTGTTTTATTTTTCCTAAAATTTCATTTGAGATTATAACAAAAAAATGGTAAACTTGTCCATTAAGAGAACGGAAACGATTTTTGTATACCGGGAAAATTCAATAAGTAACTGTCTGACGACTAAAGGATACAGTGAAATCTGGAATTACATGGGGTTCAATGGGTATCTCCTTTATTTGAAGCCCTAGGGTGTTGAGACTCCGTAGATGAGGAACATTCTCAGATTCTCTCATCGGGTGCTGCCAGATTGTGAATACTTTCCCCAGGCCAAGGGAAAACGTAGACCCCCATCATGCTATAGAAAGATAAATATCGCACAGGTTCATTCTCACACCTGCTTAAAGCATGTTGTTGGTACTCTCTCGACTCCGTTACGTGATACGACAATTTAAAGGTCGGTGCAAGGGTTACATTTATGAAGAACTTATCGAAATAACGTATTTGTTTGGCGGAGAGGATTTTCGTGCAGAACAGTATTATCGTACATTTAGCTAGCATTTTACACGTAGTACCATACAGTAGTTGAAATTATCGTACAAATACGATAATTATCGTACGTCTGGCAACGCTGGGTACCCGGAGTCGGACTGTCGTGTGCTGTCCTTCCCTAGTGCTAGTGATGGGAAACGTCAATCTGTGTGCTTTGTGGCCAGACGTCATGCATGTCTCAGGCGTTTTTTTTTAAAGATGTTACCACAAAACACATCAGACTATTTCAGTTTTGGGTGTCTAGATTTTAGTGGTGTATATTTTTTTCAGTGATTTGTCACAAAAGTCACTTTGCCAAGATCGTGATGTAACTGGATCCAAGTATTTCTGGATGATTAAAATAGACCCGAAATTTTGGGGAATGATACACAAATTCTTGTAAATTTTCATAATGGATTACATTGCAGAAGCTGTAGCTCTAGGGATAGATTCTATAATTTTAGCAACATGCATAAGGCAGTATTACAAAAACAAAAATGCAATGGCAATGATACAGGTAAGAGGTTTAAAATTGCTTGAAAACAACTTCACTTGGCAGGCAATACAAATTGATTATGTATGTTCATTATACTTTTTTTAGGGTGCTCCATACCTTACAATTGACAAGGAACTAAAAGAAATTGTGGAAACACATCCTGAGGGTAGGCTATCTTATGTGTCTGTTAGAGGGACAATAAAGCCAATAGGAAACCCCATTGTCAGCATCAACAACCCAACTATAACTGGTGTAGTGCAGCTTTTAAGAATTAAAGAACATGTTATCCAAAGAAGTTCAACGGGATTCTGGGCAGACTCGGAAAGGGTTATTCAAGAAGTGCACAATATAACACCATTTGCCTTGGAAAATAAAGGGATGGTGATTGAGGTCTGTGACCCTTTGGCAGCAGATGTTTTAGGTACCTATACAAGGAAATTCACATTGCATCATTGAACCATAGTGTATATAATCATTTTATTTGATGTGCTAGTTTTACGAAAAAACATGTTAGATTCTAACAATGGTCATAATTGAACATGAACTTCAGTGATTCAGGACTGGCAAGAACCTGATGTACTTATTTATCACTGGTGTACTCAGGGGAGGTTTTGGGGCTAGGATGCCATCCATCTAGTTTGGATTTTTTCCAAGGTTGTTATGTTTTAATCAAAATGTTTAAAACAAGTGTTTTAAACACTGTTTTTTTGTCATTTGTGAGTTATTCAAGTTTTTTTTATATTATTTTAAGTATGATTACAATTGATTTTATCTTGCAAAAAGAAACTAAAAGGGCCATAGGTTAAAACACATAGGTGCTAAAAAAATATACTTTATTTTTTATTAATTAATCAAACATGAAACTAAGGAACTAATAATAGTGGAAAAAAATCTGTTTCACTACAAGCAGTAGAATATCATAAAATATGACTATGTAATTACTTGTATAATAACATTGAATAACTTACTTAACAAATTTTTATAAAAGTATACAACCCACCTTAATTAACAAAAAATCCTTAAATCTGTATTTTTTAAATATAAAATCATGTGGAAAATGTACATAGAATAAATTTTTAGTTTTCACTACTTTTTATGTACCTACCTTTCTCAGAATTCTCCAAGCTACTTAACTTTGAGGAAATATTTTCGGTAGAAACATCAACATTGTCAGTATCAGAACTGTCTAATATGTGAATATTTTGTTTTTCTGACAAACTTCCTTGTTTAAGTTGATTACAATTTTTAATATGCTTGTGCATTCTAGCCACCAGTGCCACTATATCAATATTGCAGGTTAAACATTTTGCTCTTTTATTTATTTTCGAGCTAGGTTTGGCATCAGTTTCCTTAAAATATTTCCACACAGGATTCTTTCTGCTCCCTGTCATTGGCTTTCTCTTTTTGCCAATCTTTAATGCACAAAAAACAAAACACTTCACTACACTCCGACTTCACACATTTGACTGCTTGAGATCGCAACGCGAAAAATTACTTAGGCAAACGGTACTTCCCCGTCGTCCACTCGGTAGTTTTCCGACGTCCGCTTTTAAATTAGAGATGTGCTCTGATAGAGCTGTATCAAAAATAGTAATAACACTTTCCAGGAACTTCATTAATGTTGCTAGATTATATAGGCAATAGTTTTTTAATTTTTTTTTACTGTTTTAAACATGTTTCTTTTTCAGCTAAATTTGAATATTTTAAACAAAAAAACAGTTTTAAACAAAAAAGACAGTATTAAAGAAGAAAAAAAAATTATTTTTTTTAAAAACATGTTTTTTTCATCCCTGCTTTTTTCAGTCCTGCCTGGACAAAATTTTATATGTCCATCCTGTAGGCATTTTTATATGCAGTATTTGTATAATCGTGCAGCAACTGCAGATGCAACTGTGTTTGTACTGAGCAACATAGATTTTTATTATTGTGGTTATACCAGTATTAAAAAAATTACATACAAAAAACATTTATGTTACAGATTACAATAGCTGTATATAAATTATTAAACAAGAACCAAAGATTCATGTGGTAGCCAATCTACTTATATTTAAAACCTAACAAACTATATAAAGTTAAATAGATACATTTTTTTATGTACTTTGTGATTTGCCTAATATTGCTACTGAAAATATCTATATATTGTATTCATACTATAATTTGTAGTATGATGTGGAATCATAAACAATTCTGTATTGTGAGTTTAATTAACATTTAATTGTGCAAGCACCTCTGGACAATCTATGACACTATTAACTATTTTAAACAGAAAATTTAAATCTTGTCAATTATGTTTAGTCAAGGGCGGAACCAGGAGGGTGTTTGACCGGCCAATGCTATGACTTAGAAAATTATCTTTTGCTATTAAGGAAGATAATGTCTAGCTTTGAGGGCCAAACGTCCGGACAAATATAGTGCTGTGTCCGGGTTTTTGTATTTTAGGATATGGCAACCCTATTGGAGGTGCCATGCCTGGGTATGATCCTGGATAGTAAGTTATCATAGAAACAGCATGTCGACTACATCTAAAAGAAGTCGTTAGCAATTTTGTTCAATGGTAAGTGGGCCACATTTACTACTCAGCCAGAAGCGTCGTCATCTAGCGGTCAGCTGGTAACTGGACCTCCAATTCGCGGGATGAGATCTATTCATCCCCAACCGGAAGGCTGCGATTTACTGTTTTGCAGGGGTAGATGGCACCTCGCGATGTGTGATTTCGATTGATAGTGGATAGTGTTTATCTTCGATGCTGTCATTGTCTGAGAAACCCAAGTCTAGACCATGCTGAGGAGTAGCCAAAAAGCACAAAACAGTTGTATACGGGTGGGTGTCTTTGGTCGGACGGACGAAAGCAGATCATTTTTATTTTAAAAGCATCAGTGTTTCACTATTACATTTATTTTCTGTTAGGTTTGCAAGTACAAGTAGTTCATTATTGTTACTTTCTTTTGCTCATTACTTATCACATGCGATCTATTAAGGCCTGGCCACACGACAGCGACTTGTACGGTCTATCCCCATTCGTAATCCATTTACGCCCAGACAAAACACAACATGCCCAAAAGCGAGATTGTACAGGTCCGTATTTTCCTTTATCGTCATGGAATAATCTAACAAAATAAATTATTATTTTTATAGAAAGAAGTGCACATACTTTTTACAATTCTTTATTCGCTGGAAGTACTTGAATCAAGGGGGTAGGCGTCAATACCATTAAGATCATATTTATATTTGTGCTGCCTGACTAGATGGATAAGTTCTGCTTTACTTTTTCATTGAAACTAATGTCTTTTGATAGGAGCCATTGTTGAATTTCTGACTTTCTTGTGAACATTGTGGGAATTTTGTGTAGTTTTCTAGTGTTCTAGTCATCAAATGAACTCCCATCTGTTTCTTCATGGTAGTCTGTCGTTTTCTTTGACTTAAATGCCCATAGGGCTGTGGACACAAATCCATCTTCACTACCAATGTGACAGAAAACTAATAATAATACAAGCATAGTATCTAACAGGTGTTGGTTCCAAATCTACCAGATATAGCTAAGTGTAGCTAAGTTTTCATCATAGGCTCATAGATTCAGTCTACTTAACACCATTTTTACAACACAAAAGACGAATTGGTAATGCAAGGCTTGTCTTGCTGCTTTAATTGTAGAGTCAGACCATACTTTTGTATGTCCTGCATTTATCCAGGTTTCATCCAAGTAATAAATCTTCCTGCCTTGGTCGCGGCATTTCTTATTGATTTTAAATAATTTCTTCTCTATAAAATAATCTCTTTCTTGGCTGTCCATCAAAATACTATTTCTGCCCCGTTTCCTATACTCTAAATGAAGTTCTTTGAGTAAAATATGGAATGTGGTCCTTTTGAAAGTAGGTAAGTCTTCATCACTATTAACCTCCTGTAATACTTTGTCTATGGTGGGAAGTTCCTGCCTTAAAAAAAATTGATGGACTTTGCGTCTGATGGCATTCCGATCAAAGTTATCAACTGTATCCAACAGCTTCGTGTAATGCAGCCTCTTGTGTGGTGGAGACAATTTTTTGTTTTTTTTTATATATCTTTTAACAATGTTGAAAATTGTCTTAGGAAATATGCCTGTTTTGTTCGCCTCACGTCTTTCAATATCATGAATTTTCATTTCAGGATGCTCTAAAATTTCGCTCTTATATAAACGTTAAGGACAATTTCTTTTGCCTGAATATTCAAATGTCCCTTCTTGTCACATTTTCGGGGACGAGACATCACTGAAGAGGAAGCGGACTGAAGGAAGCACTGGGAGAAATATTCTGTTTCATCTGCTGTATCCGTAGACGACATGATAACGTATAAACCACACGCTATGTATGCACCGAATATGAACAGCAACTGCCCGCGTCGGCGTGCCGGCGATACCCCGAGCCGGAGTTCTATCCTGTCGAATCCTACACTTGTTCGTAGTTTTATGGCCAAATGACCAATAGCTATTGCAACGCTTAGGCGGCTGCCGCTTTGCCGCGCTGCATCTTTATTGTGCCGGGGCGTAAATATACTACGAATAGGGTATAGTTTGCGCGATAGAGACGGAACATCACAGGGTGGCCACACGATGCAAGTCAGTTTGCACAAATCTCATTGCAGTTAAAATCGTCGGAGAGATCGGTACTGGTCAATTATTTTGGAACAATGGTGACAAATGATGAATTGTCTTGCAGAATGCCTTCCACCACTTACGCGTCAGGATGGAACGATTGTAACCGACTCAAAGGCCATCGTGGAAGTGCTTGCCAAGATCTTTGCTGCCAACTCCACCATGGATGTCCCCCCCCCCCCCCCCGTGCCGTCGATTCAAAGAGTTCCTTACACTATGCGGGAAGAAACATTCAGGCATAAGACCGTAAGACGGGTGTTCTTGTCGCTCAACATCAACAAAGCTTCTGGTCCGGACTTGATTCCTGCCATTCTACTAAAGAGGTATGCAGCGGAGCTCGCTCCAGTTCTTTCGCGTCTCTTCCAGATATCTTATGAATCCGGCACCTTCCCAGAAATTTGCTCATGTCCAAACCATCCCAAAAGAAGGATCTAAGACCGAGCCTCACAGCTATAGGCCTATAGCTCTGCTTTCTGTTATAAGTAGGGTGATAGAGAGGTGCATAAATCGCAAGCTTTTTTACTACCTCAAACGTCACGGCTTGAATAGCGACAGGCAGTATGGTTTCCGGCGAGCCTCATGTCGTTGCTCTTGATATCACGAAAGCGTTCGATCAGCTCTGGCACGCTGCCCTCTTATGCAAACTTCCATCCTATGCCCTATGCCCTCCCAGAAAAGGTTTGCAGATGGGTGGCTGACTTTCCCTCTGGCCGCAAGATATCCGTCATAATTGAAGGGTTCTTCTTTTCATCCCACAACGTCAACGCGGGTGTTCCCCAGGGATCAGTCTTGGCTCCGACACTGTTCCTCTTACATACAAACGACCTCATTTCCTGCACGAGCAATCCAATCCACAACTTCTCTAAAGTCAGTACTCTACAAGTAGGAATTCAGAGTGACAAGCCGATCTCTGCCGCTGAGCTGGGAAAAAGAAGACTAGCGACGACTTCCTCTCTGACGAGAGACCTGGAGATTATCACTGCTTGGAGACGCAACAATCTTATACAGTTTAATGCTTCCAAAACACAGTACTCGTACTGTACATTGACAAACAAAAAGCGTCCTAGCGCTCATACGGTTTAGATGGATGACCGAGTTCTGCCAAAGAGCCGTTCATTCCGGCTGGTTGGAGTTCAGATCACCGAGGAATTGCTCTGGCACGAACACATCTGGTCAATAGTGACAGCTGTTGGGATAAAGCTAGGCTATTTGTTTAGGGCTAAAAGGTACTTTTCTCCGCACGACCTTCTCATTCTATACAAGGCCCAGATAAGACCTAGCCTCGAGTATTGCTGTCCAGAGGAGGGCTGACCGACTGGTCGATGACTCTTCTCTAACAGTCTCGGAACCCTTTCGCACCGACGGGCTGTCGACGATCTAGCTCTCTTCTACCGCTACATCAACGGGCTTTGCTCCTCAGCGCTCTCTTCCATGATGCCGCCGCGCGATGTTCCTGCCAGACAGACCCGCCTGACTTTGGTCTCCCATCCTAACCGTGTCGAACTTCGTACGTCCAGAACTGGCCGATACGACCGCTCCTTTGTCCCGAGGGTATCGAGATTGTGGAACAATCTACAAGAGGACGCTTTTCCCAGTGCTACTAAACTTAGGCAGTTCAAAAATCGGATTAACAAAATTTCTTTGGGATCCTCATAGCAGCCGCGGTGTCCCGGCATTTAGGCTTCTGTCTGCGCGGCTGCTTCGGTATTAAAAAGAATTATAATGTATTATTATTTTCGTTACGTATTACCGCTTACTTCAACAGTCAGGTACAAACTAGTATCGTTCGGATTAGTCGGCGTCGGCCGGCCAGTTAGTCTGCGCACTCGTCAAAAAACCAAACTGTTTAGTTGACTCGGTGTGCGCACTAGCAGTCCAACCCGACTAAACTGTCGGCCGATAGAAAGTCTGCAGTCTACGGGGGCCCATAGCGCGACAATTGATCTATATTTTTTCGCAACTGCCGTGCGCTGAACTTCACGCTTAGCAGTATCAAAATCAGACTGTACTCTGTCACCACACAGTGTGGATAGATTCGACGCATAATAATTGTGGATTTATATTTCAAAAAACAAACGATTACCTTTTAATTTGGCAGCTACTTTCAAATGCTTGATGATGAAAAAACATCAATACCAACAGGTCTTATTAAGAGCCGTATATTTCAAAAATTAGACGATGGATTTGTTTTGAATTACGTAGTAATAAGTTTCATATGATGTTTTATAACGTTTCCTAATTTTTGTTTCTTCTGAAAATTTATATAATATGGGAAATTTATTTTTAGATTTTTCCTGGTTTACTATAAAGTTGATATTCTGTAGTAGAGCCATATTGTTACAGTAGAATAAATGATTGCTATGATTATTTTTCGGTTTTAGATATGGATGTTATATCAGACAAATTTCAACCAACCGTACCCAGTGTAATAGATCATATATGGAGTTTCTTTGCTGGTGTTAGACAAAGAGGCATCCAGTCCACTGAAAAAATGCTACGCAGAGGAGCTGTTATTACTGGAATTGGAGAACTTGTGGCCGGCAAAGATGGCACCTTGAAACTTCAACCACCATCAAATGGTGCTCCATTTTACCTCACCAATATGCAAGTTAACTCACTAATTAAGAAACTTGATGGTTCAAAAAGAAATTATGGACTACTCTGTGTATTATTTGGGACAGTAGGGATTTTTGTGACAGCAATGATTATAAGGAAATATTTGAAAATTAAGACGGAATTGGAGGAACAAATCAAAAGGAAAAAACAGCTAGAGGAATCCAGAAGAGAAAGGAGGCGAATAATGAGAGATGAAGATGTACCAGAAAATCAGCTATGTGTTGTTTGCAAAACTAATCCTAAAGAGGTAAATACAGTGTGTCCTTATCATCAAGTAACTCAACAGGTTACCATCAAAATCATGTGATGTGTAATGTAATATAAGTATTTTCAAAGCATGTATAAAATATACAATAAGAATATATACAGGGTTACATCTCACTATACAGTGTAGTTATAATTTATATTTATATCTATTTTTGTTAAATAGTATGAATACTCCACTTCCAAAATTTACCTACAATGGGTCTCTTTGATTGTTTTCCGTTTGAGTTGAAGTGTTGAGGCACGCCCAATTTTATTTTCGCATTGATAATTTTTTGAAAAGATGAATAAGTTTTCGTGGTGAGGAAATTGTTACTGACATTATCATTTTTATTGTTATGTTTCTCAACGTACCTACATGAATCTATCTAACTTTCTCAATCCTCTCAGACTATTTTTCCTTTTACCTTTTTATATACGGTGTTCAATACATCAAAGCGCATATAATAATAATAATAATAATAATCGTCTTTATTTAAACTGTACTTCATACAGAAAAACAAGAGTTGCATATGGTGGCGAAGTTTAGCAACATGCTACTCTTACACTTAACCACCCATGCAAAAAAACAAGTTGTTAAGTAGCAGATATCAAACAAAATATACATATACATACACATGTACATACATACATACATATACACACATTACATACGTACATGTTGCACCAAGGTTTGCTACATGTACACAAGGGAAATGAATCATTTAACAATATATCTATAGCAATCTAATTAAGACTATGGATTCAAGTAAATATGAGATTTGACAGCTTTCTTGAAGCAATTTAAGGACATGGTTTTGAATTCAGGACTCAAGGCATTGTATAACACTGAAGCCCTGTACGTGAAAGAACGCTGGAATAAAGTAGTGGAGTGAATAGGTGTAGTTATCAAATCTGGAAATCTAATAAGTCTATGATGAATATTACGCCTAAAGATCAGCTTTTCTCTTAAGTATATAGGTTTTGACATAAGGATTAGTTTATGAATAAAAACAAGGTAATGATATTTGACAATATTTTTTGTTATCATCCAGTTTAATTCAATAAGACTACCAGAAACATGGTCAAAGTGCCTTAAACCGCAGATGAACCTAGCACAATTGTTTTGCACAATTTGAATCCGATTTCTAGTAACAACATTGAGACACGGATAATATAAAATATCACAGTAGTTGAAAATCGGCATAACCAAAGATGAACACAGTTTTTTCCTTAGCTTATAATTGAAAATTGCTTTATTGGCATATAGTGATCTCAGTCTCAAAGTCTCAAGTAGGTTTTCTTCAAAAGATTTTTAACATGACTGGTGAATCTAAGTTTGAAATCGATTATCACGCCAAGAATTTTAACCTCGTCAACCGGGTACAGTCGTTGAGATCCAATTTTAATAGTTAATCGACTTTTAATTTCATCCCTCCTACGATCCACAAAAAAATAACAGGCTGGATTTACCAGGATTTATTGACAGGTTGTGGTTATTCGAGAAGTCATACACTTTTTGAATATCATGGTTTATTGATGTCTGTGCCATTTCCATATCATCAGTATCAAAATAATGGACCAGTTGAGTATCATCCGCAAAAGACTGGAGTTCACAAAAACTCACAGCCTTAGGCAGATCAGCAATGTATATCAAAAACAACAAGGGACCCAAAACAGACCCTTGGGGTACTCCAGACGAGATTTCTAGAAAACTAGATTTATTGTTTTCAATTGATACACACTGCGATCGATTTGATATATAATTTCGAAAAAAGTTCAATGCAATTGGATCTATGCCATAATACTTCAACTTTGCTATTAACAACTCATGATTTATTTTGTCAAATGCCTTGGAATAATCGATTGACATCACTGCTACGCCCATTTTTTTATCAAGTGCTCTAATAATATTATCCACTAAGTTTAAGAGGGAAGTAGTAGTACTGAAAGATTTCCTAAAAGCAGATTGATCAGATGGGATGATATGTTCCTCTGCATAATGCATTAGTTGTATGTGGGCTGCCTTTTCAACTACCTTCGATAAACAAGGCAATAGGCTTATAGGCCTTAGATCAGCAAACTCATCTGGATTTGATTTTTTTGGAACTGGTACCACAATTGCTCGCTTCCACGTTTCAGGGAAATAACCTCTTTCAAGGCAACTATTAACAAGGTGGGTGATGTAGATGAGAGTAACAGGCAGACTGAGCTTAATCATAGACAAGCTCAACCCATCAGTACCTTTTGCATCGGACTTAAAACTATAAATTATTTCAGCTACTTCATGAGGCTCTAGAAGCCTGAAAGAAAATTTATTAATATGGGGAACATTTTCGTTATAATACCGTAAAACGTGATCAGGAGCATTTGTGGAATCAAAAACTGATATGAAATAATTATTTGCAAGGAACGAGTCTGCAAGATGGTTTGGAATACGTGGCTTATCAGATGTTTGTGCTTTCATATTTTTCAATTCATACCACAATTTTCTCTGATCACGCCCTTTTTCCAAGTGAGCAAGATACGCCATTTTTTCATGTCTAATGCACGATAGTGCAAGGTTTCTAAGTTCCCTAAAAACCTGCAATCTTGCTGGACTTCTGTCTATCTTGTATAAATAATATGCTCTCGTTTTTTTCTTCAGAAGCTGTCTCAACGGATATGACAACCACGGCGCTTTCGGCTTACTCACGCGTACCGTCCTAATAGGAGAGTGACGATTGAAGATGTCAATTAACTTGCTACTGAAAAATTGAACTTTATCATCAATATTCCTCATATAACACATTTCAATAAAATTTACTCTAGCCAGGTCATCAATGAAAGATTGCTCATCAAAGTGTGAGAAATCTCTGAAGGTGATCATTTTTTGTTCATGTTTCACACGGGATATGTTTAAGATACAGCAAACAATTTTATGATCGGACAACAAATTAGCATCTAAAGTAAACCAGTTAGTGACAGTAATTGGGGTATTAATAAAAATAGGGTCCAGAAGAGTTGCTGTACTATTAGTTACTCTAGTGGGAGCATCAATAATTTGCTTGAAACCATACATATCCAAACATTGTTGTAAGGTATTATCGGCAAATAAATTTACATTTAAATCTCCAAGGATAATAATATTTTTGAAATTACTCAGTACATTAGGAATTATATTGTCTAAGGCATTTGTACAATCAACTAGCCTTTGTGAAGGGGGACGATACAATATACCTACAGCAAAATCATGCTGATCAATCCTTAATTTTACCCATAGTTGCTCTAAAAATGGAACTGTGTTTAGCGTGACGTCATCATCAATAATCTCAGCACGTATGTCTTGTCTAATATAAACACCACAACCACCACCACGAGACAACCTGTCCTTGCGAAAAAAGTTAAAATTTCTGATGTTAACTACATCCATTGTGATATCAGGGCTTAACCATGTTTTTGTTAGAGCAAGAATGTCAAAATCATCCTCATTCATCATGTCCGTAAATGCGTCAAAGCTTGACATCAGAGATCTTATATTTAGGTGACCTATTTTGCACTTCTTCGTAATACTAACAGGTTCCATATGGATTCAGGAGTATTAACAAAAATAATAAAAAGTTAAAAATTAAGGAAATATATGTGCAAAAGAAGAGTCGTTCAACTAGAGTTGCTAATCAAAGTTAATTCTATTTTTCAAATTGCGCACATAATTTATATAAGCCGGACAATGAGAATCATTTGCAGCATGATTAACTTGGACGTGTGACTTAGACTTAGAACCATAACTTACACAATTTATACATTTCACCTGGTCACTTGCGACCTCACACTGATTTGCCATATGCTCTCTTGAGCATTTGATGCATGCAGAGGTAGACGATTTGCATAGCTTAGCAATATGTCCGAACTTACAGCATCTGAAGCACTGGGTTATCCGCAGATGATCAACAATAGGACACTTTCTCCAACCCAACCAGACATAGCCTCGTGCTAGAAGCTTCTTGCGTAAATCAGGGGATACTTCCAGAACTATTTGACTTGTTCTTTATATATATATATATATATATATATATGCCATCGGCATCGCTATCGCACCAGTTTACGCGGTGCATCGTTATAGACACTTACTGTGAGATTTGAAAATGAACGTAAATATTTGTTATTCGGGGATTACGACTGGAAATTTTGTTATCTATAGTAACAAATACCGACAGTATTTCTGCAGTGTATTAATTTACAAAAAATCATTTTTAACAGACCCATTATGCTATATAACTCGTCAAAAATTTTGTTGCATTCACTGTTTAGTTGTTATTTCAAGTTTCAATCCAGTTGCTTGCTTTCATATACTGGACTATACGCCACTATTATGTGATATTTTTTTCAGATAATCCTTCTTCCATGTGGGCACGTGTGTCTTTGTGAAGATTGTTCCATAGATATATCTGGAAACTGTCCAGTATGTCGAGCGATAATAGAAAAGAAATCAGTAGCATATGTATTGTAAATATTTTAATTTCCTTCAATTCGTGAAACATTTTGAATTATTCTACTGTTAACTTTTCTAAAGATATTTCATCTATTTGTACAGATAGTACATTTTGTGATCCAAGACATAAACATTTTTTATCCTTTAAATCTTTAATATTATTTACATTAGAATTCCCCCTGGCAGAACAGCATAGAGAATCGTTTTGCTGGATGTCATCCAAAGCTTTTTTTACTTTGCTTGATTTACCTATGCCTAGCTTAGGTAATCCCTTATTCAATCCCTCTAGTAAAACACAGGCCTTACAAGTTTCTTGAGATGAAATATATCCACACCTTGTACAATTCATTAGTGTTGGAAGCTTTGCTGTTGACTTTACTTTTAATGTTTCACCTACAAACAAGAAAATGTCTTAAATTATTGAAAACTTATTTGTCAGTTTTATAAAAATCACAATATAAACAAATGTTATAGACTATTTTTCTGAAGGTATAATAACGTACATATAACACAGTTCAGTATGCAGACCTAAAGAAAAATTAATGGTTCATAGGCCATGATCTGCTTTAAAAATTATTGAAAATCATATAGATTAGCCCATCAGTTGCATTAATTTTAACATACACTAAAACCATACATACCTGATTGGATTATTTTCATTATTACAGATGGATCAATCTTTTCCATATCTTTTAAAAGCATCCTAGCATGTCCTCTATACGCATTTGGTGCAAAAACACATTCTGTGGAAAAGTACACCAGTTTTTTAAAATAAGCGTACATGACTATTTCTTTTTCATATGTATACTTTAATGGTTTCACTCTGGGTATACCATCCCCATTGTCTGTAACTATCGAAGTACATCTATTCAATCTAGCTACATCTCCCCTCAGAATGTTCATTAATACTGTTTCCGCAATATCATCAGCATTGTGTCCTGTGGCAAGACAATCTACTTTCAGTAAATGTGCTCCTCTATCCAAGGCCTGCCTTCTAAATACTCCACAGAAAGTGCAGTTGTTTTTCCGGCCTATCTGAAAAACAATATATTAAAATTGACGCGTGATAATGACTATAAAAAGTTTACGATCACTCAAACTGAGGAAGATTGGATACAATATAAGAAATCAAGATACAAGTGTTTAACAAATCTTAGGAACGAAAAGAAAAAATATTATGAAAACAAAATCGATAGCAATAAATATAATAGTAAAATGATGTGGAAGTCACTAAAAAATCTTGTATCTCCCAGTAGGAAGAATGAATTATCAAGAATGTGCTTCGAAGATGGTATAGTAACACAAAAAATATTGATTGCAGAACGAATGAGCGCTTATTTTATAGAAAGTATAAATGAGATAGTGGAATCAATCGAAGATGGGGATCCAAATCTATGTCACATGCAAGTTACTTGTTACTTCTATGAGAAAATTCCAAACAATAAATATCAGCTATCTTTCAAAAATGGTTATGAAGGAATGTTTCAACATTATTGGAGAGAAGTTATTATTGTTAGTGGAATCACTGTTTATTGTATGGCGAATTTCCTTCAAAATTAAAATGTTCTACAATTACTCCTGTTCCAAAAGTGCAAAATTCTGAGTTATATACAAACATGCAGCCAATTAATGTACTGCCAGATGTCGAGAAGCTCTTAGAAGGAATCATATATGAACAAGTCATTGAATATATTGAAGAAAATAAGATATTGACAAAATTTCAAGCAGGATTCAGAAAACAGTTTTCTACTGAAACAGCAATTCAAATGGTAGTAGAAGAATGGAGGCGTAATATGGATGAAAAAAGTTTACAGTAACATTGTTCTTAGATTTCAAGAGAGCATTTGAGACTATTGAAAGGGAGAAATTGTTAACGAAATTGAATTGCTATGGATTTCAAGGTTCAGTATTCAACTTATTACGAAATTATTTAATTAATAGAAGTCAAAGAACTAAAATTGGCAATACATTATCAAACATCAAAAACATTTCGGTAGGTGTGCCACAGGGTAGCAAATTAGGTCCATTACTGTTTATTTTATATATTAACGATATTCCTGATATTTTACAACACTGCAAAATTCAACTATTTGCTGATGATACATTAATATATACAGGGTGGCGCATTGAAAACGAAACAGACGCATTTACTGGCAGCTCAGTTTTTTTTTAAACGCTCAGACCCGTCGATTTTGTTTTCGAGGGGGACACAAGTTTGGCTAAAAAATCACGTTAGCACGTGCAGCCCCCCTAACGGGGGGAAACTACCCCCAAAATCTTAAATGGAAAGGGGGATCGAGTGATACCTTATTTTAAAGGTCTTTCAATTCCCTATATAATGATATAAAACTAATGTACTTCAGTTCAGTAGTTTTGAAGATTTATTGATTTAAAGCTTAAATAAAACTAATACATCATCATTAGTGGAGATCAATACATTTGGCAGCAAAGTAGTTTAAAAATGAAGAATGAACTGACCCGTTAGGCAAGTAAATTTTCAGGCCATCATGATTCTCCATGCAATAATAAACATTTTGCTCAAAACGTTGCCGCACAATTTTTAATATTTGAGGAATAATTTGAAGGCACTCATTCACTTAAAGAAATCCAAAGGTGATAAATCTGGCGATCTTGGGGGCCATTCAATGGCACCTCTTCTACCAATCCATCGATCTGGAAACGTCTGATCTAAATATTGTCGAACACGTAATGCGTAATGTGGTGGGGCACCATCCTGTTGGAACATCAACCTATTCGCAATGTACGGCCGATCATTCTGATTTTCAATTATGGCTGTTAATGCAGGATCTATGGCGTCTTCCAGTAATTCCAAATACATTTCACCGGTCAAATTTCCAAGTGAGAAAAAAGGATCAACTAAATGATCGCCAAAAATACCAGCCCAAACATTTAATTTTTGTGGCTGCTGTGTATGAACCTCATGATAAATTCTGGGATTAGAATCGGACCAATATCGGCAGTTATGACGATTTACTACGTCATTTAAGAAAAAGGAACATTCGTCGGAAAAGCAAGTGTTGAATAGAAAATGTTCATCGTTTATAATTCGTTCACAAAATTATCGCCAATCAAAATCGTCTTCATTAAGTTCTTGTACTAGGTGAATTTTATACGGATGAAAACTATGGGCCTTTAGAATCCGTTGGACAGTACGTCGACTAACTCTACACACAGTCTCCAATGTGCGGGTACTTAACGTAGGATCTACATAAACTTGCCCTAAAACCCCCCTATTGCTTCGTTTCTTATGGGATTTTCAATGTTGCGTTTTTTATTGGCGACTGACCCAGTTTCCAGAAATTTAGCTACAAGTTCTAGAACATATTTTCGATGCACGTTACTGTTCTCATGTCGCGCATTAAATATTTCTGCTGTTCTATTAGCGCACTGATTATTTCCGAAAAATAGTTCGATAATTTCAACTCTTTCTGCTGTGGAATATACCATGGTTAATTTATGCAATAAAGCGTTACAAGTTGTTTCAGCAACAAAGTTTGGTCAAATCAATCACAAACTATGTACTAAATTCCTATTTGAAATAAGTACGAGATATTTCCTTATCTTTCTTCAAGAAATAACTTTTTTGCCACAAAAAAACGATCCAATAGCTATTTTCAACAACAAAATGATAAACAAACCATGGGCGTAGTGAAGAAAAGCATTAACTTAATAAGTAAATTCTTTTAGTCAAATTTCTTCTGAAAGTTGTACAAACTAATCTGATGTACCTATTAAAGTCTATTTTAAGCTTTAAATCAATAAATTTTCAAAAGTAAACAAAATGTATCACTCGACCCCCCTTTCCATTTAAGATATTAAGGTTGGTGTCATCCCCGCCCAGGGGGCTGTACGTGTTAACGTGATTTTTTGCCAAACTTGTGTCCCCCTCGAAAACAAAATCGACGGGTCTGAGCGTTTTTCCAAAAAAAAAGCTGCCAGTAAATGCGTCTGTTTCGTTTTCGATGCGCCACCCTGTATATCAAAAAAAAAGCTTTTATTGTATTGAACAATGAGTGCCACAATTATTCTACTAGAGGAAGTATAGACTTTCATTTACAAAACTGCAGTAGCAATATAACGAGCAAGTCAGTATTTCAAAAGGGATTGTACGAATTTAATAAATTAAGTAATGATATCAAGATGTGTGTCAGTAGTTTGAAAAAGTTCAAAGGGAAATTGAAAACATATCTCATGGAAAACCAGAATTCATAGTAATGAAATTTTGTATAAAAATATGTTGTCTAGAAGACATAATATATTTTGTGATATACTGTGTAATATGGATATTATGGACATAGTAGCAGCATTAATGCTAAATAAATCTGAAACAAACAAACAAAATATGCTGGACGTTCAGCATGGCAATGATGAGTGCAAGTAATAGTAATAATTTGGTTCTTTCCAACAGTGAATTTCTGACAATTCAGAACAGTCATTTATAGTGGACCAGATCGAATCATCTCCTAGCTAGGCATCATTATTAATTTGTTTTGGTGGCTGTGTCTAACAGTCTCTGATAGTCAGAAATTGCTTGTTGGAAATGGTCATTTAGTTACTCCATAAGTACAAATAACATGAAATGAGTGAATAAATATAATATATCACTTTAATGAACCATGTTTTGCTGGAAATGCTGATACATATTTTGGGCATAATTCACATAAGTCATTACATTCTTTTTCCTTCAAAAAGTACAACACAATACACATTAATGAGCCAAGTAACTTACAGTATTGCATGATGTACGTAAGTCTTAAAATGTGCTTTGGATATTGAGATTAAGTTTTTTGATCTCTTGAGTTAGACTCCTAAAAAAGTATACCATATCTCATGGTACTACCATTGTTTGCTAAATATAGTGTTCTTGTAGATGTCTCATTCAAGTATTCTGAGATAGATGCAGTAATAAGTTTCATTTAGTTTTGCATTGAAATAATCTATGTCTTCACATGAATCTAAGAATTCATTGTTATAGAAGCTCAAAAACTTTGTGCTATTGCAATGGTTATCACATGATTTTGGCTTTTAGGATTTCACAAAAATGTGCATAACTCAAAAATCATTTGATTTTGTACCAAGATATGTGTGGCTCAATATATTCCAACCACCCCAAGGTTGATATCAGCCTTTTGAATGCCCTGTACATGTCTAGTATTATCTAGAAAGTTTGAGCTTGAATCATAACATAAAATTCTTGAAGCATTCTAGTAAGTATGAATATTATGCTCAACATTGAATAATGTCAATACCTTCATTCAGTTCTGCACCTAAAGGTATATATGCAATAAATTAATGACAATTTGACTTTACCTCTGCAACAATTTCATCCATGGTCCATCCATACAAATCCTTGTATGATAAAATTTTCAGTGGCATTTCATAATCATCTCTATTTTGTTTAACAGTATTTAAGCTATCATCTCTGTACCCTGTAATTCCCTCATCAATGGACAAAAGGAACAACTTCAATTTATAATTATACTTTTCATTCAACATCTTCATGACATAGGCCAACACTGTAGAATCTTTCCCTCCAGAGGCAGCAATTGCTACAGTTGAATTCGGCTTGAATAATTTTGCTCTAGTAATTGTGAAATGGATTTCACTTTCGAATGCCTCGAAGAAACATTCTTTACACAATGCATCTCCGGTTTTAGGTCGCTGTAAGAAAAATTGGCAATTCAAAATTTTTATTTAATAAAAGTATAAGTCCATATACTTTGAGTACAGCATTTCTACCACAATGAATTGAACAAACGGGCATTCTTGAATTGTGTAATCTACTATGTTTCTTATAGTTTCCACAAAACAATTCACGTTTCCACTTTCCAAATATTTAAAAACAACCATAACCCATAACCTCTTATATTGTTTTGACACTTTGGTTTCTTGGTAAAAGTCACCATAGAACCACGAAACCTGTAGGAAAATAGAACCATGGATTCTATTTCACTGAGGACCAAATTTGTCTGGAGCTTGAGTTCAATGTGTACGAGAGAGAAGTGTTCATAGACACATATGTTAGGAAGAGATTAATTAAGATGCATGTTGAAAATATGCTTTAGTTTATTCTCTACGCCCAAGTAATGGTTTGATTTTGAGCGTTTTGATTTGTATCGAACCTGTTTCATCATTTTAGGTCTAAATGAAAGGAAGGTATGGATCGCAACAAATTCTGCAACATTGCATAATTGACAGACCGCATCTCGTACATTCCAAGGTTTCCCCCTCCATGGTCATATATGAGCGATTTTGGTCAGTTTATATGTTTTGTGCAGTACCCATCTAGCGCTCATTGGAAATTGTCCTGCATGTTTTTCGCATGCGTACACGCAGGCAGTGATAATTTGTATTTGTTACCCTTTCTGACCGCGTAATTTTATCGCCATCTGTGAAAAGTCTAAAATAAGTTAAAACACTGAAATGCGTCAATATTGAAAGAAAGAATTCTAATCAAGATCAAAACAGAATATTAAATTAAATGTACGAATAGACCTTCTTGGGTTTGACAACCTAACCTATTGTAGCAGCCTGTGCGAACATTTTCTAGTGTAATATATTGGCAACGCGGCAGATTGCACGACCTTCTGCGTCGCCGTTGCTTGTCAATGTAGTGATGACCTTTTCTCTCTCGTACACATTGAACTCAAGCTCGGACAAATTACGTTTTCCCTGTATAGCACAGAACTGGAAAGTAGAATTGATAAGACAATGCACCTAGTTAAGTCTCCGATGAATAGATGGGGCTTTTAATGAATGACAGCTTGACAGTTTTGTCAGCTTGTTTTTATTCCAGACAGGGTGTTTAGTGTTTATATTAGGTGCAACGACGATGAAAAGACCTAGACATTTACATTCATTCATAAAACGTCTATCTGAACGTTGACAAGATAAACAACAGAAAACTATATACAGCTGCAGGAAAATGGCGGACAGTCGTCAACTGCCATGGGCGTATCATAATCGGGGTAATAGAGCTATAGCTAGAAATCGATTTTTGTGGAGTTTTTGGGCACTTCAATGAATGTAAAAGTATTATGCATAATGGAATGGAATAATTTGTCACTCAAATAAATTGTTTATGCTAATTATGAATATGCAAGCCGAAATATAGCGTCGAAGTACAATTAAATATAAGTGTACATAAACACAACAAGAAACGGTCAAAACTAGGACTATGAATCAAACCGGACGTCACATGCACTCAGACCAATCATGATAGTGTCGCCAGCGACAGACGAGGCTCTGAAAACTGATGAGCTTTATACATTTATTAACCCGACTGCCTCAGGAGGAATATGTTTCACATGTTTTTTGGTTTGTATGTATATATCCAAAAATTCTGTTTCACGGGCTCAAATGCTTGTTGGATTTTGGTATTCGGATTCGTCCTAGCAGTATGAGTGATACTGGGTATATTAAAATTTCATTGAAACAAAATGGCGAATATTAATAAAATAATCAACCTTGAAATTCATATTTCCAAGGCTGCAGCTTGAACGGTTTGATGGATTTTGACAGAGGTGCCTCTAGATTAGAGACGGTATACTTGACCAATGTGTTTCCAATATTTACTTAAAAATTAGAGTTGGATTGAACAGTTTTGATCGCCATCCATTTTAATAAGATATTTTTTTAAAACAAATCAAACAGTGAAATGGGAACACTTTTTATTTTGACATTTTCACAAAATCATAAATTACAAGAGTTGCTTCAAGCAGCTACTTCACACTCGCCAATTTAACAATGGGTACAAAATCATCATAGGCCATTCCTTGTATAATAGTAAAGAACAGTATAAGAAAAAACACTCTAAATCTTATTAGTACTACTTTGCCAGTATTATAAAGCGAATGTCAGACGTTCATTTCATACTCTGATCCGTTAGTATTTTCCAAGGAATGTGGTCGTATTCATTGAACGTCTAGCCTAGCGTATTGATGCCATGTTTTATTGTTGCATAAGGTTATGTGGAAATTCAATCATTCCATCGATCCGGAAGGAAATCTATCAGTAAATACTGACGTACGGATCACAGTATGGAATGAACGTCTGACATTCATCTACGAGGTCTCAGTTATAGCATAATTAAAGGAAAATATGCGAGTTATATATATATATATATATATATATATACAGGGTGACTTTGAAGTTGAGTCATTAATTTTCAGATAATGATTGTAGAAGGAAGATAAACCAAAATATGTGTGTAAAAATAAAAAAAAATGTTACCTTGTTTAATAAAGTATCCTCCCGACAAGTATTTCAGTGCGGACCTGTATTTGATCGTGCGGTCTTGGGGCACCGGCATGCTCTCACCTGTGAGGCCTTAAGTCACCTGATTCACGAGCCCTTTGTACTACATTAACAAAGGCACGAGGGGTTGGTTGCACTCGATTGGGAAACCGATTCGCATAAATCCGTGATGCATCCGGCAGTATTTTGTAAAGACTGCCCCCCCGTAAATAAGAATCATGTCCACAAGTTCAGCATTTTCGTAAACATGTGCCATTTTTCATTTCGTTTGAGTCACGCAACAAACATCACTATTCACCCACGCGTTATCGACTGAAGAAAAACAACGTGATAAACTTTTCAAATTCTTTCGCTTTTTTGTTTCCGATGCGATGAACCGATATCCGTTGTTGCCAAACACATAATATTATTATTGAGACAGGGCGGTACTCAAACTTCTAAAGGGCTATAACTTTGTTACTTTAATTTTACCAGAAAAATGTTAAAGGAAAAAAACATTTCTTTTGATCAGATCTACTCACTGTTAAAATAAATGACTCAACTTCGAAGTCACCCTGTATATATAAAGGTAACTTTATATAAAATCTAATTACATATAATATAATCAAAAATATATACATCAACACATTAAGCATAATTGTAAATAATTCATTCAATCTTGGGGTGTTACCTAAAGTGTTGTAGTAATCGTGTTGAGAAATTTGTATAGCAAATTAATTTTATAAGATAGCTTATGTATCCATTTATAACATGAAATACGAAAAAAAAACAATACATGCAGTCGGGATATTTCCATTTTACTGTGTATTGGTAGAAATTGCGGAATCTTGAATTATTTCAATTACATGCGAAACAGCTGAAATGTAGTCGACCTATACATACATGATCAGTGTCGCCAGAAAATTAAAAATCTACTAATTAGCTATGCATTTTGGGAAAAACAAAGCTTGAACTTCTGCCACCTACAGGTCTACAAAAATGTACATAATTTAAAAATACTTCTCAACCTTAGAATCATATCATAGAATCCAAAAAATTACGAGAGATACAACAAAGAAAAAATCTTACTGATGGCTGAATAATACTGCCTTCGTATATACACTTCTAATTCTGTTTTTTTTTAAACTGTCCGATTTTTTCACAGTTTCGTGATGAATTCTGAGTGAGAAATACTTTTTCAAAATCAGTTTTATCAGAAATATGCAGTGCCCATCAATAGGGTCATCTTCAAGAAGGTGGTGTTCAAAATACCCCAAAATATGTGGTGATATTGATTGTATGGTATTATTGACTAGAATATCCGAGAGATGTTTGATATTTTTGTTAAAGATATTAGTTGTCTTTTGGAAGAAACGAAAGTATTTTTCACCATGGCGGCAAATTTGAATAACTGGTCCTGAGGCTTTTGTCAATTCTCCATAAACTTTTCTTTTTTGCAATGGCATGTCAATATCGCCCTCTAAAGAATTCTTACAATTTATACAAGTAACACATTTTTTTAAACAATTCACCACAAACCCTGCAATGTATGAAACAACATCTTCTGTATAAATTGTAAGATTCCATGCAAAAGGTGTGCACTGGTAAAGGGCAAGATCGTTTTTTATTTTTTCTTCAAACTGAAGTAATTCTGGGCTATTTAAAAGATCTTCACCATCGTCCGCCCTGGTTATATGATATCCACTGCCACAAGATAAGATAGTCAAACGCTCTGGGTTATCAACATTTCCTGTGTCTGGGCCAGATATCTCTGTATGCACCAGCAATCGTTTGTATGCAGCTTCAAACTGCCTTGCACTGGGATTATTGTTGTACCCTCCCTTACTACGAATAGCTCCAAAAAAAAGCTCTAAATGATCCTGTGATAATTTATTTGTCAAAATATATTTTAAAACTTTCTTTTCTACAATACACAAGTTATAAAACTGTTTCAAGCTCTGAATGCAAATCAAAAATCCTAAAAAACCAGTTTTTTTTGGAGAATATATTATTGGGAGAGTACCTAGTCGCAATCCATGGATATATTGAACTGCCTCGTCCATGAATTTGAAAAATGTATCTGCAGTAGCTGGAGAAAGTGGGCGCTTAAATAAGTACTTTGAAAACCTGTTTCTAGAGTTGAAAATATCAAAAATATCGTTAAATGTTTGAACAAATTTTACGGTACCTTCCACATTAGCAAACGTCGCTAGTTTTAAATCTTTGGATAAATAGGTCAAAGCATCAGCAACACTTCTACTTAAAGTTTGTGTAGCTATTTTGACCCTCATTTTTTCTCTCGTCCACTGTAGATGACGATTTCTTATTTTTGTGCCTAAATGTAAACCTTCGATATTTTGCACATCAACTAACTTCACCAAATAATCCCAACTTATCTGATTGTTTTCAGAATCACCTAAGTATTTGATGGAACCAAAAGCGTTTCTGACTAATTTTATCATGTGGCTTGGGTCTAGGAATATGTATACATTTTGACGCGTTATAGGATGGAGAAAATAAGTCTTCAAGTTTGTTACATCGTTCAGATTTGTCCCTAGACAAGAAGCCATTGTGAAATTTACTGGAGCACCATCGAATGTTAATGATGCTACAGTAACTCCAGAAGTGTGGATGAAGGTTAGGCATTTTTTCACGAGTTCTGCCTTTTCATAACCAGTCAAGCCATCCAACAGAAAGTAACCCACCGGAATTTTCCATGCTCCATTCAAGCATACTAACATAAAAACCAACACCTCCTTTGCTTCTGGTAGAACGTCTGATTCTATGTTAGCCCCAATATCAACATACCCCGTGAACTTACTCCCTGTCCATTCAACTTGTTTCCGAATAGACATCTCATCTAGGACTAAATTACACATAACAGTAGAGTTTTTGGTTGAAGCTTCTCCTTGTTTTAATTTCAAGGCCACAATGGATTCCTCAGTGAAGCCTGGTGAACCATCAATCGACTTATACCATTTGCTTATTGTTGACAGATGGGGTAGAGCAAGGTTAAATGTCTTCCTCACAAAATTGTATGCTCTTGGGGAATAAAAGCTCAGCGTGAGGGCAAATGACCGCAAGGCAGGGTTATATTTCTGGCTAGTACGCCCCCTCAACATTCTTTCAAAGATTTCCAAAGGCATACCAGAAAGAGATGCCTAAAAGAGATATTGAGTATTTAGAATGCAATTAAATCATGTAATCTGAACAGAATGAGTATTTTAAAACTAGTATTAATTACATTTATGCAAGATAAATAACATCAGGAAACTAAGATATTAACACTGAACATACCCATACTCAATTCTATTTCTACCATAACCAGTCTCATGACCTGCTGTGGTTAGATGACGATATGTATACTTGTAACAAGTATTAGTCAAAATAAACAAAATACGAATAAAAAAAGAATATCAAATGCTATAATTAAAAGAAAAAAATCATGGAGCTATATGTGCAAAAGTGATAAGATGATAATGCTTATTTTCAATGAGCAAGATGACAACTGGTCTTCTGACCAGTTATGGTATGTTGAGTGTTGTGTGTGTGTTGTAATGAAAATTATTATATTGAAAAAAAAAGTTGATCAATTGCTCCATTCAAATGAATTCGGGTATCTGGGACACACAGTCTTCATCAATCTGCTTACCTTCAATACAGTTTCAGCTGAATCTGTTATGTGATTCTTCTGCTTCAAAAGTTTCAATAAGCCACTTAGAGTTTTTATTCTTCTCCTCAAAGCAGCAACACTTGTTTGGAGACTTTTTACTTTTTTCCTCAATGTCAATAGGGAACTTTTCATCAACCGATAATTTGACTTTGATTTTCTGGGAGTGGAAAAGTCATCACTTGATAAATCTCCAACATAACGTTTTAGCCTGAAAAGGATAAATGTGTCAACTATATACTTTATTCATTAAATAATATTATATATCATTTCATCTTGATACAAAATAGCTAGTAAGAAACAAGTTCTTGTCTCCCTCAAATACCTTCTTTTACGTGGTGTTCTGACATTTCGTTTGGTGACATTGCCTCTAATTGCCAATTGATACTCCTGTTCAGAAGCAGTTGCAGTACTGGATGATGTGAATGACTGCAAAATTTCTGGAGGCTCTACCATCTTAGAAGCTTCATCAGGAAAAGGAATATGACTTGAGCTAAAATATTTTCTACATGAGTAAATGAAATGGTTTAGATTAAGAGAATACTCACACCACATGGGAAGGCCCTGGTATAGCTAACTCTTCCATTCTGAATCTAAAATAAAAGGTATACATAAAATACTGGACATAACACATGTAAACAACCAAAATCCTTTGACATACACATGATACTATTTAGATAAGTTTTGACAATAATTGTTTGGTAATGTACTTGAATGTATGAATTGCATTTATTAAAGCACACTTGAAGCACACAGGCACTGACTTATTTTACTGTGCCAATCTGTTTATTTTGATAATAATATGTAGTATAAGCTTATTATATGAGAATAGTTCAAGTCCGTATAGAACTCTACTCACCGCTTTCTGACAGGGCTCCCTTGACTGCTATGGGCTTCTGAGCTTGATTCCTTTGATGGAGTAAGTGTCACTGTTGAATCAGAGCTGGAATAATAATGTTTGTTTAAGATACTTATGGATACAATAACAAAGTAAATATTTACAGGGCTAGAGTCTAGAGTAAAGTACAAGTATAATCTTGACACATTTTTAATTCTTCAAACTTTAGATAATAGAAATGCTGAGTAAATATTAATCAATATGAATATATAGGGCAAATGTATCTGTATGCTATTAATAGCATGTCAAAAAAACTCAAAAAAGTAACAAACATATTTACCTTGCATACTCCTGCTCATCATGTATGGAGCGAACATCTACTGGTTCAGCACCATCCTTCAAAAGCCTTCTTCCAGCAGAATCATATTCAAAGTCCCTATCATGAAAATGTTTGCTGCATATCAGTGCCACTTTCGGCAACGTTTTCTCCCAGTCAATGCCAAGCAGTGAAATCCATAAAATGCGCTTTGCTGGGTCAGATGGGAGTCTAAAATTGTAAACACATGTCTTACACCAATGATCTGTCTAATGATTATAAACTAGTTAGCACAAAAATATAATCAAATCATGGCAAAATCACGTTTACTTAAGTTGCATGAAGATTGTGTATGTGGATATTTTTGTACTTGATGAACTACACCCAGAACATCTTTAAATTGTATCATACTGCTAGTGATGGATATATATTCATATAAACTCGTCAGGAAGCTACAAAAAGTTACTAAAATGATGGTAAAAGACTGTTTTATGATAATTTTTTCAGTAAAATTTGTATTGCCACGCCTATGATATGAAAACATAACCTTACTTACCGATGGAATGATAAATTGGCCGATTCTGGATTACTGCTGTTTATCTTGCACACATAACACGATCGCACCATTGTTCAACAGGTAACAGTTCAATATCACTAACAAACTTATGTCAAATAGCACAAAAATAATGATTTGTGAAAATCCACAACTCAAGCATAAAATACGCACTTTATAGTATCGTAAAATGTCCATTCATAAGAAAAATGCGACGTTGCCAATGTCGACTGAAGCTCTGTGACTGAAGGAAATCTCTTTCCAATTCGCTAACGGTAAATTCAATACGAAAATAGTTCACTTTTCTACTTTTCACTATTGCTTATGCAGATTTTCAAGAATGTTAACAATTTTATTATTTTCATGAGTCCAAATAGCTGGTTTACACGATGAAATATTTGTTTGAGGTTTGTTTACTACCAGGTTAGGAATTCTATCAGCTAGTAACTGGCAACATTGCAATTCCCTAATATTTATCCTTTCAACGCGTTTTAGTGTAAATAGAAAGGTCTAGGTCTTTTCATCGTCGTTGATTAGGTGTGATTTTGTTATATGTTTACGTCATTTTCCAATTTAAATTCGATATAAATGACCAAGAAAACCCTAAAAGGCAAAAAGTGAATACTGAAACGAGTCATTTTCCATGATGGGACTATTTGGAAAAACCCCGGAGAGAAATCCGAAGGATATGGTAGGTTAAAGTAATATAACTGCTTGATATTTTTTGTATTTATATTATTACAACTTTAGGTAACAGAATGGACTCACAAATTAAGGAAGGAAGGCTATCAGATAGATAGACAGATAAGAGGTACCCCTCCAAGAAAAATATATACAAATTTTAATCCATATTAATTTATAGCAATTCAAAGGGAGGAGGAAAAAGTGAAACGATCTCTAAAAGAAGCAGCCAAAAAGAACGATAAAGACACTTGTCTTATACTCGCAAAGGAAATTATTAATGCTAGAAAAACAGTCAACAAAATGTATACATCTAAGGCACATATTAACTCGGTTATGCTACAAATGAAGAATCAATTGGGTAATAAAATATTGAGTGGAATGGTATAAACATCAACCCTCAGGCTTTCTTTATTTTAGCAACGTTACGTGTAGCAGGGTCATTGCAAAAATCCACAGAGGTCATGTCAGCAATGCAAAGACTAGTAAGGATACCTGAGATTGCACATACTATGCAGGAAATGTCTAAAGAAATGATGAAAGCAGGTATTGCATATGGTGTGAAATCAGAGTAGCTACAGTATTTTGAAATACTTTTTTGCTTGAGATAACATGGAATCTGTATATAAGTCAATAATATCATTTTATATAAGCATGTTTTCAAATTTACTTTGAGCTGCAATTTAAAAAATACAAAAATGAGGTTTTGAAATGCTAAAGTTTATTATAGCGTAAAATTTTTAGTAACTAGAGAAAACAACAAAGTCATGAATTGGAATGCTCTCAAAATGGCTCTAGTATGGAAACTTACTGGAGAATTTGGACTGTTTTCACGTTTTTTCTTAACACCCAAGAAAGAGTCGCACAAAAGATTATGGATATTTTTATTATTACTTGTTAACCATGCAAATATTACTTTATTTGTCAAACAGATAAAAACATGTGGATATTTTACCATCAGGCACAAACCTGGCAAAAGAAGTAGAATCAATGAAATTTGAGAAATGTTTCTTACTCTACTGAAATTTTGTTGTGAAAAAAATACTCTGTACATGGCACACCATTTCTTGATTTTCAAATTCCATTTAGTCATCTCATTGTTCTTGAATTTGGGAAACCATCAATTCCTAATGTCAAAAATTACCAATAGCTTAGGTGCTTAGGCTAGGATCAGATAAAAGCTAGTACTTTTTCATTACTTCAGATGAGGTCCATGATCCATAAGGAGGAATTGTGAATGATCTCTAAAAATTGTCCATATGCATTCGCTCCAGCACCCTTCATGCTGGTGTTTCATTCCCAAAAATAGAAATTTGTTCAATCCCAACATTACTAAAAACGCATATTTTCCCTGTTCTGGGGTAGACACACAATTCAATACACCACCACTACTACTACTAACAGTTAGTCATAAAAATTCTACAGGTATTATCGAAGAGATGCTGGACGACGCAATGGACGATTTCGAAGACACTGAAGAGATGGAGGAAGCAGCGCAAAACGAAATCGACAAAGTATTGTATGAGATTACAGAGGGTAAGATTGGAGAGGCTCCTGCACCTCCAACAGATACAACAGTAGGCGAAAAGCCAACAGCAGCTGAAGAACCGGAAGAAGAAGATGAAGAGGAACTAGAGGAGATGCAGAGCAGATTGGCGGCGCTAAAGTCATAATGAATAGGTGTGATTTAATCCTGCACACTGTTGCTACAAATTATATTATGATTCATTGAACAATGGCAATGTATTCAGTAAGAGGGTTAGGCATTGTGATAGACTAAGCAGATATCTGCAATATTACAAAAATAAGAAATTTAATGAACCTACAATCTAGTATTCTATTTAAACATACCTGTTTGTTGAAAAACTGAAGCAAGTTACAACAACACGAACGATTGTAGATTTCTTGTAGAGGTGATAGAACCAGAAACAGGTATGTAAATTATTTTGGTGAGTCGAGTCTGGCGTAATTTTTCCTAACCAGGAGAAGCGTCGTGTAATGGGGAATTTTCAAAAACTTGTTGGTTTGATGAAATATTAATATTTTGGATCCAATAGGTATAACCCGAGTATTTTCATTTTTTTCTACTAATTTCAGTGACAAAACATCCTTCCATACTTCAAACATGAAATTTTTCCTTAAGATGGTAACATAAAATTTCTAGTGATGTAATCCGTTTTCTACTTGCTGTCATTAAAATACAATTATAGTTCTGCCGTGGAGCTAAGACTCTCATCAGATGTGAATAAAATCACTTTTATGCTATGGCATTAGCAGGTATAATGTATGGTCAAGTTCTACTGGTATGCAGAATGTAATAAATATATCAAACATTTCTGTCAACATACGAGGAAAGAAACGAGTTTGGCTGCAAAATCCTGAAAAATGGGATGTAAATAATCTATTTCAGCTGTTAAAAATACAGTTTCCTTTGTGTAGAGAATGTCCCATTCTCTTTTGCTCCCATACCGTACCTCTACTAAACTGATGTATTTTTTCATAAGTATGCATATCTATCGGTTGGGAACACCATTATTATAGTACTAAACTCAAATGCAGTTCTTATTAATCTATCTGATATCGAAGTGTTGCAATGTCGGTGCTTTTTTGCCAATGTTAAACGAAAAAGTCGAAATGTGTTTGATATAGTTATAAAATCCGCGAAACAACAACAACCTCGGATTTATTGACATGCAAGTGTATTTGATTTGGTCTTTGATTAAAAATGCATGCTGGAAATGTGTACTAATAGTGTTATAAAAAATGTGTACTATAGCCTTCTGAGAATAACTTGTTATTGTTACAGTTTGTGTATGAACTAGTTTTTTGTACTAAATGCAAGAGAAGTAAGATAAGTTATTTATAGATGAATATTTCTACATTATATGTATATAGAAAAAATTGTATGTGCACAATCTGGAAGAATATATAAACGAAAGAATATTTTGTCAAAGAGCATTATTCAAAATATAATTTGATGTAATTTCTGCAAGCTTATTCAATATTGTTTCATGATCATGCTTTGTGTCACTCAAAAGAGTTGAACAGAGTATTCAAGCTTCGTAATTTATCCTATTCAACAAACATTTTCAACAGCAATAAGAATATCATAATTGTCTTTCCTTGTTATATGCTGTAAAACTAACGTTTCAATAACTTGTATTTCTTTTAGGAAGTGCCTATCTTGTTCATTGAATTTTAGATATTCAAATTTATACATCTCTATAAACTTTGTTAATCATACATGAACTATAAAGCATTGACATGTCTATTGGTAGCAAATAACAATTATTTGTATTGACACTTTTGTGATAATTGCTGTACATTTTTTGAAATGAGTTATATATCCGTTTTACACTCATTTGTAAGTATTATCGAGATATTTTGTTTATAATTGTATATTATTTATTTTGGATAAGTACATTTATTGTACTTATATATGAAGCTTTAAAAATGTAATTGTAAAAATTGTACTAGATGCATTAATGAAACTAGTGATAGATGGCACTTTGGTTTATTTAGCCGCATTAATATATTGACCAAAAAATTGTAAGCTTTCAATAAAAATTCTCACAGGAAGCCACTTATTATTTAAATGCAAAGCAATGGGTAACTTGATCATTGTTTTTTTATCCCATAGTTTAGTAGTAGCAATAGTTTAATTAATCAAACCTCTTTTATGGAATGACAGTGTTTGAATGATATGTTTTTTCATGGCACATACAACAAATTACTAATAGTAAGTAAGATAAAATTGATGGCCTACAGGTTGTTTTTGAAACAATTTTATTTTTTTAGGAATCTACTAAAAACATGTTAAATTAATGTATACAATGTCAGGTTTATACAAACCTTTAAATGTCATAAGCATAATCACAAACAAGCTCAGAGTGTGTTTATACAACTGTCATAGTCATAAGTAGCTGTCTGTTTGTGTGTTTCATAGATCTGCCACCTGACCCTTGATTGTTGGTCAATTCTAACATTACAAACAAAAAAATAAAAATCGAATAAGCAAAGAGTGAAAATCAAACATAAAAGGGATAGCAACAAACTACAAAACATAAATCCACAAAACGTTTTTATACAAAAGATTTGATAAAATAATGTTTCAGCATAAGAGTGAAAAATAATGAAACTCGCATCCATCCCACTATGATTATGGCAAGATGTATGAAAGCATTCATAAAAGATACATATTTCAACTCTTATGCTTATGTCTATGATCATGACTATTAAAACCTTGTATGATAGTAAAATATTCTGAAATTAGACCTTAACTAAGATAATAAAAAACATATCAAAATAAATATCACAAATACACCGATTCTAGTCCGAGGTAAACTGGAAAATTTTAACGTCGTTTTTTTTTGTCTTGCTTCCTTGGCCTGTGATAGGGCCTCCTGGGGGTATTTTGTGGTGTACTTTGTTCAGAGCTTTCTTCATCGCTGTCCACCTTAAAGCAAATTCAACTAAGTATGTAATTCAGCAAAGGATGTCGGACTGTTTACCCTGGATCCCCAGGACGTGTTGTCCTCAGAGGTATCAGTTATGAAAATACAAGCAGCAAGACAGACTATTTGGAAGACGGCTCCTAAATATAATCCATAACGGACTATGGTTGCCGTGATGTCTTCTACGCCAATGTCGATAGCTGCATTCATTATTTTGGGATTGTTATTAATCTGACTTTGCAGTAGTGTAGTATGAGAACATAACACAAACGATCAAATTCCTTATAAAAAAATCAATACCAGAACGTTTGTATTTGTATAATATTCTGACAGATATGTCAAAATTTACATAACCTATAAAAAGTGACACGGAGCTCAGACATGCGGAGAAAGATGACAAATCGCAAAAGAAAAAACGAATATTTTCTACAGACGGTTGTGGAATGTCTTGATGTTTTTTAAATTAAATAAATCGTCTAAAACCTGTCCCACACGATATGGCGAATGGCAATGTGTCCAACGCTGTAAGGCCTTTGCCACATCGTGTGGGAGAGCGCTGACGAATTGCATGTGTCCAACGTTCACCACATGGCACGTTCGGGCTCTTGTCGGTAAATTTGACCCGCATCAAAGGACGTTACAACGTTGGAAGCTTGGTTCGTTACGCTCCCACACGAGATGTCATGTGTTTGATGGTTTTAGGCTAGAACCAGTAGCGGCGACAAAAATCAAATCCAAGCGAATAACCAAAATTTATATGTTATGTACCGCGGTTATAGTATGGTTTAAGATAACACACGGTTTGATGACGACAGTTACTCGAATCGCTTGAACGCGTTGGTTTTAACCGCGGTATTGTTGCAAGTTGTTTATTTTATAAAAGTGCGTATATAATTTCTGATTATTTTTATTATCACTTAATAATCGGTACTTTTTGTCTACACCAGTGTATGGACAGTTTAAAAGGGAAACCTTTCATAATATTAATATCAGAAATGTTTTTTGCCAGAAAAAAGTTTTTAATGATGGAACCATATGGCTTCGTAACTATGATAATTTTCAATTCTCTAAACTTTTCCGCATGTTAAAGAAAACATTAATTTATTGATTTGAATGATAGGAAAAAGCGATGAAAAAAGATATTAGCAAAACCATATACAGGTGGACATCATCCAGTGAGTTTATATGGCCATATTTTAATGTTCTTGTGGTATATGGCTACACAGGATACTTTTTTAAGCATAGGAACTAGATTTAAAGTATCCCAACAACAGTAATGAGTATAACTAACAAGGTGCTCTACTTTATGCTACAACTGAAGTCAGCGTATATCAAATTTACAAAAAAAGAAGCTGAAGTTCAACGAAAATATCCAATACCCGAAAATATCCAATACCCGCCTAAATTCTAACTAGTCACATTTCAAATAATAACCAGAAATATAAAACTACTCCTGAGTAGGGTTTTACGGTGATAACTATGACATATAACATCTACTGAGTGGGGCCGTGGCAAATGCTTGTTCCGGAAGTTGTTGTATCCGGTATTCAACTTCTTCCCGTTCAAGTGATTGCCCACGCGTTAAGGAATACCTCAGTACCGATTGCCGGGTGGCGGTACAAGTCCGCCAACGGGCCACTTTAGGTCTATTTAACATCACTAACACGTAAAAAGAAGGTGGTAGACAAGGACCAGTCGACCGAGGCAGTACCACCCGCTAGCTTTTCCCAGGGTGTCTTATAAATGTCCTCATGTTTCCACACCTAAGCTATGCAGTCGGTTATCCTCCAAAACAAAGAAATTAATGATGATGGATCCCTCGAGCACTAGGAACTCCGGACGTAAACTCACTCCACTCTCGGAATGTCCGGGTGGAGGGTGCGCTCGAGGGAACGACATCGAAGATAAAATTTGTTTTTCGAACATCTGCGGGATTAACAGCAACATTGATGCTGTTCATCACTACCTGCAATCCAATCGTCCCGCCGTGCTTTTCTTGGCTGAGACAAAAATCTCAGAGTCTGCAACGATTAACTTCCCAAACTACGAGGTGCACTCCAATCTGAGAAAGAATGGGGGAGTTGTGGCTTTTGTCCGCAGCAGTCTTTCCTGCTCCAGAGATGTTTCTTTGGAATCAGACCGGAAGGACATTCTGTGGCTTCACCTCAACTCCAAAACATCACCCAAGTTTATTTGCTGCCTTTATCGCTCTCCCTCGGACCATAACTGGGATGACCTACTCGAATACCTCGCCATCCAGATCGACTTCCTGAACATCAATCATCCCGCTTCAGAGGTAGTTCTTCTCGGTGATTTCAATGCCCATAACGAGCTTTGGTTGGGCTCAAACAAGACCGACGCAGCAGGTCTGCCAGTCGAAGCGTTCGCTCTTACCCAAGGGCTGGTTACGAGTCCCACTTTTTTCCCCGCGTCTCGTCACACGCCAGTAGCCTGCTGCCTTACAGCACTGCTGTCCTGTCCCCCCTGGGTAACTCAGACCACGGTGTTGTGGAGGTTAGGTTTCGGTCAGAACCCGCTGTGGCAGCAGAAACTGGTACAGGCCGCAAAACTTGGCATTACGGACATGCCGACTGGGAGGGGCTGAGAGATTTCTTCTCTAGCTTTCCTTGGAAAGATGTCAGTTTCACTGACGCGGATGCGTCGGCTGTCTGTTCTTCGATAACCGAAATTATCCACGTTGGAATGGAGGAATACATCCCTCACACAGTGAAAGTGCCTAGACCAGGATCCAACGGCTGGTTTAACAAATCGTGTGACGCTGCTCGTCAGCAGAAGATCAAGGCACACAGAACCTTCTTACAAAACCCCACTGCAGAGAACAGACAAGCCGACGTTGAGTCCAGAAACAAATACAGGGTGACTTTGAAGTTGAGTCATTAATTTTCAGATAATGATTGTAGGAAGGAAGATAAACCAAAATATGTGTGTAAAAATAAAAAAAAATTAAAAAAATGCTACCTTGTTTTATAAAGTATCCTCCCGACAAGTATTTCAGTGCGGACCTGTATATGATCGTGTGGTCTTGAAGCACCGGCATGCCCTCCCCTGTGAGGTCATAAGTCACCTGATTCACGAGCCCTTTGTACTACATTAACAAAGGCATGAGAGGCTGGTTGCACTCGATTGGGAAACCGATCCGCATAAATCCGTGATGCCGCGTAAGTAAGAATCATGTCCACAAGTTCAGCATTTTCGTAAACATGTGCCATTTTTGATTTCGTTTGAGCCACGCAACAGACACCACTATTCACTCGCGCGTTCCCGACTGACACTGACTGTATACAACTGAATGAAATAATTGTAAAAACATCGTTCCAAATTCTTTCGCTTTTTTGTTTCCGATGCGATGAACCGTTAAGGCGGATTATATCCGTTGTTGCCAAACACGAGCACATAATATTATTATTGAGACAGGGCGGTACTCAAACTTCCAAAGGGCTTTAACTTTGTTACTTTAATTTTACGAGAAAAATGGCAAAGGAAAAAAACATTTCTTTTGATCAGATCTACTCACTGTTAAAATAAATGACTCAACTTCGAAGTCACCCTGTATAAAGCAGCAGTTCGCAATGCCAAAAACCAGCATGATATAAAAGTTAGGCACAGGGTAATGTCGTAGCGCTTTGGCAGTCGGCCTTTCTGGACGCTAGCCAAGCAGATTGAAAATAACTTCTTACACAGTAGCCTTCCACCACTTACGTGTCAGGATGGAACTATATACAACTACAGGCCTATAGCTCCCCTTTCAGTTTTAAGTAAGGTGATGGAGAGGTGCATAAATCGCGAGCTTCTGGACTACCTCGAACGTCACGGCTTGATTAGCGACAGGCAGTATGGTTTCCGGCACCAACGATCCACAGGAGACCTTCTAGCTTACGTCACTCAATTGTGGAGTAAACTCATCCAGTCTTATGGTGAGGCTCATGTCGTTGCTCTTGACATCACGAAAGCGTTCGATCAGCTGTGGCACGCTGCCCTCTTAAGCAAACTTCCATCCTATGGCCTCCCAGAAAAGCTTTGAAGATGGGTGCCTGACTTTATCTCTGGCCGCAAGATATCCGTCGTAATTGACGGGTTCTCCTCTTCATCCCACAACGTCAACGCGGGTGTTCCCCAGGGATCGGTCTCTTACATATCAACGACCTCCTTTCCTGCACGATTAACCCAATCCACAGCTTCGCTGATGACAGCACTCTACATGCAGGAATTCAGAGTGACAAGCCGATCTCTGCCGCTGAGTTGGAAAAAAGAAGACTAGCGATGTCTTCCTCTCTGACAAGAGACCTGGAGGCTATCACTGCTTGGGGACGCAACAATCTTGTACAGTTCAATGCTTCCAAAACGCAGTACTGTACTTTGACGAACAAAAAGCGTCCCTGCGCTTACCCGGTTTCGATGGACGGTCGAGTTCTGCCAAAGAGCCATTCATTTCGGCTGGTCGGAGTCCAGATCACCGAGGACCTGATCCGGCACGAACACATCTCGTCACTAGCTGCAGCTGCTGGAAAAAAGCTAGGCTATTTGTTTAGGGCTAAGAAGTACTTTTCTCCGCATGACCTTCTCACTCTATACAAGGCGCAGATAAGGCCTAGCCTCGAGTATTGCTCGCACGTTTGGGGTGCTGCCGCCCCGACTACATTATCCATGCTCGATGCTGTCCAGAGGAGGGCGGTCCGTCTGATCGATGACTCCTCTCTAACAGACAGTCTCGGGACTCTTTCGCACCGGCGGGCTGTCGGCGATCTGGCTCTTTTCTACCATTACACCAACGGGCTTTGCTCCTCAGAGCTCTCTTCCATGATGCCGTCGCGCGATGTGCCTGCCAGACAGACCCGCTAACTTTGGCGTCCCATACTAACCGTGTCGTTCGTACATCCAGAACCGGCCGATACGACCGCTCCTTTGTCCCGAGGGTGTCGAGATTGTGGAACAAACTACAAGAGGAAGCTTTTCCCAGTTCTATTAACCTTAGGCAGTTCAAAAATCGTATTAATAAAATTTCTTTGGGATCATCATAGAAGCCGCGGTGTTCCGGCATTTAGGCTTCTGCCTGCGTGGCTGCTTCCATATAAAAAAAAGAAAAAATCTGATTCATGACATCACGGATCTTATAACCAAACTGATAACCACACTCGCTTGAACGGATCGGTAAATACCAATCCAAAATGGTAAATACCTTTTTTATTTGGTTATTCGCTTGAATTTTGATTTTTCTGATTATTTTTATTATCACTTAATAATCGGTGCTTTTTCGCCTATAACGGTGTATGGAAAGTTTAAAAAAGAAACCTTTCGTAATATTAATGGGAGAAATCTTTTTTTCAGAAAAAAATGTTTAATGATGGAGCATTGGCTTTGTAGCTATGATAACTTTTAATTCTCTAAACTTTTCCGCATGTCAAAGAAAACATTTATTGATTTAGCAGAAATGGTAGGAAAAAGCGATGAAAAAAAGATATTAGCAGAACCGCATACAGGTGGACATCATCCAGTGAGTTTATATGGCCATATTTTAATGTTCTTGTGGTATATGGCTACACAGGATACTTTGTTAAGCATAGGAACTAGATTTAAAGTTTCCCCAGCAACAGTAATGATTATAACTAATAAGGTGCTCTACCTTATGCAAAAACTGAAGTCAGCCTGTATCAAGTTTCCCAAAAATGAAGCTGAAGTACAATAAAAATATTCAATACCCGCCAAAATTCTAACTTGTCACATATCAAATAATAACTAGAAATATAAAACTACTCCTGAGTTGGGTAAATACCACAATTTTGCGGTGATAACTATGACATATAACAGCTGATTCATGACGCCACGGATCTTATAACCAAACTGATAACCATACTCGCTTGAACGGATCTGTAAATACCAACCCAAAATGGTAAATAGCATTTTCATTTGGTTATCCGCTTGAATTTGATTATAGGTTGCCAATAACAACACTTTTTTCATATTGCTAATATTTTGTACGTTTCGCAGGTGAGTTATGGCTGGCCTAAGGATATGTGTTTTAGTAAATTATAAGTTATGAGGTGCTTACAGTTGTTTCATTATAATGTCCTGTTGCAATGCAAGACTAGTTGAGAAATATATTGACTTGCATTTCATAACTAACGAAAACGATTAGGCTACTACTATGAAAATGACAAAAAAAACTCTGCAGTTCGGTGCAGTGGCGACGGAGTAATCGTCGAAAAACAACAAAAAACGGTCAAACTTCGTTTTTCGACATTTCTGACGCTTGTTACAGACTTAAGTTTTGGTCGCTGAAGGCAGATCTGAAATTATTATTCTGCGCTCGAAAAAATTGTTTTTTCATTTTGTATAATTTTTCCTTCAGTTGTGAAGGTTCAAACGCGACACTGACACCGAGAATAGACGTTGGCGCCACCATGCGTCGAACGTCCGAGACTAAAAAGTTCATCCCATCGTGTAGGAGACACATTTGCCAATTGTGGGGTGTCGAACGTTGTACACAACATTGTATACAACGCTGGAAGCATCGTGTGGGACCCGCATAAGGGCGGAAAAAGATAAAATAGGGCCCGAGTCAAGATAACATGGCCACGGACGATAACTGTTGAAATATACTCTAGAAGACTATCCGAGGCGAATTTTTTTCCGAAATCATTGCACAACACTTAAAAAAATGAAAATTGGAAAATTGCAACTTTGACGTTATAAATGACTCAATCGGCACCCCGGGATAGCCATGCGTCTTGACAGTTGACCTTGTCACCTGGATTGTGGCGTTGCCAGCTCATCGGATGATTTTGCTACCTCTGCTATTTTGCTAGAATGTTTTAAAAAAGGAGTTTTGAATAGAATATTGTGGAATACTAATGGAGATATGAGGCGTATATTTCCAGACGGCGCCTTGTAGATCAAACATAATATGGATTGTAGAAATTACTTAATTTTGACTTAAATTCTGGACTCTCTTCGAAGGCGACCTCTATGGGCAAAAAGTTAAAAACTGTTAACAGAGAACTACCGGAAGAGGTCCTGATTTTTTGGATTTGTTTCTGGAGGGTAATTTTAACGAACAGAATATTATCATAAAAATTTCAAAAATGAATTAATGACTGCACTGAAGTTTCATTTTTATAGGTACTTGATCAATCATATTTGAAGTTGCCTGTCTTTGGGAAGATTTTGTTTAATCTACACCTATAACTGCCGAGTTTCTCCTCATTTATCCCGTATCTGCCTGATCTCTGTCTGCCTGTATCCCAGTTCCTTGCGGGTTGTGTTTAAAAATAAAATGTCATTTGACAGATGACATATTTTCTTGTGTTAATCAATAATTTTAACATTTACCATTTTCAAGAGAATTCCTGTGATTCCTCATGGTTATAATAAATAAATTAGTAATTGTAGTTCATAGCTATTAAGTGTATATGAGTAGAGTGAAAAAATGAAATGGGGGGCCCACCACTGGGTTTATCAAGGTTGTATTCTGATCGCATTACTTTGGGGTGTTTTGGGAGAATTAGGTAACCCTTATGAAATATTAGGGGTGCATAGGCGATCGTCTTCGCAGGAAATACGGAAGGCATATTTACACTTGGTTAAAGAATGGTAAATCCAGTGAGTATAATAATTGCAATGAGTACACATTTTTTTTTAAGGCATCCTGATAAAAGCAATGATCCCAATGCAGAACAGCGTTTTGTTGAAATCAAACTGGCATACGAGTTGCTGTCAGACCCAGATAGGAGGAAGAAGTATGATGATAAAGGCATTACAGAGGATGATTTCTACAAGAAACCTGAGCATCCACCCTTCCCAAACAGCAACCCATTTGAAGATATTTTTGCTCATCATGGAGCACATTTCAACTTCCAGGAGAATGATATTACATTTTTCCATAAGTTATCAATTACAACAAGGTATAGTTTCAGTTAATTATCCATGCTTATTTCTTCCATTAACTAAAATAGAGCTAGATACCCATAGTAAATTTCAAAATTCAAATTTTTTCATTACCAATTAAATTTTAATAACAGACATAGCAACATCAAAACACAGATGTCCATAGAAGTGGCAGAATAGTATATTATAACAAAGTAAGATTAAAGTAAAATTGAGATCTAACACAAAAACTTACTTGGTGGTGACTCTCTTAAAAGCTAGCAAATTTTCTGCACTTTTAATATTTTATAGATAGATAGATATTTTTGATCACATTTTGGTAAATTAATACATGTGCCACTTCAAAGAAGGAAAAAAATGATTGAAACATAAGAATATTGAAAACTACAATTGAAAAAATGAAGTAAGACCTACACATAAGGACAATTTAAAATTTGTAAAATAAAAACTCTTGTACAGATTTAAAAGCAGCTCAGGCAAAGAAATTTCCTAATTTTATGCTTCAATTCATTATAATTTGTGATATCCCTTAGATATTTTGGTAAACTGTTGAATAGTTGGATGCAGTTGTAAAATACAGATCTCTCATATGCTGTTGTTTTATGCCTATGAAAACTTGAGTGAACTGTGTGTATGCTTTTATTGCCATGTATTTGTCTCTTCTTGAAATATGTGGAAGCAAGGGGAGGGTATGCTTATGCTACCTCTTTCCCAGTTGAATAAGTTAAACTAACAATACCCTGAAGTACAGCTGTCATTTGAAAAAAGGTTAATTAATTGAAGTCACATTGGTATCAATTAAGGCCTATTAATTAGGATTTATACACATTTCTTGTAACAAAATTTATATTCCACTTGTACCTCAGGATATGGTTCCCAGGATAAGTATCTTCCATAAATTCATACCAGCAAAAAGCCTAGAAGATCATTGTGCCCTATCCAGTCTCAATCATTCAACACCTTTAGTGTTGCTGTACTGTCATTATATGCTCACAACTTGTGCATGATGCTATTGCCTTGTTGACACTATAGGTGCCACAGATTACCATAGCTCTGTGCATAAATGCCATGCTATGCCCAGTTGCACCATGTCGTGTTTGTGGCTATTTGCCATATAGGTGCTTGGCTACTAGTGGTGTAAAAATGGCTACTGTGTCAATGTGTGGGAATAAAAGTACAGTGCTGAAGCTGCTGAACGATTTTTGACAAACACTTGAGCTTCAGACAACTGCCATTCCTAGCCACTAACAAAAAGAACTGCATTGAGTTGCAGCAAGCATATTGTACTGGAACTGAGCTAGACACCTATATCATATATTTGTAAACAAGTTGAAGTAATTGGCTTGTCTAGGCAATGATTTTTAAGTGGCTTGCAACTATCGCATCCAGTTGACCAAACATAATGATCTCAATGTGTCAAAATGTAAATGAATTAGTCAAATTAATTTACTAATGATTGTTTCTTCTCAAAGTAAACATTTGAAAATACAAAATGAATAATAATGGGGTTGATATTTTTTTGTTTTCTAAATGAATAGTTTTGCTTCGAATTGGGGGCTGCTATCTTTCTCCACCAATTATAATAAATGTCCTTCAACATATTCACTACCACTCTAGTCAATAAGTAGTTTTTTGGGTTTTCTATCATGAACCACATATATTCTACTGGTGGCGAATTCAAATGCATTACTTCACAAATGCAGAAGGTAAAAGCTCACTGATGATGCTTTTTTTGTCAATTTGGAAATTTGTGTGAGCATGCATGGCGGCTTCAGTGGCCAGTAATTTATTGAATGTATGGTACTTAATTAACTGTGGGTATCAATGGATCAAAAGAAAGTAACAACAGTTGGTTTGTCATGGGTGTCAGACTATATTAAAAGTTTTTTGGTATAATACTACTAGCTGGTATAATACTACTAGCTGAAGGAAAACAGCGTTTTTTCAGAGAGCTACTAATTGAGAAAAAATATATATAATTTCAAACCCTACTGAGACAAAATTAAAAATTTTTAATAGTGCAGGAAATCATAGAAGAGGCAAACTTGATTTTACGATATAAAATTATAAACAGTAAAGCTACTTGTTTTTAGCAAATTTATGTTGAAAAGATGAGAGGGAGAGCGCTGATAGATTACATGTTTCCAATGTTCGCCACATGGCACGTTCGGGCTCTTGTCGGTAAATTTGATCCGCGTCAAAGGAGGTTACAACGTTGGAAGCATAGTTCGTTACGCTCCCACACGAGATGTCATGCGTTTGATGGTTTTAGGTTACAACCAGTAGCCGCGAAAAACATTATTTACTTGTTTGCTGTGATTATGGCGAAATAGTGGTATGTGGGAAGTATTTTGATTTGAATACCTACCTATTCATAATAATGTATGTTCCGTGACTAACTTTTGAGGAGAATGAATTAAATTAGTATACATACAAAGCATAGAGGCTGCCATAACAACACTTTTTTCATATTGCTAATATTTTGCAGGTACTATCAGGATTTTGTTGATATTTTGACCCTAGGTTACTACTATGAAAATGCCGGAAAAGCTCTGTAGTTTTTGAAAATCGATACACTGGCGGCGGAGTTATCATCGAAAAACAAACATAAAACAGTCAAACTTCGTTTTTCGACATTTCTGAGGATTCAGACAGACTTAAGTTTTGGTCACTGAAGTCAGATGTGAAATTATTTTTCGGCGCTCGAAAAAATTCTTTCATCGTTCATTTTGTATAATTTTTCCTTCAGTTGTAAAGGTTCAAGCGCGACACTGACACTGATAATAGACGTTGGCGCCACCATGCGTCGAACGTCCGAAACTAAAAAGTTCATCAGATCGTGTAGGAGATACACTTGCCAATTGTGGGGTGTCGAACGTTGTATACAACGTTGGAAGCATCGTGTAGGACACGTATAATACAAAAATGTTACTTGCTGATCAGCTCTTCACCTTAGTAGACGTCTAAGCGTGATGGATACTCGTGAAATAGGGTATAGAAATAATCATACCACAAAATGTAACAGAATTCAAGAGCAAATTAACCACTATATATTTTAGATCCAAGTGACATGTGATTTTTTGGTTATGAGTGATTTCTGGTATGATTAAAAAGCAATCTTTATAACATTTTTTCGGAAAATAGTTATTTCTCGCATACTGTATAAATACTTTCAAACTTTGAGAGCTTCATTGACATATAATTTCCAAGGACTGTATAGTATCAGCATTTTCCATTGAAATTTTTTTGTTTTTCAAGCTGCTTTTTTAACTGTTTCTTGCAATCGTTTCTTATTATTTTGATTGATTGGTTTTAGTAGATCTGTAATGAAAAATTACATAAATTTATTATGAAATATTTATAACGGATTATGTTAAGCACAAACAGGTCCGTACAACTAGGCCGTAACATTATTTCCCTGCCTTACCGGTAGTTTACCTGGCAACATTGCCTGTCCGCGACACTTGACTTGGTCAGACGTGGAAGCGCGGTCAGAACATAGGAAACATTATGCTGTGACGCGGCAGAAATACATGTGACAGCATACCAGAACAACAGAACACTCACCAAGGCCGGCGGCACGACGCCGGAAGCAGCAGCAGGGACTTATAGATACGCGATCCGTCTATCGACAATATTTTTTAAGTTTTAAAGGCTAATGTACAGATAATTCTATGATGTGTGAAAAATGTTTAATAGGTGCGTAGAATTACCAAGGTTGGGAGAGTATAAATGTACTAATACCCTCCCCACCCCCCTAACTCCCCAAGTTTATTACCTCTGAAATTTTTTTCAAAATTCATCAGTTTCCTCTGAAACACCAAAAAAAGAATTTTTTACTTTTTTCGTTTTAGGCCTTTTTCTCTCAAGTTATAGGCGGTTATATTATTAGCGGACCAACCGACAGACAGACGGAAATGAGTTACATATTTTTTCGTCATATAACATCCAAAAAACATAATTCACATCCCATTTTCGAAAATGTTCTCGATTACAATACCCGAATAAAACATGGAAACTGGGTCGCAGTCGACTTATCTAGAAATTCAGTATGATGTATTTCTCGCCTACTTGAAATAAAGTTTCTGAGGAAAAGGGGAATGAAGAATCTAGGGGACCTTTATAACATAGCTGATGCTCTTATTAATAAATACCACCCTCCAGGTATTATTATTTGTGGGAGGTGCTAATGCTGCATTATCACTTCAGCAACAGCGCAAGAGCCAAATGTTGCTCTAGCGTGAGATGAAGTAGAAGACATCCACACAATGAATTTACAAACCATAAAGTGTCGACAATGGGAATTTACCTGACAATTATGCAATTATTAATGGGCACTATTGCTTATCTAACCCTAGGCACATACGGTTTTTTGATATTCTTTCCACGAGGTTAGAGTGCCTCATCCATCGAAAAAGTTTACCTAAACCGGTCGACATGTTGGAAGCAGACCAAAACAAAAAATACTCAAATTAATAGTCAATAAATTACAATACCCTAAGGTTATGTTCATATTAGTGAGATTTTCTTTCTCTCTCGCCTTCAAAATCAACAGGACCTTGAATTAACCTAAGACAACTAAACAACAACACAACTTTTCCTTCCCCTTGTGAAGCAGACTGTCCACATGAGTGATTTTATTTGAATTCTCGAGCAATTGGTGCCAGTATAAAATGAAAATTGCCTTATATTGACATTTTAAGGATCATGGCCAAGATCAACATGGCACGGTCCAGCATCTTTCTGAAAGATTTTTAAATAAAATATTCTTCAGTACAACAACTCTGAGTATTTGGTCTGAGAATCACAATGAGCACTTTTGCAAATCGTGAAAACTTCATTCCTCTATTTCTCAGAAATTAACCATACGATTGCCTTGATCCCATGAGAAATTTGGTTAGAAAACTAGATATACTCGTATATCATACCGAATTTTTAGACAAATCGACTGGGGCCCATTTTCCATATGATTTGTCCTTTATAATAATCCAGGAAATCTTAGTAATGATGATTGGATTTCCCATTAAATAAAAATAAATGAAACATTCACTGTGTTTTAACACTAATACTTTTTCGAGTCCTATTTATTTACGAAATGTTTTTTTGGTTTTCAGGCAGTATGATAAAATAATAGTACCGAAAAGCGAGAAAACGCCACATTTGATATTTTTCTACACCGACTGGTGTTTTCCGTGCATTCAGACTGCACCGTACTGCCGTAAGCTAGTGGAATACCTGGAGCCATTAGGAATCAATTTTGCGACTGTCCATTCTGGCAGGGAACCGAATCTGGGCAGAAGACTCAGTATACATACACTTCCTTGTTTGGTGTTGCTCCTCGATGGAAATGTGTATGTTTTCAAAGAGACGATCACCAGTGTTCAGAAGATTATAGGTTCGTATTGTTATTTAGATTTTGGCGGTCTTCCTAAAGATGAATGAAAAATACATTGTTGGCAACAAATTATTCCCTCGCAGCAGAATGATTAGCCAACTATTATTAATACTATTTTTTAAGTGTCAAGTAAACATGTCAGTTTACGTACAGACTGATTCAGAAAATGAAGGCATGAAGTAAATATGAAAAATAACACGAACATTTCGTAAAACATGATAGATGAAAAAATAAAATCATTTCACTCTCATCTGACTTTTTGAATAAAGTACTCAAGTTCACATGAATTGCCTTTTTTAAAAATTCTCCTATTGAAAAAAATTAGTTTGAATATTTGAGGTAAAATCCATAGAAAAAGCTCAGCCCACTTTGAAAATGCGCTGAATTTAGTGAAGTTTGACATTTGAAATTGTATGGCGTATAAATTTATCGATATCTTTGTAATGGGACGTTTTATTTCATATGTTCATATTCACTTTTTTATTATTTTTTGATGTATTCTAGAAATATTGCCATTGCGTTGTATACATGGTGTCTCAAATTGTAATCGGAGGAAGTCAATAGCATTCATTAGAATTACAAGAAACAACTTGTATTGGTTGAAGTTTGTATTTCACTTCAGACGCATAAGCGACGGAAGTATTGTGATCGCAAGATCCAATTTCAGATATAGTCTAGGAGCAGCCACTAAGGTCACGTGTGCCATTATATGTCTCCTGAGCTTAAATTCGGGGCATTATTAGGCACCTATAGTAGTATGTAAAAGCAGGTCACACGATACAAATCGCTATATTTAAAAATGGCCGCCAAGTTATAAAAGTTGTAAAACAGTTATTCTACATATCTTCACAACCAGTAGAACGAATTTAACTTTTTGAGAATCATTTTAATCCTTTTTCAAGAACATACTTATTCATTACAATTTTTTTTTTAAATAATCTGGTAGTTATTCAGATAAGGCAGCGCAAAGCGCCATCTATCACACCAAAACCGACCTACTGCAGAAAGCGCATATGTAGCTGCTATTAGTTGGAACTGTTATGGATCTCATTTCGCGTTTAATAGCAAAGTCACCATCTGGCTTACGATTCTGGTTGTAAAGTAGATGTGGTCTACTGCCATTAAACAAACCAAACATGATGCTTTCGCCCGTCCGACCAAAAAGACAGCCAACCATGGACAACTGTTTCGTGCTTCTTGGCTACCCATTAGTGTGGTCTAGGCTTGGTCTTTTGTCTCTGGACGAACAAAAGACCATGCCTAGACCATGCTGATGAGTAGAGCCAACACACACGAAACATCTGTCCATTATTGGCTGTCGTTTTGGTCGGACAGACGAACACATCATGTTTGGTTTAGTTATTCAGATATAACAAGGTTTTTAATTTTCATCACTTTGTGAAGTTATTGAAATAATATTACGATAAATGAAAAATTTACCGATCTTTGATAGTAAAAACCAATTTCAAACATTTAATAAAATTGGACTCACTACAAAATCCTTTTTTGAAGGCAAACATATATTGGGATTATACATTTTTTGAATAATTCCATAAGTTTTGAGATATACTCTCGAGACGTATTTTGCTATTTGGTCGCCATGTTTAAATATGACGGCCCTATGACTACCATTCAGACAACATGATCTTTCATTAAATACTCCTGTATACATTTGATCAACTTCCAGAATAAAATTCAAAACACGTATCAGTGCACAAATAACTATACTGTAGTGTTATAGTCATCGATTCTATTTTTGGAAGGTTTGGAAAGCTTACTTCGGTTTTGTGGTAATATTACCGAAAACTGCCTTTATGATTAGTGACTGCACAACTTTTCAATGCTCAAGATTGGTTTTAGCTCTACCAACATTTGATCTCTTTGCATGTAGTGTTATTTAAATGCCTTCCCAAAATGATAAGATTGAAAAACGTTAGTATATCTGGATAAGTATTTGATTAATCGAAAAATGTACAATAATTATAAAATATGTTTGCCTTTGAAAAAGAAGTAAAACGACCAATCGGTCCAGTGGTAACGAAGATACGTTGAATAATTGTTGTGCAACCTGGCGGCCAAACGACTACAATTTGGATCGCGTGACCTCGTCTTTTGTACATACACAGGGTGTCGCATCGGGAACTCCATCGATAGATTTCTCGAAAAGTAGGCATATGATATTTTCCAGATGGTGGCACTTCCAGGTGGACCGGAGGTTGATGCCAACTTATTTATTTTAAATTCGACACCCTGTATATTACTCAATATTGGGATTCTACATACAATTCTAATTACATTTCATGTATAGCCTTGTATACCCAAGTCTAACCGTTTTTGACATATTTCAAATTTTATGTCAAAAATGACGTTTGCAGGATCTCTAAAATAATTGTTTATTTTCCCTATGTAAAACACCTTATTGTTTAATGTGGGTTGATTTTCTGGTCAACAGGGATATAGTTTAATAGACTTTGTATGATATTTCGATAATTATTTATACAGGGTGGTCAAAAAATTAGTATAAAAATTGTCAAAAATTGCCAAAAGTCGACTTTTTATCTATCCCAAAAATGTTTACTTTTCGAGTAAGTTGCAATTTATTACTTTTCTATTGTAAAACTCCTATAAGTACAGATTTAGTTTTTTAATTAGTTGGCTATGACGGCGGGACGCAGAAAATAAATTGAGCACTACAGAAATATCAATACGTCTAATTTTAAGCTTTTAATAATAATATAATCAATAATTTTCCTGTATTCGTAATCAGAATAATATGAAGACCAATTATGATAAGTTTGCTAGTAGATTTCCAAACAAGCACATAAAGTGAAATGAATAACAGGAAACAATAAGCTATTTCGATTTATATTCAACTTTCATACTATTATAAAACAAAATTAAAACATAACAAGAAACAACTTATTTTGGTAAATGTTCAAAATGACCACCCCTAACGTCCAAGCATTTAAAACATCTACGTATTAACTCCTGATGAGTGGCAGTTCTTATGATTTCTGGACTTAAACTAGTAAATTAATTTCTTACTCTCTGCTTACAGTCATCTAAATGTTTTCTAAATTCCGAAGAATGTTCAAATAATCTTCACCTAAAAATATTATTGGGTATTAATAATAATAATTTTCATAACTGCATAACGTTTTCTTTAATATCCAAATATTTTTAAATGAGATAGTACTAATGTTGGCAATGCAGACCTTATGTGTTAAAAAAACTTATACTACTGGTATTTGCATATTGCACATTCTTATCAGTTTCTTTTATAAAAAACTGTTATTTGCTAACTTACCATTTAAAATTTTCTTCATAAAACTTGATTATCTCTGACAGCACAGTATACATTGAATTGCCAATTATCTTGAAAGTTTCTTTCTCTTATTACATGAAGGTTCTCATTAGCCCAGTAATGAGAATGGTGTCGATTGAAAAGGCCATTTTTGGTACATTTTGCTTCATCTGACCATATAATATTTTTCAGGAAAGAATCATTTTCTTTATACTATACCTTGTAATAATCAATTCGCTAAATTGAATTCTTTTAAAAAAATCCGATTCTTTTAATTGTTGGACTAATGATAGCTTGTATGGATCAAAATTGTGTCTGTGCAAATTTCTGCTAATGTATCTTTCATAAAACCTGACTCTCGTGCGTAAAGACATCATTTTAAAAGCATAAAAATACCCCAAAACTGCTACTTCAATGGCTTCATAGTTAACTAAAGGTTTATTCCTTTGAATCGTAGGCTTCACACAACCGAAAATTTTGAAATTTTCTATTGCTGGCTTAGCCGTATGTGCGTCCGGTCGTCTTTTTCTGGATATATATGAGCAAACACATCACATGTTCTTGATATCACTGTTGCATTCACCATAAATAATAAATAAATTGAAATAGTTAAGTGAAATTTAAACGCGCGGGCATGTTTATTATTAATAATTTATAAATAAACTTTCAAATGCAGGACATTATTATAAAGTGACGTTTTTGTAGAGCGCAATTGTTTGTTCCCCTCGTCCCGCCGTCATAGCCAACTAATTAAAAAACTAAATCGTACTTTTACAATAGAAAAGTAATAATTTGCAAATTACTCGAAAAGTAAACATTTTTGGAATAGATAAAATTTTTGACATTCAATTTTAATACTAATTTTTTGACCACCCTGTAAAAATAATAATCGAAATATACAAAGTCTATTAAACTATATCCCTGTTTACCAGAAAATCAATCCACATAAACAGTAAGTTGTTCTACATAGGGGAAATGAACAATTATTTTAAGGCCTGCAAACGTCATTTTTGACATAAAATTTGAAATATGTCAAAAATGGTTAGACTTAGGTATAGGTATAGGTATACATGCAATGTGATTAGAATTTATGTAGAATCCGATATATTGAGTAATACACCGGGTGTCCAATTTAAAATAAGCAAGTTGGCATCAACTTCCGGTATAACCGGAAGTGCCACCTTCTTGAAAATATTTTTGGCTGTCGTTGCCCCATCGACATTAGTATACTCCCATATTTTCAAAAATATCATATGCCTACTTCTCGAGAAATATATCGATGGAGTTCCCGATGCGACACCCTGTATACATATTCATATAGGTGCTTAATAATGTCACTTATTCAAACTAACGGCACAGATAAGTTCACACGTGACCCTAGACTTTGAGAGATTTGCAATGTTATTTCAATTTTGTGGAACGAGCAAAAACTGTTTTCAATATTATGTGAATACAATGTTTTTAAATGTCCGAAATTGGTTCTAGCTCTACCTAAAATGGACCATTTTTTCATCTAAAGTAGTATTATTTGAATAACAGCACACATTAATGAAAATTGAAAACCTTGATATATCTCAATAACTACTCGTACTAGGCCAAGAAATAAGGAGATTTTGTATGAGGAAATCTTAGAATTTTTTCAACAGTACATTTTTTTGTGATGTCGTTAGGTTATTGCTTCCTAATGCTGAAGCATTTGCCGCCATTTTGATATGAGTAAACTTTCGAGATGTCCGGTCAAACGCGTTCATAAAAATGGCGGCAAATTAACGGTACCATCGAAAAAATTTAGTTACAATAATTGTAGGAATTAGTTACCTATTTCCTATAATATACTGGATTATCCAAAAAATGTGTGATCATAATAAAATATGTTTAATGTCAATAAAATGAGTCTAAAAAAGTTAAAATCGGCCTACTGGTTACGAAGATATGTTGAATAACCGTATATCTTGGTGGCCAAACGGCCACGATTTGGAACGCATGACCTTTTTTTAAACTGAGGGAATATATAACGGAAGACGTGACCTTGGTAGCTGCTCCTGGACTAATAAGTTTTTGTTGATGTTTTGTGATTTCTGTATCATGGAAGTCAATGCCTGCTTGGCGTTCCTCTACCTTCTTTATGTCGGGAAGGGTTACACCAATTTTGACGAAATTTGTTTGTATGGTCATACTAGGTAGTGCTATTTCATTTTTGAAATCGACGCAAAAGCTACGGCGTTGTTAGCAAAAAAATAATAGGTACAGATCGTTCGTAAACTTCGTTATAGTGAGTAAGTTAATGGGAATAAGTAATGAGTCTCGATTTGACAGTCTTTTTGTCCCTTCATCTTGTATTTTGAATCAATGGAATATATTATTTTCAGAATTCATTAGGAATAAGATGCCATATAAAATGATAACCAAAGTGAAACCAAATGATATTGATGATTTTTTGAACGGCTGGGAGGATAACAGGGTGCGCGGATTGATATTCGAACCAAAGAGTACAATGAGATTGCGATATTTAGTCACTGCCTATCATTTCCGTCACAGAGTTGCATTTGGGTAAGTATCACTAGCTATGCAGGATGCTGTGGATAGTTATTGTTAATTTTTTTTTTCATTGCCTCATCTCAGAATTTTAGATTCCTTGTTGGTCTAGTTCACTGGCCTCGAATGGCGTAATTATCACTGACCAACAAAAAATGTATCTGTTTCCAGGTTCTAAGTAGTCAAAACCCACTGATTTTGGGTCGAAATAAACGAATAGGGCCATTCAAATGTTTTATTAGCTCTGACTGACATCGATTCAAAGATAAATCCATGATCCTGTGTAATTTTCAATAAAATAAAATTAATTATCTAAAGGAAAGAATGAGTTTCATAAAAATACTACCATATGTTTTTTTCGACTAATTCATGTACGTAGGCTCCAGAGCATCTCTTGTAAGAGTCCAGCAGTAGTCGGCGAGCGTTGACTCCTCCGATCCTAACATCTTCCATTTCAGATATATCTTGGTGGAAGAGAGAGGCATTGCATCAAAGTCCACGATACCTTTGTAGGAGTATTTCCACCATCTGTTGCTAGTCGCCATTTTTTGTGTTGCCTAGAAATCCTTTTTCTTTCTTTTCCCCTCTAAAATTTTATCAAACGCAGGTTCCTGTATTCTGCCAGATTGAGTCCTAGTCGCAGTAGATGTCATTTCTTCAGTGTTGATCCAAGAAGCTCTCCCTTCTTCGACAAGTCAGGATCTGTTATGAGATCACTCAATTCTCTTTGATTCTGATTCTCACTTGATATGTGGAGCTCACTCACACCTGCTTCGAAATGTGGGTCAAGGGAACTCCCAGGCCTAATGACTGCTTCTTGTTCTCCTTCGGCGTTATTCTTCTGAATTTCATAATTGTGAGGTGGTTTGGAAATTGGAAGTTCAATCGAATGAGGAATGGGCCGATAGGCTGATCGAACGCAGGAATATTCTACCAGTACCTTCTTTTTGTTGACAAATTTTGCTTCTGGAGGGCGTTAAGCCGAATTAACAATCGCATACATGGTTTGTTGGCTCACGCCATGCCTTAGAAAACTTCATTGCGCGTTTCTTTCTCCTCAGTCACACTCGCAGTCTCACTGAGCAAGAGGGACAACAAACATCTGGTGCTCACGGTTTGTCTTGGGGACTTATCTTTCACACTGAAGTAAGCTGGCTTCACAACTGGGCTGATAGTTCGCTTCTGGGTTGCAAAAGTCATTTGACCACAGATGCAACAAAAGTTGTCGATGACATTCACACATATCCGTGGCATTCTAATGTAAAACAGGAAATTAGATCATTAGTGAAGATAATGAATTTCCTATTTTTACGACGGTGAATACGATTTTCGCACCACAGAGCCTTGTTGAGATTTTATTGCCCAAGTAGGTTCTATTTCTTGAAAAGAAGAGCTAATCTGATCTTTTTATGGTGATTTTCGCGTTTAGCCAGACAAAATACTTCGGAACTAGCTATTTTTGAACCCGAAACATTTTCAGAGTTGGGTGTAGAGTGGTGTTATCAGATGTAAATCAATTTAAGCTAACCTATTGAGAATTATTCTTTTCAGCTTTGTAGATTCGGACGAGATTAGAAGAAAGTTTCAAGTGCCCCACGACATGGATGCGGTATTGCTTTTCAATGAAAATACGTCATATCCGATGGCAAGTGTAACCATGAAGGATATTCCCACTTCCACTTTACATCATGTCATATCGTCGAATCAGTATTTGGCATTGCCAAGGCTATCTTCACAGGTAAAAAAATGTCTTTATATATACAGGGTGTTTCAGTTTATTGTTGCATAACGTTAAGATTCGATAAAACTTTTAAAATTAATGCATAAAGTCTATATAAACATGGGTCGAAAAATGCGTGGCTTCCGAAATACAGGGTGTTTAAATTTACTTTCTAAAATAGTTTTTTTTAAATATTTCGAACAATATTTGATGTATAACAGTGAAAATTGGTATACAAGGGTTTTTTGGTACGACAAAACGAACCATGGGCATAGTTCTACTGTATTCGCTAGAGGGCGCTCTCTACTGTACCTGTAGTGTATTAAAATGACCGAAAAATTTTTCTTAGTGCAATTTTTTGTTTTTTGAATAAAAAAAATGATTCTTCGCACTTTTCTGCATGCATGCGGATTTTCATGCCGCCAAATATGTTGATTATGAAAATTTACCACTCCACGTCTAGTGAAGCATGACTCATCGGTCCATAAAACGTTACTTAAAAACTCCCTATTATTATCAGTTCTATCAAGAATCCACTGACAAAATGTGATTCTTCGTTCTCCGTCCACTGGCTGTAGTCCTTGCACATGTTGCAAATGGTAAGGACGTCTATGGTCATTTCTAAGAACAGGGTGAACATGGCTTGCTGAAATTCACAAGGCACCAAAAACTCTCCTAACACTTGTGGTTGGATCTCTATCAAACTCACGCAGAATCATACGGGTAAATCTGCGCTGACGAACATTTATGTTTTGATCCCTTTGGAGATTTCCAAAACCATTTTCAATTATTTGGCGATGCACTCTTACAAATACTGAGCGAGTTGGATGTGGTCTGTTTGGAAATCTTCGTGCGTATTCTCTGGCTGCTTCTGCTGCGTTTCCATTTACAAAGCCATACACAAAATGAATATCCGCTAACTCTTGATTGGAGAATAAAAATGGCATTTTTATAAAACTTACAAAAAAAAACAGGTAAAAGAAACTAAATTTCGTGCATTCACAATTGCAAAAAACGTTTCAGGTTTCAACAGATAACAAAACTAACTGTCAACTAATTGACGTTTAACCTTATTCTGCTTTCAATTTCAAAAATATTTGCAAGCACAGCCTACTTCTAAAAATTATCGAGATACTGACATTTAACGTTATTTTATCATAAATAATTAAAAATGCATCGAACCTTAAAAATCGAAATATCTCAAAAACGGCTAACTATAACGAAAATTCACAAGAGAGCGTTTTTATGTTGAAAAGTGCGAAGAATCAGTTTTTTTATTCAAAAAGCAAAAAATTGCACTAAGAAAAATTTTCGTCATTTTAATACACTACAGGTACAGTAGAGAGCGCCCTCTAGCGGCTACAGTAAAACTATGCCCATGGTTCGTTTTGTCGTACCAAAAAACCCTGGTCTACCAATTTTCACTGTTATACATCAAATATTGTTCGAAATATTTAAAAAAACTATTTTAGAAAGTAAATTTAAACACCCTGTATTTCGGAAGCCACGCATTTTTCGACCCATGTTTATGTAGACTTTATGCATTAATTTTAAAAGTTCTATCGAATCTTAAAGTTATGCAACAATAAACTGAAACACGCTGTATATATATAATTTCTGAACAAAATATGTGCTTAAATGAAACACAACCCAGCAGTGTGTGCTATTCTGCCTTTACCATATGAGCACAAGGAGCACGTGCCCAGTGCTCAGGCTTTATGGGGGCCCGCAATTTCTAAAACATGTCTCAGTAACCTCCTTCCTTACCCTCTGCACTCTCTAAATCCGCCAAAGTTGTGTGAAAATTTTATCAAAATACGAGCGGTACTTTCTAAGTTATAGGCAGGCTAAGGAATAGCGGACAGGCAGACCGACGGAAAAATAGTACCACGGTTTTTTGTGATGTTGAATTCATTTAACATCTAAAAAATCAAATAAAACAACAAGAATATTGATGAGAGCTTAGAACTATGTTCTGTACATGCAAAAAACCTTGTCGTCCCTAATCCTTTGTATTTTTATTATAGGGAATCTTGGAGGCATTGTGTCCGTGTGAATGGAACAAGCCAAGGAAAAAGCTTTGTGTCGTCCTAGTAACCTCAGCATCTCGTAGCCATGACTCTCATAGACAATCATTTAGAATATATGCTCAGCGGTCGCCATACAGTGTTGAGAAAGTTAGATTCGCTTATATTTATCATGATAAACAGACCGACTTCGTGAATGCACTGACTCCAGGTAAGTCGGAAATAAGTTCGGATTTATTAGTTTCTTGAACGGCCATGCTTCTTTTAAGACCAATTATTAAAAGTCGTAGTAATTGTCATGCGATGATCGATGATATAATTTCTTCTACACACACTCAAAGACACAGACGCGGCGGCGAGTTGCTTGCATCGTTATTTTGTCATTGTGGTCCCTCCCTTTGTGACATCTGTTGCCGAAGTTTAAAATATATAATCCGAGTGTGAAAATATATAGGGTGTTTGAAAATTGTGAGAGATGGTTCATTTTGCGTTCGTGACCACCCTATCGAAAAAATTTAAACAATGAGTAGAATCGAAGAAAATTTGGTACCATAGTATTCTTCTGCCCTTTAACTCTAAGAATTGTGAAAGTGCGAGTTGTCAAAGTTGTGTATTTTTTCGTTAGATTGTTCGATATCTCAACAATTTAGAAATAAGATCCTGTAGTATGTTATATTAAATTGCTTCGTTTGAAAGAGCCTATCTAATTGTGAAATAATCTGTATGTCTTTCCATTAAAAAAATGTATGTTTTGGTCACCACGTAGTTATATGTATCGCCCTGTAGAAATAAAAATATTCATCAAGTAAGGAGCATACTGTTGGCTACAATTTGTGTATTCAACTTTTTTAGATACCGTGCGTAATAACGGAGTTATCGACCGAGCTCACACTAAGGCCCGATTTTACTATTGATGCGCGGGATCTAAAATCTTGATCCGGATCAAAGTAGATCAATGAGAAGCAGTCTTTCTAGTAATAGATCAAATGAATATAGTCGATTTCTTCTAAAATACCTGTTAAACTATCGAAAAATAACAAGGGCCTCTAATCCCCACATTAAATCATGAAATCCTTTATAAATCACCTGGTTTCGCTACAAAAACATATTTTTCCACTTGAACCAATTATCGGGATCAACAATGACCAATTATTACAAAGCGTTTTAGAAAAACTGCATCGAAAATTGGCTAATCGGAAACAAGTATCTTAAACCCACCTTGTAGATGATAGAACCAAATCAAAGACAAACATAAACACCCGTGAAAATTGGAAAAACGATATATTGCTTGTTAATTAGGTGTAGATTTCAACCAACTCCTTAATTATCTCAATTTTGCTATACCTAATCCGCATGTCGTAACTCAAGGAAAATAGAGATATTTCTGGGTTACAGTTATTTTAAACACCTTATCTGGTTTAGTCGAATATACATATGCTGTTGCATTTGCTTTATAAAATTTTAGAAAAAATGGTAGAAACCAGATACGAAATTCGTCTAGCTCAAAAAGAAATGTCCAAATAACATAAAGTCTGCAAAATATAAAATTGGAAACCCATCTTTCTTGTGGCTCTTTGTCGGCTAGAGATGGGGTGTGTATTCGAATTCAGATAATAACTATAGTTCGAATACGCATTTCAAGTGTTTACTGTTTTGTGATGCAATAACAATTATAATAAATTATAAATCAAATTCAAGCGAATAACCAAATGAAACTGGTACTTACCATTTTGAATTGGTATTTACCGATCCGTTCAAGCGAGTGAGGTTAACATTTTGGTTATAAGATCCGTGACGTCATCAATCAGCTGTTATATATCATAGTTATCACCGCAAAATTGTGGTATTTACCCAACTCAGGTGTAGTTTTATATTTCTGGTTATTATTTGAAATGTGGCAAGTTAGGATTTTGGCGGGTATTGGATATTTTTGTTGTACTTCAGCTTCATTTTTGGGAAACTTGATACAGGCTGACTTCAGTTGTAGCATAAAGTGGAGCACCTTCTTGGTTATACTCATTACTGTTGATGGGGACACTTTAAATTTAGTTCCTATGCTTCACTGTATAATGTCCACCTGTATACGGTTTTGCTAATCTCTTTTTTCAACGCTTTTTCCTATAATTTCTGGTAAATCAATAAATGTTTTATTTGACATGCGGAAAAGTTTAGAGAATTAAAAATTATTATGGCTACAAAGCCATGGTTCCACCATTAAAATTTTGGGCGTCATATCTTTTATTTTCACGACAAACTTGTTTAAAAATTAGAGATTTCCTCAAGTGATTTAACACCTGAACAATATCTTCTGAAAAAAAAAATACATTTCTCCAATTAATATTATGAAAGGTTTCTTTTATAAACTGTCCATACCACCGTTGTAGACGAAAAAGCACCGATTATTAAGTGATAAGAAAAATAGTAAGAAATTATAAATATATCGCCTTTTCTAAAATAAACAACTTGCAACAAAACCGCGATTAAAACCAACGCATTCAAGCGATTCGAGTAGCTGACGTCATCAACTCATGTGTCATCTCAAACTATATTATAACCGCGGTACATAACACAGAAATTTTGGTTATTCGCTTGGATTTGATTATAATGATACACAGTGCAGTTGTGCAATGCACATATTCGATAATGCCCAATCACTATCTTACTATGACAGCCCATGACGCGACGACCCCCATAACCTTACTTTTTATTGACAGTGTTTATGAAGTGTTCCTGTAATTGTTTTGTTTTTCGAATCTGATTTATATAACATTGACCACAAAATAAAAAAACATCTCACTGGCACATTCAAAATGAGTACCTAACGCTTTTTGTAACCATATTTGCTAAATAAGGCTCCAAGTATTTCCCTCCACCCACTGGTGGGGCTGGGGTTCTTTATTTGCTTAAAAAACTTGGGTAACCCGATTCCCCTTTTAGTTTTGTTTTGATTTCTGGAAGGACTATATAAGCTACTGATGTCAGAATTTATTCTCTGAAGACACCATAAGTGCTTAGGGAAAATTGCAGATAAAACCGACCCTTATCCTGTCATATAATAAAAAAAACCTTAAAACTACACACCCCCCAGGGTTGAGTTGTCATTTTTCGTAGATCGTGAGATCTACACACAACAACCACAGATTTCTTTCATGCTTGTAACAAATTAAGATAGCAAGTTTCGGTATAAATACTATGTATACACAGTGATTAACATATTCCTCATGGCGTTGACCCTAATTAACACTTGTGAATATTTGCGAACGCATCCTCCCAGCCCCATCTCTAGTATTATATGTATTAACACATAAATATTTATTTCAACACATAGTGGTTGATCCTAATGACATTTATTTTTCCATTCAATTAAGAGTCGAAATAGAGTATAATACGACGACCAATGTAACGTTTAATTTGTGTATCCACCGCGATTTCAGTCTCACGACTTTTCGTTGAACAATTTGATGTGGTAGCACTGGACAGTTCTGTGACTAGCCAGCTGAGCTGATGCAAGGCTGGTTTGAAATATAATAAAGATTTTCCTGTGTTCTTTGTTTTCTCCAAGAGACATACATACGTTATATGCATACTGAAATACTTTTATTAGAAATTTGATTGCAAATACTTTGCATAAATATCGCGCACGCAGCAGTGGTTAGTATATCTACAAATTACATTAGACGGCAATTTCATCGACAAATTGATGCATTTTGGAAAATATATCTTTTATTCTAAAATTATCTCTCAGGTAAGTAATACACTGTTCTTTTCAATAAAGTGTTCAGTAATTAATGGCATATCAACCTAGGCATTATATCAGATTTGATCCTCGACTCGGGCAGGGATTAAAGGGTCCTCTCTGATTGGTCAATTTTTAATCAGATTTTACTAAAACGCTTTCTAAATGGTCATTTTTCATGCGGATAAAAGGTTTTGATACAGATCAAGTGAAAACATATGTTTTTGTTGCTAAACCAGGTGATTCATAATTTCGGATGGGGATTGGAGACACTACCCTACACAAATCGTAATTTTTTTGCTAGTTTGAGAGATATTTTAGAAAGGATCGACTATATTCATTAGATCCATCATTAGAAATATACCTTCTCATTGGTCCATTTTGATCCGGATCAAGAATCTTGATACGTTCAATTCAGCATAGCACCGAGCTATAGGCAGTCAGGCTGGTGGAACATCCAGAGGGTTCACCCTCAGCATGAGTAATGGCATCTTGCCTTTGGATGCCTCAAAAGCCTTTGACAAGGTGTGGCAGGCGGGCCTCCTCTATGATCTAACCCAAAAGATTTTTCCTTTTTGTCAACAACACGGCCAGTACGGGCCGGTGTTCCTCAGGGCTCGGTCCTAGGTCCAATCCTTTAATCGCTTTTTATCCATGATGTCCCTTGCCCCAGCAACTGTGAAGTCTACCTCTACGCTGACGACACGGCACTTGTCATCCAGTCGTGTATTGGTGATCTAGTTCACTATGGGTTGCAGAATGTGGTGGATGAAGTACTAGAGTGAGCGGTTGGCTGATTAAAATGAATCATTCGAAAACGCAGGCTATTTATTATATCAAAAGACGTCGAGGCCCCCAGCCGAGGTTTCGGTAGACGGAAATCGTATACCATGGATAAATTCTGCCAAGTACCTCGGTGTTACCCTTGATAAAGCCATGACCTGGCAGAAACACAGTAGCGTTGAAAACAAAATTCCAAATTGCGTTTCGGCAACTATATCCTTTGTTATGTAGATTCTCCAAATTGTGTTTGATAAACAAAGTTCGACTAAATAAAATGATTATTAGATCAGCCATTACTTATGCATGAGCGCGTTGGTGTTTTCTTGCCAAGACACACATGCAAAGTCTTCAAGTACTGCAAAGCAGAACTTTGCGAACAATTTGCAAGGCTACATGGTATGTCTCAAATGAGACACTACACAGAGACCTAAACATTCCTTTCTTGAGAGATTATGTCAAGCTTCAGGCGCAGCGAAGTTATAGTCAAGCGGAAACGCACAGCAACCCTCTGTTGCGCGACTCAGTGAACTACACCGTGGAGCAAGTTCGTAAACATTCAAGGCAAATTTATAGTGAACTCAAAATTACACTCTAAGAAAACCTGAATGAAAATTACTTTAGTTCACCTCAAAATTAATCCGTGTACCATATCAAAAAGCCTAGGTGCTTCCTCTTAAACTAAACATTTCTGTTTGATTCTTTTTACATTGTAGGAAATTTCAGGCTGAAAAAAACATGATATAAATAAAAATATGCACAATTTGATGCAAATAGATATTTGTGACATAACCTCAAAATAGAGCGCTGACACGGAAAAGTAGAAAACTATGACAATCGGCCATAAAGGCGTCCTACAATTGTAGGAACGACTGACGATACGGGCCTTAGACCGTGACTAATGGGAAAAGGTCCTACGGACCGCCCAGACAAACAAATGACGAATAATAGAATCCTGATCTCGTGTTAGTAAAATCGGGGCTTAGTTTCCGTGCTATTTGTGTGTGTCCATACACACATATATGAGTCGCCTAACTCCAAAAACTGCTAAATGCACTTTAGGACATTTTTCAGGAAACGCAAAAGTTTGTTATTGACCACAATAAAACACAAAGTAGGGTTCTTATATGTAGACATTGGTAGGTGTTAACACAATGTTTGAGATTTTGATTCCAATGCTTTTTGGTAAAACCAAGAAATTGTCTTGGATTTAGCTTTGAAAATCATTTCGGCCTTATGCTGCAATATTTACATATGATTGCAAGGCTAACATGCTGGCGACATCAAAAACAGAAGAAATGGTGCGATTTTTTTATTTATCACAATTCTCAATAAAAACAAAGCCGCGATATCAGCTTCCACTTCTTTTTTTCCACCATCGCTATCATCGTCGCCTGCTACGTTTCCGAATCTTGTGAAAATATCTTAGTAATACAAAAGATTCTCCATTTATGATTTTTTTTGCCTGACGGCTCCAAAATATTTGCAAGGTAATTGGAATACCAATACTTTTGACAATTTTGCACAGGTAGCACTTGGCGGATTTTTTTGAAAGAGTTGCAATTCTGAAGGAATTCTGTCCTTGTTCTGGAGATCTGGCTTATCTGACAACGCTGTAGTGGATCCGGCTCTGACAGAAGCCTGGCCATCAGTTTTACCAACACGCTTTCTAATTGGTCATTGTTGATCCGGATTGTAGTTTTTTGTTTCCGAATCAAGGAAAAATATGTTTTTGTAGCTAAACCAGGTGATTTTTAAAGAATTTCTTGATTTAATATGGGGATTACGCAAATCGTATATTTTTTCGCTAGTTTAACAGATATTTTAGAAGAGATTGGTTCATTTTGATCCCCTTTTAGTAAAATCGAGCCTAAATGTTTCCAATATTCTTGTTTTTGGAAATTTTGATCTACAATTTACTGTTTTTTTTTCTAGAAGGACATGCCGTAGAACCAATGTTAGGAATCGTTATCATATGGAGAAAAGATACGTCGCACATCAAGTACGAGTGGGTATCGTCGAAATGGGAAGTAGAAAAGAACCTCAATGATACTACCTCACAGTTAGAACGTACTATTAGTCGTTTGTTGAAGTCTACCGAAACTTTTTCTTATGAAGCATTTGTTAAGGTAATATGCGTGACATATATGCTCGCCTACCAGATGTAGTCACCGGACTATCGATTCTCATATTTAACGCAGTCCATCGCCATACTTCGAGAATTTAGGAACGATTTGACATGAAACTGTCTGTACACTTTGAATAGTTGACAGTTAGTATTAGTAGAGACATTATTGATGCTTCACCTTTGTGGTTACTTGAACCAGAAGAAATGGTGAATTTTGACCACCTGGAATATTAAATTTCTCTGAAGAAACTCGCTTAACTTGCTAGGTCATGAGCCATATTACTAATAAAATATTGAACACTGGTCAAAATGAATAATATCTTTCCTTCCCGTCTCTGCGACCATAACCTGTAATATAAAGCGTTGTTTCATGTTTGTTAGCAATAATGATCTATTTTGCATCTTACCAATGATCAGTACCATACAGGTCTACTGTTGGAGTCAGGCAACGAAAAGCAAACGGAGTTGGTTTACTGAAAAAGTCGGTTAGTAGTGCGCAAAGAGGTGACAAGTGCGAATAGTTCGCCGAAGCTTGTTACCGAAAATGCAGAAAGGTCCCTACGCCTCTGGCCAACACTGAATGACAATTGCGCTCACCCTCATTAAAAGGACAATTCGCCAAGCGGCCGGAATAATAAGTACTCTTAAGGCTATCGGCAGTGGCGTACTATGCAAAAATTTCATAAATACAGGCTGAACTGAAACTAATTGCCTTCCATCTCTCTGGCCATGACCAACTGTACACAACGTTGTTTGAAGCTTGTTGGTAACTATCTTGGAGAAAGAGAATGGCAAGCAAACAAGCAGTGTGCAAAGGGATGACAACTGGCACCTACAAATGGTTCACAAAAACTGTGTTCATTCATGCAACTTTTGCATAATATGCTACTTACTACTGATAGCTTTGAGAGTACGTAATGTTGTGGTGGCGGGATACCTCTAGGGGGCGTGTACGTCTCACGATTCTGATCTAACAAGGTAATTTATACACCTAGATAGCAACATAGACCTTTTTGTTTTAAAATAGCAGACTTTTACGTATAGGGGGAGATTGTGGGGGTGTGTGTTGGCTCTAAATCCGTCCTAGTCTCCTTTTATTATCAGTGAGCGACATCCATCCCCTCATAGAATGCATATGCATATCTATCCAGCTTAGGTGAACTATGGGTAGGTATCAGTTGTCACGTCTCTGCATACCACACTAGTTTCAGAATTGTAAATTATATATAGTTATATGAAAGTCCTATATGAGACAATTGGATTAGTTTTCTCATCAAAATATGAAGGCCATGTCAATGAATTATACTGTAATTTAAATAAGGATTCGCATTATTGTTACATGAAAACTACTACTTACAACTTATAGGTGAACATTTTTCAGGACTTATTTGATGAACATGCCAAAGGAATTTTAGGACAAGTGATATCACGCTCAATACAATTTATGGAACAAATTTATGAGGGTTTAGGTAAAGAACAAATACTACCAGCGCTCTCTATACTGGGAACAGTCCTATTCATTTTAGGAATAGGATATTTCATGGCGTATTTAGTGTAAGTAGTGTAATAAAAAATCAAATTTAGTTTAGGTCACCCTCAAATGGTAGTTTTCTGATTCGATGTCCAAATGCGGAATGCGCATTCGAAATTCCATGAACGTGCGTACATCTCTGTGATGAAAGTGTTCCAGTGCAACTATTAGAATTCTCTCACAAGTGACCATCAAAGAGTGCTGGGATGTTGGACATACGATAAATCATCGCAATATTTTGGATTGTATGGGCTGGCTTTCCGAACTAACGTCAGCGCGCAAGCGAATATTTCATTTCGGAATCTGTGTTTGAATAAACTTACTGCTTGTAAAGTTGACGTCCAGTAGAATACTCTTACTTTGTAGATCTCTTCCACCATACTATCGATGGCTGTATTATTAGCATAAAACTTCACAATACAAATACAAAAAGATGCTGTGACGCGTGTCGGTTAATTGTAACAATCGCCGAACAGATGGACTAAAGCATTTGACCTGCTTTCCATATGTGGCTTCACAGAATTTTGAGTAGGCATTACGAATTTGGAAATCCAATTAGGAAACCATTTGGCTTAGGCTTGCTACGCAAATACGAATAGATAAATATACGTAGTCGTGCCATAAGTTCTGTCCCATGATAATCTCATGATAAAAATGAAACAAGATAAGATATATTTATATGAAAGATATTATTTATTCGACAACATTTTTAGAATTCATAATCAAACAGTTTTATTCAAAATGTCCCCCCTTGGCCTTCACACACTGCTTCAATCTCGCGGGCCACTCATCTATCACTGCACGCACAGCTTCCAAAGGAATAGCTGCCGCTGATCGGATCAAATCCGCTTTCAGGGACTCGATATTACGGTGGGCTTTGGAGCAGGCCAACTGCTCTAGCAGGTCCCACAACTTGTAGTCTAAAGGATTGAGGTCCGGACTCCCTGAGGGCCAATCTTCCGCAGCAATGAACTCTGGCACATTGCTTTCCAGCCAGCGCTGCGTACTCTTAGCCTTGTGAGCGGGGGCGGAATCCTGCTGGTAGACCCAGTGTTGGTTGGCAAACAATGTACCACTTAAAGGCTTGACGATAGGATCCAGTATGTCGCTCTGATAGTTTGCCGCTTTTGTTTTCACGCCCTGTTTACAGAAATGGAGCTGAGTGACCCCTTCGTAGGACACCCCCCACCAAACCATGACTGACGCAGGGTGGTGGCCTCTCTCAACTCTCGGAATGATCTCCGAAGCTTCCTGTGAACTCCTTGCATACACTTTGTCATTTTGTCGGTTGAATTTTTCTTCTATGGTGAAGATTTTCTCATCCGTGAACAAAATCTTTCGGAATCCCCCAGCTGCGTACCTCTCCAAGAGCTTCTTGGATCTTGTCGCCCTGATGTGTCGCAAGGTGGCCGTAAGTCGCTGGCCCGTACGTCTCCGGTAAGCCCCTAGCCCTAGGTCTTGTTTAATGATGCGCGACATCGTCCGGACAGGAATCTTCATTTCCCTGGATAGGATCTTCTGCTTCCGGAGTGGATTCCTTTGAATCCTGGCTTTTACGGCTTTGATGGCTGCTGGAGTCCTTACTTGACGAGGTCTTCCGCTTCTTGGCCTGTCATCAACAGAGGACGTCTCATTGCACCGCTGAATGGTCCTAGACACAAATTTACGCGATATTTGAAGGCCGCGTAAGAGTTCAAAAATCTGACTAGCACTGTGATTACACTTATGTAAAGCTATCACTGCAATACGGTTCTCTGCCTTGCCCCACTCCATCGTTATGCTTCGAGAGATCAATACAAACTGAGGTATATGTAATTACCCGAAAAGCGCTTAATCAACTGACACCACAATGTAAACAATCGGACAAGTATTAACAGGTCTACACTTGTTTGAAAACGAGGGACAGAACTTATGGCATGACTACGTACTTTATTGTCTGAAGAATACAGACATTCTTAATGGCAAAGCAAACAAAAAACTAAACTATAACAAAGATACATATGTGGATCTTAAGTAAAAGAATTGTAGAACTCTCGTATTGTGTAATATGATTTACGTATTAGAAAGTTAATTATTAACTCTATTAATCATAAAAATACCTACTTTATTCCCTTCACCTCTTACATGAATAAATTTCCGCTATATAATCGGCTAAATATAAAGAAAACAAATCTCCAAAATGAATATATATCATGTAAACTAAATCATAAATATCTCGGAATTGTTTTACACTGCCATCTTCGTTGGGATGAGCATATCCAATACTTTAGAAACTTAGATTTTTATTATATAAATTCATATATTACAGACAAATTTTCAATGAAACTCAATTAAAAATTGTATATCAAGCATTAGTTGAATGCCACATATCCTATGGAATTATTTGAGGATCCACAAATAATAATCTTTACAAGTAATACAAAAACAATTCATAACAAACCTTTACCATATCCATCTAAATCGCTATTTATAGAATCAAAACTTTTAGATATAAAAAAATTATTTTGGTATAATGTTATACTAGAATTCCATAAAAATAAACATTCGACCATTTATAAAAATTATGAATATGATAAACTGCTGTCTTGATTCGGTTCTAAAGGCCGTCGTTGGTTGGAATTTCTTCCTAACGTTTCGCTAGCCCGAGTGGCAAGCTTCTTCAGAGGTCCTTCCATTTCCGATGCTGGATGTAGTCTACATCGAGCATCGACCTTTAGACCCGAATCAAGACAGCAGTTTATCAACTGGCCGCGAAAGCCTTAACCATTTATGAATATGATGCTAGAAATAAAAATAAACAAATAATTATTGCAACACCAAAAAAAGAAGTAATGTTAAAATCTTCTAGGCCTAAAATTATATTATAACTTACCAAAATATATCAGAAAGAATCGAATATCATTACTAAAAATAGATTCATACGAGTGGCTTTCGAAAACTGATACAAACATGATGTAATTTATAAAAAACTAACATATCTTTTTTCATTGCTAGACTATGATCCAAAATTAATGTACATATTACAATTGTATTATATAGATTTTGTTAGTCCTATCAGTTTATAGCTGCTATTTTATATGTATGTTGTGTTAGCATAATATCCACATACAAGGATATTTTCCTTTTGTGGCATATCAATAATTTGTTCACAATTAGTAATTGATGTGAATAAATTATTATTATCACAAGTGTTGAGTTAGGTACCACTAATGTTAGGTCTTGTCCCCGTCTAACATTGTAACTTATAACTGTTTCAAATGTATGTTAAAAAAAGTAAAATGAGCAAAAATACGGCAGTCATTTTGAGATTTAGAAGACCTGCTAGAATTTATGATCAATATTCAGTCCTAAAAATTTCATGGTGTCCATTTTGGGTATCCATTCACTATTTAAATTTATAAAATTAATGGAGCATTTACATGTCATAAAATTTATCTTATTAGTATTGAAAGTTAAGTAATAATAATGATACCATTTTTTGATTGATTGTGACACAAATTATTGGTGATGAATTCATAAGGTAGGATAAACTAATAAATGGATGTTTTAGTCGAATTGAAGAAGAAAGCATCCAAAAGCAAAAGGCCAGGGCGAAATCGGGCAATAACAACAATGAGCCGTCGAATTCAAATTATCAGCCTGAGTTGAAATTACATGAGCTGCGTTCCGAGACGTATAACGCTTTAGTAAGGTTATTGAAACCAGGATGTCGCACCATTGTGCTTGTATTAGATATGCAATCGAGGCAGCAGCTTATGCCGCCATTCCATAAAGCAGTTTGGCCCTATAGAAAGTGAGTTTACTGTTTATTCTACAGACAAAGTTTGTAGTTACTTGTGTGATAACTGTAGGTCCATTGACAACTTTGTTTCACGTACAGGGATTTGCAAAAATAGAAGGGTGGGCAAAATATATGGTTTCTGTTACTCAAACTATTAGTGATATATCATTGTATATTTGTTTCGATTATTTTCGATTCCTTAAAGTGGTCTGGTTAGTGAAATGCCTATTATTTTTAGAAACAAATTGGTTGGAAAGTACTTTCCATAATTATTCTGAGACGGCTTTCTAAAAGTTAATTCATTTCCTAACTCGATAATTTATAGCTGAATATTCTAAAGGCGAAAAACACTACATTTTTCCAACGAGGATCCGGTTTTATAATTTGATTATTTCCATTACTGTAGTATATGGTTTTTTAATAGTCGAACAAATTGGTTTTTTCTATTGCATTTTTCAATTTACTATTTTTTTTGTTTGTTATAAAACTGCCAAGCAATCCTTATGACATTGTTTCGATATTACCAATAATAAATTGACTCTTTTCAGGAATAAAACGTTGATGTTTTCGTACATGTACATTGAAAGGGGTCTTAAATGGTATAAAGAATTGCTACAGCTATCGTTGCCGGAAGAAAGAGAACTTAACATCAATCCTAGGAATTGTGTAGGTACTGTACTATCACTGAATGGACATAGGAAATACTTTTGCGTATTTCATGCCAAACATATGGAAAAGAAGAAAAGACGACATGTAAGTATTTTATTACTGCTTCTATGTTTTCACTTCTATGAATAAACATAATTCACAGGTTCACAAAATAAAAAAAACTAGTGTGTGCTGGGTGTCTTACTATATTGCTCCCATGTATTTTTTTTCCATTGACCACGAATCTGAAGTCAAAATTGGAGGTCGCCCAGTAAATAAGAAAGTCACTTCGACATAATGTTTATAAATCATGTAGTTTTATTTGAATGCCCATTCATCAGAATATCAAAATTTATTAATTTTATGTAGAACCTACTTTTTTTTCAGATTCATGTAGAGTTTTAATTTATTTTAGAATCATCTTTGATTTCCACCGATGGTGATAAAATTAACACATCCTGAGTTATTGTTACATTTTGCGACAGCGCTGCGGTCGGAGAATGTAACAAATACCATTACGCAATACACAAAATTATCACTGCCAAAATCGCTCAGTTATGATCATGGAAGTGGACACCTTGCCTTGGAAGGTACAAGATTCGGTGTTGTCGAACGAACCAATGATGGAGTGTTGTAGGATTCGACACTACACAATTCAAAAATGTGTACGCTCAAAATGAAACCATTATTGGGGCGTAGAGAATAAAGTGACGCATATTTTCAACATGCATCTTAATTCAAGAAATTGGTGTAACATTGGCAACGCGGCAGACTGCCACGTCAGCGTTACTAGGCAACGTGGTGATGAGCTTCGCTATCCAGCCGGCTTCTATCACACATATCTGTCTACACATACTTCTCTCTCTCTCTCTCTCTCTCTCAAGCCGTCAGACAAACGTGGTTTTCAGTGCATGTGTTGACAAATATGTTTGCTAAGTTTTAAAGAGATCAATAATTTTATTCCTGAGATAATCTCTTTAACATTTGTATGGGCTCTTATGAGTAACTTGATATATTCTCGTGTTATTCCAATTTGCACCAGAAACGAATTTATATACTTTGTTAAAAACTGACCATATGGAACTTCAAAGGTGTTGAAATGTTACCCCAAAGCTTGAATAAAATCCAGCGTCTCGCTTAAAATATTTAAACATACTGCTTTCGTCCGTCCTACCAAAGACAGCCAACCATAGACAGCTGTTTCGTGCTTTTTGGCTACTCATCAGCTTCGTCTCTGGACTACGAACGAAAGCATAACAATGGATGATTCTGGTAATAGATGGCGCTATGCACTGTCTTATTTCGATAGCTTTAAATAATTATTTAGAAAATTGATGAATATGTGTTAATGTTTTCACAATGCTACTACAGAGTACTGGAAGTATTTATTCAGTTTTTAAAGTATTTAGCTAGGAAACAAAAATTCAGTTTCTGTTGTCTGCGAGGATTCAGTATGAAAATTGAGCATTGTTCACTTACCCAAGTCCTCTGATGCTAGGTGTGTTGTATGTTGTGCTACGGCTTGCTACTGGGATAAGTTTTATCTTAGACTGTTGCACTAGTACCTCTTTAAATTAGCATAATGTGTTAAATTCCGGTTCAAAACTAGTTTTTTGCCACTATCATTTCTGCCATCAACTGTATAAGTACTTTTTTACTACACCTCGCATAACTAACCAAACAAAATTTTGTTCAAATTAAATTTTAAATAACTTTTTAACCTTTGCATCAATTTCTTTAATTTTTTCGTCAAGTTATAGGTAATTTCATTGTCATCATTATCGACTGTCGATCTTGCAAAAAAATTGAAAATGTTTGTTATACTAAATTTCTGAACACCCTGTGGAAACATTGAATTACTGAATAATGTGTCTTCGTATAAGAATGTTAGGCCTCAACTTTTATTAACAGTTCTTTTTTTGATTCATGTCAATATCTCAATTATTGAAGAATATATGCTGTTTTGAAGAAAATCATGCGAATCATAGACATAAACAATTTAATTAAAAAAAATACAGTGACAACATTGGTAAAACAACTATGCGAATCATAACCATGAACAATTTATCTTAAAAAATTACAGTGACATCATTAGTAATTAGAAATTGTAAAAGTTAATTCCGATCCTTGGATGTTGTGTTGTGTGTTGTCTATATCATGTATCAGATCGCCCCAAGATTAACATGATACATCACATGGCTGCAGGTGGTTTATTCCATAATCAGATACTAGTAGATGGCTCGTGGGGTAGTACGATGTTGATACTGCGGGGTCGGCAAAAACGGTCACAGGTGACCTAGTTGCCAAGCTTCGCTTCCCTGCTACTTTAAAAAGTTATTATTTGTTCTGCTATTCTCTCACAGATGCGCTAGAATTTTTAATCCCATTTTGGTGCCTCAGTAATGCCTAATTTAATTGTATATCTTCAGGCATCGATTAACGCATTCGATCTGAAAACACCCAATTAAAATAGGTATTTGAGAGGTGCCAAAATGGATTGGCAATCGTAACATCAGAAACTCTCTTTTCGAAGTAGATTTCTAAATTCATTTTTGTGTCTGCTACCATCTCATAGATGTAGTATATGGTTGGTTGTCTTCAGGTAGAATACATTAATCACTTATTACCTTTGACCTCCAAAACTGCTCCGTAGCAACATAACCGACTCGGTAATGTAAAAACAATACAATTTATTATTGCAATCATGTATTTTTTTCGTCGTCAAAATTATATCTTAAAAGCGGCTATCAGCTGATATACCCACCAGGTTAAAAAATGCGATTTATCACGCAATGTCCGTCCCACACTACAAATTAAAACAATTTCTCCCTTATCCTTATTACTTACTTGTGAAATCGTACCTGATAAATAGGTACTTCTACGTGAAGCGTGTCACTGAGTCTATATCCATTAAGCCTATCAGTTCAGGAGTCTCACAAGGAAGTGTTTCAGGACCCACCCTCTACCTTCTGTATAATACAAATCTACCAACTGCAAATAATGTATGCAGAGCAACATTTGCAGATGATACATCGATTTTGCATTCCATGAGAATCCATATACCTGTATAGCTTCGCAAAATCTCCAGGGAAACTTGCTCCAAATGTGGTCTGGCAAAAGAAATGGCGCATAAAGTTTAATGAAACCAAGTCCACACACGCCTTATGCAGAAGAACCTGTCCACCAATAAGTTACATATTCCACAATCAAATCGTGCGAAGTATTTCAGACAGGTGGCTTACATGGCAAATGCATATTTTATCAAAAACAAAACAAAAGGGCAGCAAACTCACGAGTGATGTATTGGATTATTTTGTACGGAATCTAAACTGTCATTGGGCAAAAAGCTATTACTCTACAATGCTCTGTTAAAACTAGTTTGGACGTATGACATCCAGTTATGGGGTATAGAGTGAAACAGCAATATGGCCTTCCTTCATCGGTTCCAAAACAAAGTGCAGATAAAGATCGTCGACACACTACATTCCCAATGAAGTGATTCATTGTGACATACTTCTCCCTACCATCAACGAAATGATCCACGAGTTCAGAATTAGGTAGGGTGAAAGGGTCGACACACCTTAATGCCATTTACCATCTAACTTGGTGATAAGACCACGACAATATTAAGTAATAACACAAACACTCAATTTAGTATTACATAGGATCACTCACTGTATGTGATACACGCATGTCCTTTATATTAATATGAAATATGTGCTTATTGCCCACATGGGAAGATTGCTGCTTTCTCTCTGGGGTTATATTAAAAAACATTATTTCAGAACTATGTATGTATGTATGGAGAAACAAATTTCTCATATTCTGAAGACATATTAACTTAGCATTGAATTGTTTTGGTTGGTGCTTGCCAACCTCAAACTGAGATCAATGATACTTTTTTCTTGAGGTTTTTTAGGTTTTATTACATGATAAACAATTTCAGGAAACACCAAATAAAGCAAGCACCGAGAGATTAGACTGCGAAAGTGGTGCCTTCATTGGCTTCCAGACTGACAGTTCCGAATCAGAAGAGGAGGTGCTCCTCCAAGGTACCCTCCTGGACGGTTTTTCCAATTGGTTGGACAGACTGTTCGAAGGCTCCACGCAACGGTTCCACATCAACTATTGGCCAGAGTTTCCTATCAAGTAACGTTACTTGAACGTTAGAAATTTTGGTTTTTTGTTGTGCAGTGCCATAGAGCCATGGTTGGAGACAGAGCTGCTGTCTCATTTTTTAGCATTTGCGGTTTTTAGGTGAGGAAATGAAAGCTGGAGAGGCGAGAAGATCTTTTTGCCAGTTAAAATGGCATCTTTAATCAATATATTATACTCACACTAATATTTTACGGAGCAATCCTGACGTATCGTTATCAACGCTGTTTTTTTTGGTAGTTTGTAACAGAATGTGTTTCTTTTGATTTCAGGACTGTTGTGATGCTTTTTATTTTTTCTAAAAATAACTATGAGCTCGATTGTGAAGATTATGTAAGCTAGTGGTTAATTATCATTTTGTATTTTTGCGAGGTGAATAAAATTCACTACTTGCAGTTGAAAGTATTTGTACACATATAGAACCTTGATGTTTGGTATTATTTTTTTTTTTTTCACTACTAATCGGAGAAATCAACATGATTGACCACACGCCTAACTGAAAAGTAGCATTTCTGTCCCTAGGTAAATAATAATGTCATTTGAAATATTGTCAATTTCATTGTGTCAGTTTGAACGTTACATTTCAAAATATTTTAGAACGATTGAGAAATAAGTAATTTTGAGCATAAATACTCAATGTAGTTCTCCTTTTTGAATGCCCCAATATCGAGATCGAGATAGTGTCGGAAAAGGATTTTAGTGTTAAAAAACTAAAACATTTGTACCTTAGGCCCCTTGGATCGTGATTGTCTCACTCACAAAAAGCCTAACTCCCCTAGGATGGTTCAGTCCAGATCGTATCCGCTGTCTATTTCATTCATTAATTTCTGTTTGACACCATGTAACTACATAGATAAAGTATTTGTAAAACGAATTGAAAACGTCATTTCCGTGATGTAAAGTCGAATGTTTTGTGATATACAGGGTGTTCTGAAAGCTGGGATTTTCCTTTTCAGAAACAACTACGTTTATAACACCGCTAATGTGTGGTGAAACAACAGCGAAAATTTGAAAAAAAAATAAATGAATTTTACGGAGCATATCCTATCGGTAATCTTAAGACTGGTGTATATGTTACCGACTGCTCATTTCTCCAAGATCTACATATATACCATGTAAAGGAAAGTCTCAACTTTGATGACACCCAGAATAGTGTCAGTAGTGAAAAAAAAATCTATACATAGTTTGTTGGAGGACATTATTGGACTAGCACATCACATCCCTCCTCCCTCCCAGTAATAGCCCACTTCTCAAACTAGGTATGTAATGTACTATTTTTCACTACTAACCTGAGAAATTGATCACCATTATTCACTGCAATGCACCACAGAGAAATGTTTCTTTGCGGAATAATTTGCCAGATCAAATCCTGCATCATGAGTTAGAAAAGATGATTATTCACTTTTATTAAAGTCATCAGATACTAGCTACTTAGGAAGGGTTCTGTGTGAAGTGTCTTATATATTATAAACAAATTTAGGAAATCTTTTAATGTTGTGTCCTTTTGATTTTGAGACCTGACCATAATAGATTACAGAAAGCTTGCATTCTTCTATTTTCTCCTGTATACAAACAAAGAAACTGAAAACTAACCATATCTTCATTTAGCTTATTTCAGTCAGAGTTATTAGCTACTGAACTATTAATTCTGCATATGAGAATGAGTAAGTATAGATGTGTACAAATACTTTTACGATTATCTACAGCATTTTATATGGATTCTCAAAAGAGTTTTTCAATAAGGTTAGCCTTGATAGATCTAGTAGATATAATTCAAATTCTTATTGAACAATGTATATAGGCAATTCTAGAAAATTTCCAGCTATCAATTGCATCAAAATAGTATGATTTAGTATTTTTGTTTCTAGTCAAAAAATACAGTAAGTTTAATATTTATACTTAGGTAGTGCTAAGGGTTTATAAAAATTTTAATAGGTAATCCGCTATGACAAATTTTTAATATGGATTGTTAGGTAGACCAATTTTTCCAAATTTATAACGAATATCATTGGTTCAGAAATGTTTAAATGGAACTGGACATATTTGTTTAATATTAATTTGCTGTTAATTATAACACATATTTTTAATCGCCTGAAATGGTTTTATTATGTACAGAATTTTGTTGTTACATTTGTAAATATTATTTTTAGTCGTTTTATAAGTTAACTTTGTACAATCTTAGCACTTTACACTGTTTTTATCTATATATTTGTTAATCAGCGATGAATATGTTAGACCTTACTTTGGCTATTTATATGTAAGATTTGTTCTAAGGATATATAATAAATTATTTTCCCTTTCAACAGAAATATATTTTATATTTTACTCCTAGCATTAAATCCACACAAATTACGCTTACACAATGTCTTGCTCATTTGTAGACCCATAGCATTTCAGAGCTGTCATAAAGGGGAGGGGTAAGTATGCATTTAAGCAGCGTTTCTAATCGCAAATGCTCTTGTGACAATTGGAGAGCAGGGGTGGGATACGTCAGGGAGGGGCGCACTTCTTATGATTCAGGTCTAGCACAGTGATTTCTACATATGATAGCAATATATACCATTTTTCCAATCTTGGGATCCAGAACAAGATTGCAATATTTTACAATTGAAAACAAACCTTGGAAGCATCTCTTCAATTCAAATATGGCTTTCAAGTGACTATCAATATGCAAGTTGTGTTCCTCTTCCAAGGTTAACAATTATCTAGATTAAAGTTATTACCAGACTCTTCATCTTTACTTGATTTTTTGAATCCTTATACACTTTGTAGATTTTACCATAAACAATGTGATCTTTTAAGTACATATTACAAATAATTAACACTTTTGTAATGAATGTAAAAAGTATGTTAATGAATTTCTGTATCATGACAGTATTTTATTTAGCCAATACATGAAACCACATGGATGGCAGATAAAACAACCATTCTTCATCAACAGTCCCATATCATGACCAAATATAAATATGGAAGGAAAGTATTGCATTTTGTTTAATCTACATCAGTGGGAGAGATTCAGTTACCTCTGATTGTTGAGATGCCATTCCTCTCCATTTCAGCAACAGAAGACTCAGCTATGAGTACTACAACCAAGCCTGATTCCAATTTGTGAAACTAGTTTTGTAGCACTCTTGCAGAAAATCTAACATTATCATGGTTTCATCAGAAAATAATCAATTTCAAAAAGTATGATAAGCAATCTGTGTGTTTCACAGTGACATTTTCTCCATGAGCGCTTTGTTACTAGCAAGCTCCTGCTGAAATGCAGAATGATACCTTCTTATGGTGGTCCTCGAAACTTTAAACGTGTAAGCCCACTGAGGGAAAAAGATACAAAATTTGTCATTCAACGTGTGAAACAAGACATATGGCTTATTCATGATGTTTTGCTTCTCTGCCCTTACGATTAATGGTCATGCACATAGCCTTGTGCTTCATACCACTGTCTCCAGATAAATAAATTTGCTTTCCCAAGAACAATTTCAAAAAATGGACGAAGTAAGTGAGGGTCAAGGAAAGAAAACTGTTTTTTTTTCTTGAACTAAGATGCAAAAACATTTTTTGATGGGCTTCGAATCCTGTTTACAAGATAAGAGGCAATTGGCATTTTAGAGCAAAAGAGGGTGTGAGATATATTCATATATATATATTTAATGATTTTATTTAGTGACACCATTCTGAAATTGAAAAACGAATTGCAATGAAAATGATTAAATGTATAAATATTTAGACTCAAGCTCCACAACACACAATGACAAATTGTATTTACCTGCAACCTCATTAGACAATATGAAACATGTTACATATTTGGCTAATAAAATCATCCATTTAGAGCAGAGCTATACCAAGTCTAAAACAGCAATTGCACCCTTCCACAGTTCTGTACAACAGCGATAGAAGAGTATGACAAACTAAATTTTTAATCAGTCATTTGACCTTCAATTCGCCATATAGAATATAAACACTAAATTTGTGACATGGAATAGTTGTGCTCTAAGGTGATGAGGTGTATTAAAACACCTTAAACTGCTTTAATGCTTAGTCTGTGAAAATTATATGTAAATCAAAAATGAAAACATGGTGTAACAATTATTTAATGGTAATATTTACACTCTACTAGTAAATTTACTTTATAAATAAATCCACAATCACCTTACAATGAGGCAGTATCCTATTTGATGGCTTAATGATGGCTACGTTCACTCCTTTTCTGCACATTTATTGCAGGCATGTAATGAAGCATTTAGGTCTTTCTCACAGTTTGAGTATGCCATACCAATACCGAAGCCGCCACCCATTAGTATTGGCCACCGTTTTCTTTTGAAAAACAGTAGAGAAAATACTCCTCCTAACACTAGACCTCCACCTAAAAAATCGAGGTTAAAACGATGACATAACCGATCAATATGGGAGTTAGGACTGGCAGGTCAATAAGGCTCAAAAAACGTGTCCTACAATAAAATCTTTACCACTTACCGAACTTCAGAATTGAATCTGATATGCATTTATCCCATTTTCTTCCCAGCTCTTCTTCAATATACACTGGTGACGCCATTTCGAAGATTTAAAAAGTCCTTCAAAGTGTACGATGTCACAGGTAAATATAATAACTTGCTAAAAATAAAATTTCGAACCTTCTTTCGAGGGACAGTAAAATTCCGACAATACGCCTCAAAAAAGGGTCATGATTTTTCTTAAAAAATCATATCTTGATATTTGATTTCAACTTGACTTGTCAACGAAAATGACATTTTCGTAGGGGTTCGTTCCGTATGCTATTTGGTACCACGTGCTTTAAGGTGCGTTCTATTTGCATTTCTGAAATTTGAGACTAGTCATAGGTCATAGCACAGGTCATAGTGATGGTTTTACTCCTGTATATTTTGTGGGTTTTACCAACAGCATATACACTGAGTTTTACCATCACATTTGCATAAAAAAATAAGTGCATTATAACAGTTCGCTTACCTAAGCATTAAGATAAACCAAAATGAACCAAGTATAAATGAAAAAAAATTGAAATACAAACTAGTCTATATATAGTTATTTATTAGACAAGCGAAAAAGTACTAGATTTTAGCTTGAGGTTGTATTTTTCTCGTGTATAATATTCAATTTTCTTCTGTAACGGGAAAAATGACGATTTAATATTGAAAAATTATATTATTACAATATTTAACACCCTGACTGCCATGTCAGTCTTTTTCGACTGACAACAAAAACCCAACTTACGCCGTGGTCATTTGCTAACAAGGTGTCGCTGTATCACATCTTTATAATCTGTGCCCATGAAGTATGCACTATGCAACTTGCTTTGCATCCGTGTCACCTCGGGTACAGGAGCACCACCAGTGAAAAATCAAATTCAAGCGGATAACCAAATGGAAATGGTATTTACCATTTTGGGTTGGTATTTACCAATCCGTTCAAGCGAGTGTAGTTATCAGTTTGGTTATAAGATCCGTGACGTCACGAATCAGCTGTTATATGTCATAGTTATCACCGCAAAATTGTAGTATTTACCCAACTCAAGAGTAGTTTTATATTTCTGGTTATTATTTGAAATGTGACAAGTTAGAATTTTGCCGGGTATTGGATATTGTTATTGTACTTCAGCTTCATTTTTGAGAAAAATGATACAGGCTGACTTCAGTTTTACCATAAAGTGGAGCACCTTATTAGTTATACTCATTACGGTTGTTGGGGACACTTTAAATGTAGTTCCTATGCTTAACAAAGTATCATTTGTAGCCATATAGCACAAGGATATTAAAATATGGCCATATAAACTCACTAGATGATATCCACCTGTATACGGTTTTGCTAATTTCTTTTTTCATCATTTCTGCTGAATCAATAAATGTTTTCTTTGACATGCGGAAAAATTTAGAGAATTGAAAGTTATCACAGCTACAAAGCCATGGTTCCATCATTAAAAAAAATCTGAAAAAAACATTTCTCCCATGAATATTAAGAAAGGTTTCTTATTTAAACTTTCCATATACAGTTGTAGACGAAAAAGCACCGATTATTAAGTGATAATAAAAATAATCAGAGATTATATACGCGCTTTTCTAAAATAAACAACTTGCAACAAAACCGCGGTTAAAACCAACGCGTTCAAGCGATTCGTGTAACTGACGTCATCAACCCGTGTGTCATCTTGAACCATATTATAACCGCGGCACATAACACAGAAATTTTGGTTATTCGCTTGGATTTGATTAAAGTGATCCCATGACAACGATGACAACTATCCTGACAACTCTGTCAAATCACAGTGGACGAAACAGGGACGAAAAAAGGGTTATAAAGTGCGATGTTGATTATAATATCTATATAAAAAAATAATGATAAAAGTATCACAATTACCCTGTTTATTCGAAGTACCTGTGCGATTAAAAATTAATTAATTTCTAAGGGACACAATAAGTACTTCAAAAACGGTAAGTTCGCTTTATAAACCTATTTAACTGTATTTATTAGAATTTTATCTTTGGTCATCTCAGAAATTGTTTGAAGAATAGTTTTTGAATGTATTGATAATTATCAGTATAAAGAAAATCCAAAACATTGCATCGACACGTGCTACAATAGCATGCCTTAACCGTGTTGTTTATATCCTTTTCTTGGAAATGGAATGTCATGTTTTGTATGTATCATACTGATAAGCTGATCTGTTAGTGATACTGACGCTGGATGTTAAAGCTACCACTATACAAATAGTTTTGCTTATTTCCAAGTATGAATGTATTCAGGGAACATAACATCAAAATATACTTTCCAAATTACCCTTGTTATTGGTATTTTATGTATATTTACTAAACTTCCATAAGTTGCAGTTGATAAAATATTTGATTTAAGGTTTAATTTTTAATAAGTTTTGTGATAAGTAGATACATAGATATGTAGATTTAGTGCCACAGTATGGAATGACACAGCATTATGAATAGAATAGAGCCCATATTCCTACCTTAGATGGTGGCGCTCTCCTTAAAGAGGTTGGCCACATTTGTACTTCAAAGTAAGTAAGCCTATATAACATTTGAATTACCTGGATAAAATAAACCTAAAATTCTTATTATTTGAAATACATTACTAGGATGGCTAAGCTGCTCCAAATTAAATGATTGGTAAATCCTATCATAAGTATACATTCATCAAATGTACATTTTTCAGTTTTCAACTGACCTTGAAATCAGTATAATAAGAAATATTTCAATCAGTTTATTGTATCAGTGGATAAAAAAATTCTCTGAGATACATGCCATCTCAAGGTTTTAATTTATGTACCAAGTTGGTGGGCAATGATTTTTGAGTAGATATTGGTATCTTATCAGTTAATACAATATAAAATACTTACAATTTATATACCCCTTTTAAATATTTTATTTCAATCTACCTTGTAAGAATATTATCTTATTTAGAAGTAAAATTAGAAATGTTTCATTAAAATCTCCATGAAGAATCAATAGTTGCATTAACTAGTACCCAGGAATTGAATTGTAGTGCTATCTGGAGCATGCTTTAACAGCTTATGTGCATTTACAGTTTGAACAACCTATTTTTCATGATTCTTCATCACATTTTGACCTCTTTTGAGCTGAAAAGCTCATCAGCAAGTGGCATCTGTGGATACTGTGGTGTTGGCAATAATTAAACTGGTAAAACATCAAGGAACTTCTGAAATGAGCTGACACTGACTATATTTGATATAGAGTGGCAAATGCCTTGGAGATGGAAAAGTAAACCAGATAAAAGAGGCGGACATTCAATATGTTACGAGGGTGAATCATGTCTGTTTAACGTGCCATATGTGAATGGAATGGGGCGACGTCTTGGTATATGTTGGGTTTGGCACGCTGAAGTAGATGAGCTTGAGATGCACACGTCTGTTGCGCCACGCATTATCATAATTTTTTTGTCGCGGGAGGGCGTAAATCCTTCCGAAATTTTGCGTCGATTAATAGCACAGTTCAGCGATAAGACAGTTTCAAGGACACAAGTATACGACTGGTAAAATTTTTTTCCATGGACTGGTGAAAGACTGAAGAGGCAACACTGCGAAAAGCCAAGATCAGTCTTTTTATAGGAAAAGTTCTTGCAATGGTATTTCAGGATTCCAGAGGTGTAACGCTAGTTGATTTTCTTCATGACTGCTGCATGGATAATGCTGCTTACTACTGCCAACTGCTTATCGGCGAAAAAGGCGAGACATGCCTATTCCAAGTGCATGACAAGCACAGCTGCATTGACCCAAAAAAAATTACGAAATTCATTGGGAAACACTTGAACAACCTTGTTACAGTCCCGATGTGTCGCCATGTGACTATTACAAGCTTGGGCCACTTAGAGAAGACACCACTTTGACGATGACGAATGTGTGGAAACGTTCGTGCACAATTGGCTCCTGACACGACTAGCTTCATTGTTTGATGGGGGAATCGAAAAATTCCAATCTGATAGTAAAAATGCATCAATAAGAGGAGAGATTATGTAGAAAAATAAGATAAAACTAAACTTGCATGTACTATACCAATAAAATTACTAAAACAAAAGTCCGGTTTATATTTGATTCACCCTCGTAAGATGGTAATTTTAACAATTAATGTTGGCCACAAAAGTAATAGTAATCGTGGATATACCAAAATAGGAATTCATATGAAGACTAAAAGTGCAATATACAGTGTGTCCCAGAAGTCAATATTAAGCCAGAAATGGGGATGGGCCATGTTATTAGCAATAGCTTTCAGAAGAAAAAATCTAAGTTGTGTACTTTTCAAACTATGGACTGTGATGATCTTTTAGTTCCCATTACTTCAACTTTCAATTTTTTCTTAGATGGACTGATGGACACTCTCAATCTACATAGTGACAGCCAGAAAGATAGTTACGCCACTTTTATTAATTCATGATTGTGTAGTGCCACCATGTCTGCATACACCATACAGGAATACGCCAACACACACCTCATTTATGGGGAATGTAGATGCAAAGCTAGTGCTGCAGCTATTAGGCTTTATCATGAGAGGTACCCAAATGCTGTTCGTTATCCTGATCACCGAGTTTTTGTGGATGTGCACCGTTTACTCTCGGAGGAGCAATTCGCAAATCAAGTACATGATGAAGGAAGAATCTCTTCTCCTTACGAGGACGTTGTACTACAAGCAAGCCATGGAGTGCCCAAATCTCACCGAATCTTGCAAAAGATTACAACATGAATCTAAACAACTGACACGAGTGGCATGTGACAATCCACATTCGATGAGACAAGATAGATCACAGTATCGTTTAAAGTAGACATGTAGACCAGGATTCTAATGTGGAGAATCATTGTACCCTTTGAGCTGCCAGAGTTCTTGAATGGCGAAATTTATTTAGTCTTTTGCAAAATTATTCACCAAATTTATTGGAAGACGTGCTACTAAGCATTTACAAAGATATGTAGTACCAGCAAGACGGCTGTCCAGAGCACTATGCCCGTTCAGTTAGAGAATATCTATGCGGAATACTCTAGCAGATGGATTGGGTGGTCTGGTACGATTTCGTGGCCAACCCGTTCACCTGACTTAAATCCACCCTGTTTTTACTGGGAATCGGTGAAAGAAAAAGTTTACTCAAAGCCAATCGAAAATTTAGCTGAGCTACGGGACATAATAACGGAAGCAGCTAAATTTGTTAATAATGGAAGATTCGCCCGTCTCATAACCCAATCATTTTTAAGATGTCAAGCCTGCATTGCTGTTGAAGGAAGGCAGTTTGAACTTTGAATATTTATTGTGAATTTGGTAAATAAATTCACGAAGTAATACAATTGCCGTTAGTATCTGTCTCGCTGTCAATATGTAGAATCACACTGTCCGTCACTCCCTCTAAAAAAAATTGAAATTTGTAAAATTGGGACCCAAAAAGTCATAACAGGGTGTAGATTATTCCAATTTTTTTAAAGCCTATAATTTGAAAAGCACACAACTTAGATTGTTTTTATATTATTCTGATAACTATCAAGACATAACCTATCCCCCGTTTCTGGTTTAACGTCGACTTCTGGATCACCATGTACATGTGGTAAATAAATAAACATAGGGCATGTTAAAAAGCTAGAGAAAGGTTTGTTGACAAATAGGAGACTTTATACACTTTTTAAGGTGAAAGCCATAAAAAACATTCCTCCGAACTTTTGTTGTGACAGCATAAATAATAGAAAACACCAAATTGATAAAAAACAACGCACTGACCAGAACAAGAAATTTATGTCACAGCCTTAAAAGGACGTCTATCTGAAAATATAAATAAAGCATTTTCGAATCACAAAGTTCATCTAGCTCATATACCTGCTGCAACAACTGAAAACATATTTTCAAACCTAAAAGCCCCAATAGAAAAAAGATCTGCAAAACATCTTGATTTACAACATAAGGTACGAATTGTCCAAGTTCATATACAGGACAGATTAAACAATATATAAAGAAAAGGATGTAAAAGCATGAGCATGACAAGAAATAAAAATATGTAAAACGCGTTGGTCAAACATGCTTGACAATCAGCATGAACTTGATTTCACAAATGAAAAAAATTATCAAGTATCTACACAAATTTAATAAGAAGAACGAAGCTGTTGCATTGTCCCACCCATACCACCGACTCAATGTAAAAAGGTAATATTTTTGTAAGTACATATATTGTTTACCTTTGTTTTGTTTTCATTTTTATTAGCAAATATTTTTCGCCAGTGGATGACCTACACACAATCTGCATCTAAATGAATGAATCATGAAATTGGAGGCATTCCGGCCACCATAGGCTGCTTAAACGGGCCCTTATGCACCTCTACATTCCTTAGATTACAAGCCTCGCCTTTTTAGTGAAGTTGAGTATGGCCTTGAGTCCAAGCTCCTTGACGCCCTGAGGGTCGAAAGTAATGGACCCCAGTATAGTCTGCCTATAGTAGCTCAGAGCTTCACAGCGACACAGAACGTGCGCCGAGGTCTCTACCTCTACCCCGCAGCGCTCACACAAGGGATCCTCAGCCACTCCCATCACGTGCAGGTGGCGCCTTAACGTGTTATGGCCAGGCAACAGTCCTTTGGTTGGCTCTATCCAGAGATAATCCTTAGCACTGGGCCCTTCAATGAGTTTTTGTGCCTGGCGGAGATGTCTGGAGATACTTCTCCATTTATGAGAATGTTATCTTGCAATCCACGTCTCCATTTTCCCCCTAACTCTATGCGCGGGCGCTCCTAAAGCTGGCTGAGGACCAACGAGCTTGCTGGCCGATCCTGTCTTCGCCAGAGCTTCCGCCCCTTATCCCAGCG